TCTTCTTCTTATCATAGCATACCAACCAGCGAACACCCAGCCAAGTTTAGTTAGCCAGTTTGAGTATTCGTTACACTTCATACCCCGCGTATGGTCCGAGTATAGAGTAGTATAAGCCTCCCTTACTCCCTAGTCACATGATCTCCTGTAAGGAAGAAATCCTTGATCGCTTGGAGTAGCTAAGCGATCCAGGGATTTCTCTGTATTGTTATCACGTGATATATGTCGCTAGACGGGGCGAATGTCACGGATGCCAACAAAGGATAAAGTGTATACAGCTTTTGAATCTATTGCTAGAACTAAAACCGTAGGTACGAAGAAATCAAACTAAAGAGAGAAGAGAATCTGAAAGGAGCGAAGTTATTTAAGTTGTTCCAATGCCAAGTCTCGTCACGTGCTTGGCCAAACGAATGAAATCCTGTCAAATGAAATCCAGCTCCGTCACAGCGACTGGTCTACCAGTCTAGCAGCGACCGAGCGACGAGTCTAGCAAGCTAGCACAAGAGAACGAAGGTTCTATATAAGACTGGCACGTCTGCCATTAGATAGGAGCTTCGTGCTCAACTTAGTTATCAATCTTATCATATTAGTTTGACATCTTTGATACAAGTAACGAGTTCACTTCCAAGTGAACAACCCGATAGTCTTCTTCTTATCATAGCATACCAACCAGCGAACACCCAGCCAAGTTTAGTTAGCCAGTTTGAGTATTCGTTACAATATAGTATATACTTATTTAAAGTTATATATATTTAAAACTCTACTTAATATTAAAGAAATATATTTAAAAATATAAGTTTATATTTATTCTTAGTTTTATAACTTTAAACCCTTTATAATGTAAAACTTAGAATATATAATAGTGATAGTATAGAATCGTATAACGTATAATAATATAATAAATATAAGTATTTAAATTCTATAAGAACGAATTAATAACCTAATAAAACTTAATTATTATTAAAATTAAATTAAATTAAAAGTAAATAAGTTATTATCCCCTTAAGGTAGTATATATACGTACTACTTTTCAAGCTTATAATACCTACCTTACTAATTAATCTTCGTAAAACGAGCCTATTTTTAAGTATAATTATATTAAAAATTTAAATTTAAAGCTATTATAAGGAACGTTTAAAAATAAGAATATACTATACTAATTAGAATCCCTACTATTACTCGAGTCTATCTCTCTGTCTACTTTATTAGAATCCCCTTCTTAATACCTAGTTATAATAGTACTACCGGAATAACTATAATAGCTATTAAAACAACGCTTATATAAGAGTATTTCGTGAAATATATACTCTAGTCTTGTTACTTCCTTTAGATTCTAGTGTTAAGGATCGAGGGTACTTCTAAACCGACAAAAGTAATACTATCGCCGTACTCTAATACTGTGACGGAGCTGGATTTCATTTGACAGGATTTCATTCGCTTGGCCAAGCACGTGACGAGACTTGGCATTGGAACAACTTAAATAACTTCGCTCCTTTCAGATTCTCTTCTCTCTTTAGTTTGATTTCTTCGTACCTACGGTTTTAGTTCTAGCAATTGATTCAAAAGCTGTATACACTTTATCCTTTGTTGGCATCCGTGACAAATACCTGTGACGGTTCTAACCGCCACTACACCTCAGACCAGCCCCTGGCTGGAACCCAGCGGATACCGTGCTTCCTGAGCCCGGCTCAGTTAGCCATAGCTTGGCACAACCTCCTGTATATAAGAACCTCTGGCTCCCGAGCTCTGCTCTCTTCTCTTCTCTCCTTAGCTTAGAATCCTCGAATAGACAGTTCCACAGTGTCAATCTCACCACTCGTGATACCTGACGTAGTCGTGCTCTTGCGCGGTCCATCAGCTGTGCGTGTCGTCACAATACCTATATATTCGTAGAAGTGTTTGTTTAAGCTCTTCTTTATTACCTTTTCCGACTATTTTAGGGTATTTATATACGAAAAGAGCGATTTATAATATATACGATAAATACTAATTTTTAGCGTATAACGACCGTAATTATAAATCACTTCTTAATTCGCGTTCGAGAGTTAATTATAAGGCTTTATATAGACGTTAAAACAATCGCAAGGCTTAAATCGCTAAGTAGATATAAAGTAGGTATTATAAGCTTAAAAAGTAGTACGTATATATACTACCTTAAGGGGATAATTAACTACTTTAAGTCTAATAACGATTTGACTATTTAAATACTATCTAAGTAATATATTATTATTAATAGATAGTTACTTATAAACTTACTTTATAAGACCCTAATTAAAAGATACTTAATAATACCTTAATTTAAATATATATAATAAAGTCTTAATTAAAAGATATATAATAAGATCTTAATTAAAAGATATATAATAAGATCTTAATTAAAAGATATGTAATAAGGTCTTAATTAAATAATACTTAATTGACCTTAATTAAAAGATACGAAATAAGCTCTTAATTAAAAAACACGTAATAAGGTCTTAATTAAAAGATACTTATTAAGATCTTAGTTAAGAAATACTTTATAAGACCTTACCTAATTAAAAGATATATAATAATACCTTGATTAAAAGATATATAATAATATCTTTATTAAATAACACTTCATAAGACCTTAATTAAAAGATACTTGATAAGGTCTTAATTAAAAGATACTTAATACGGTCTTAATTAAAACATACTTGATAAGGTCCTAATTAAAAACCACTTAATAAGGTAGAGACAGGCGGTAATGCGAGCTTGCGAGCATCGACTGACTCGTTAGATTAAGCGAGCGAGTTCTTGACGTCGATGTCTTTGCGGACTCAAGACTGGACTGGGTTGGTTAGTGGTGTGGTTAACGATAGACGCTGTACCGATATTTCGTTATCTTTGGTACGGGATGGTTTGAGACGTGCAAGTGCGACGCCAACCCCGCATCTTCTCTTTTTCTGTCTGCTTTACTTTATGCGCTTTTCGTCACTTTGAAGGGGAGTGTTGTTGATGTGATGATCTTGATAGGGTGGGGTTCGATATCAGGACTTTGTGGAAAGAGTTCTTCTTGGTTGGTATGATTGGAGGTCTTAGTGCGTCCCAGGCGAGAAGGTAGATTTGCCTGAGGAGCTGGGTTTGATACGGATGGAAGAGGGACTTGGGCGTGTGAATTGTATGATTCGATATTTCTTTGGTTTCCTTGGGATTTGAGAGAGTGACTTTGAAGGAACTTGAGTATTCTCAGCTTTATTGAGTCATTGGAATCATCATGAGTTGGGAAAGTGGGTTGAGGTTTAGTGTCTTTGAACCGTTTTTTTCTCTGTACACGTGCCTCTTCAATAGTCTTATTCATTCTCTAGACTACCTAAGGTCACCGACCTATATGGTTATGCTGGCCATAGTTTAGAATACCTACACAAACCGGGTTTCCTAAAAGTTTAGGGTCAACGACTTGAAGTGGGCTGGAAGAACAGTTAGTCGGTAGTCCTCCTTTCAATATATCGACGCTACTTTAGCAGAGTGGGTTCTTTTTGTACACGTGCTTCGTGAGTTTATGGGGGCGACAACACATCGCGCGGTTTAGTGGAGGAATGGTTGGTGTTTTAGCCGCCGTGGCCAGTGTTTGTTGGATATTGACGACATTGACGACGTGTTGACTTTGTAGCTGGGAGGTTTCTACGCTCTCTCCTCACTCAGCAGTTGAGTCACGCACTTTATAGTACTCGGTCAAGTAAAGTTCTAAAATTGTCGGTTTTGTGCTACCCCGCACCGCCCGCACCGCGTTGCACCACTTTATTGCTTGCTTGACTTGAGTAAGGCTGAGAGAAGCAGCATGCTTCCTGACGTAAAGACGGCTTCTCGGTGTGGTGTACGACTTTATACTAAAAAGAGAATGGGGAGTGTTTCCAAAAGGCTTCCCGAACATCTGCTACTGTAAGTCGGCCATCGCCGGCTTGCCCCCAAGGTTTCGCAAACGAACATCTTGCCTCATTGAGCGAAATGCATCACGTGCTTGAGGATCCGAGGAGATTTCGGGGTCTCCGCATTGGAGAAACGTTTACCCCATTGGCTTCTCCACGAATGCTAAGATCGCTGGGGTGCTGGAGCTGCCTGGAGCGAACAAACGCCCGTCATTTCTCAACTAGGTCCCCTCGGGTGGGCCTTGGAATATGGCGAAAACGGTCGGCTGGAGATGGGTCGAGAGCTTGGGGTGTTTCCACTTCGTTATCGTCCCGTGGGGCTGCGTTGCATCACTATTCACATCACCATTAGATAAAGCTTGGTTGTAGCCCAGAGTAGGTCCCTCATCCCCATCCCCAGGTCATGTTTAAATCCGGCCAATCTCCTCTATTCCTTCCCTCCTTCCAGACTTTCCTTTTCCCTATGAGAATCGGCTGCTTGTAATAGGTACTGTACCCGTACTTGTAGCAGTAACTGCTGAGACAGCAAACGGATTCTTGTTCGATCACATACACATCCGTGCTTAATCAAATCCCCCTACACCACCAAGGTGGGAAATCGTTCACGGAACAACAACACTCGTTTAATTTCAACCTACACACCTCCGCCGACTCACCATGACGATCAGAGACCGAGTTCGTCGCGTCCTGGGTGGTAGCTCCACCGACTCCTCCCTGCACTCTTCGCGATCCTCGAATTTCACCTCCTCCTCCAATGCCACATCCGAGACCAAACCTCGAGAACCCTCCATCAATCTCACCTCGTCACTCTCACGATCCCTCACCTTCAAAAGCATGAAGAGCATCAAAAGCCAGAAGACGAAAGAAGAGAGGGCCCTCGAGAAATGGGCCAAGAGGGATGCAAAGGAGTGGAAGAAACCCTCGGTCAAATACCCCTTTCGAAAGAGCCAGCAACACCAGGACATCCTGCGGGCCTTCGAGTTCAATGCGCCGAAGAAAGGAGAGAACAATTCCATCTGGAGTGGAATTAGTCCCTTTGCCAGTCGCAGGCCGAGTCTGACGGAGCCTTCTACGTTGCAGAAAGTCGCGAGTGGAAGTGGGAGTATGAGGAGGAGGAACAGTCTGCAGAAGGGATCGATGAGTGCGCAAATGGTTGAGGAGGTTGGGAGAGCAGATAATGGCTGTGCGGTGCCTATTCCCGAGGAATAAATCTAGAAGCATGGCATTGGACGGGGTGTTCTGGAGCACACCCGTCGTCACACGATATGAGTCTACTATAATAATGGGTTATGGCCGCTATTTGCTACACTGGCTGTAGGGGTAGGATGTATATGGGATACTGATTTTTTGGGCGGCGTTTTTTTTTGGTTAGAAAGGGCGTCCTTCCATTTTGGGTAAAATAGAGGGGCTTGAGATGAGATGATACTGCATTAGACATGGTACCATATCACGGGACGGGCATATGAGATAGAGGGGCACCTGGGCAATTTTCGCATTTTTTTTTTCTTGGATGGAAGGATGTATAAACATCGGATTGTAATAGATTTACTTTGTTGTGGTGGGACGGTACTGTATGATGGCTTTTATGCTTCCGTACCGCTGTGGCATTGTCATGCTACCTAGGTTTAGGGTTTCTAATGGGGTATACACGTGAGATTGGCTCAGTATCCTCTGGTGTCTTTGTGTAAAGAGAGAGAGATATAGAGAATATTAATCTTGTTGAAATAAATAGCTAGATCGTCTTCTTCTTTGGAATTTGAAGGTAGCGAACTGTGTATGCTCCTCGGGCGCTTCAATGACCGACCTTTCTACTTTCTACTCGAACAATGCGATCCTCCTCTCTTCTCCCTTATCGAGTATCTACATTTCCTGTCTTTGAAGATAGACCACCTGAAACAAATAAGGCATTGTTTCTTTTCGGCTTTTTATAAATTTTAGCTCACAAAAACGTCCTCTGGATGATGTTCCGCGAGTTCTCATGAAGTTACTTAGTCGAAGTGAATTTCTACTGGACTGCTATTGTATATGTATTTAGCCTGGTGGGCACAGATATTCAGATTTCTGTGCAGATGATATGGATTTTGGAAAGGGGATAGTTACACAATGCTCATCCAATCATCGTTCTAAATACTAGAAAACTCCTTACGCCGACTTGAAGCTTGAAGAAGTAGATCTTAGCTCCCCATTTTGCACCTCTACCGATGAAGTGTTTTGGTGGATCTGAGGTGGTTTGATGGTCTATATAGTTTGTTTCACGGAATCGTCTGACTAAAGGATGGTCCGTTGTATCGGTCTGTCATAAATCTTTACTCCTTACGGGGTTTTACTTCCTCGTCGCTCATCTCTGTGGACTGGACTGGACTGGTGGAACTTGGAATAGCTGCTTGTTTATTTTTTGCTGTTTGCTGTTTGTTGTCATATATAGAGAAGCTGTGTTTGTGGATGTAAGGTATGAATGAATGCCGGTTGGGAAGATGGGATTGCTGTGCCTTTTACCTATTGTAATTAAGTAATACCCCTCTAAAACAGATTTTCCCAAGAATCCACACTATAAGCTCCTGTGACTTGGCAACTCCTTACAACTAGAACGAAGATTACGATTCTGGGTATAAATCAACTTCGTATAGGACTTCTATCATCTATATTCACTTCCCAAATGGGAATAGCAGTACGTCTGCGTCATGATAGTTCTTCGGTACTGAGTTCTTTTTCTTATTAAGTTTTTGTTGATTGGAATTTGAGAATTTGAGTAAATTGTTAGAATGTCGGTAGGAAGGCGATTGTAAAGGGTATGAAGGGAATGGTCTTTGTGCTGAATCTGAAATTGTGGATTGGTATAGGGAGTTTATGATTGTGTTAGGGTATATCTCAAGTTATAATGGAACCAACTCAATAGGCCCTGGTGGCACTGGTTCTGGTTTTTCATATACTGTACTGCCCTCGTTGAGAAGACCGAAGGAAGGCTAGCTTTAAGCGAGATATGCATCATGCTTGCAATAAGTGTTTTGAATGCCGATAAGTCGGAAATAGATAGATGAGTTTTAATACCTCTGTCTACGTATAACACCAAGTTACCGCATCGATGCTATCACAGATCGAGTTATCAGGACAGTTGGTGGTGATGAAGGGGCAAGAATATAACTTCGACTTATGAAACCTGGTGATAGTGGTGGAGTACCTGGGGTAATGTATGAGACTTCTACACTTAGCACTTGTTTCAATGGAAACAAGGGGTATTCGACTTACGGAGCTAGCGGGGACAGCGGGGCTGCCATCGGAGTGAGTCTTTTTTGAAATATCATCGTCGTTTGTCAAGCCAGTTATCTCGTCTTATCCAGGGTCACGAACCTCTGTCAAATGAAGACACTCACTCTCCTCAACTCATATGTGTATATTCCAGTCACCTAAACCTAGTGCGGACCAAAACCCCCTCTTGAGACGAAGCCCGAGCTTGTTATTTATCCCAATGGAGGAGCTAGTGAGTTATATCACTATTACACAGACCGGTCTTCAGTAAAGGTCCCTCTGCCCACACAACCAGTAACGCAACACACACTGTGTACCTTTCTTGAATTTGATAACTATCTCGTTGCTTATTAGCACAAATACCCCCATCCCCACCACTTTAATCTCGGTGTCTTCCAATAAAGAAATCACAAAAACGTCTTCTAAAGTCACTATAACGCCTACTGAGAAGAGTGTTACGATCCTAGCCACTAGCACTGGTCCTGCTTCAAGTTCAAAGGTAGTATCTGCATCAACCCTCATCCCAAGCTCGAAATCTTCAACTTTATCCCCTACCCGGTTTTCAACCAAGTCAGCCACCTTATCTTCGACCACGAAATCCTCGTCCCCTCCGACTAGTACGTCTCCTCCTGGGGGCTATGGATACTATCAGTGTGGGGGAATAAGCCTTCCACGATGTCTGTTTTTATTGAGAGTACCTTTCTTTGGAATCCCTCGGGTGTTAAGATGAGAGGGGCTAGCTTTGAGGAAGGGTGCTTGTTGTTGTCTTTCCTTTATTTGTTTTGTCGTAATCTAAGCGAGCGGGCGCCAGGAGGGGGAATCACGGTTTTACTTTTATTGTAGCTGGGCTCTTGGATAGTACGCATTTCATTTGCTTTGAATCAGGGATTTGGGCTGTTTTTTGATGAACTCATAGTCTGAGAGGACTCTGTTATAGCATGCTGAACAGCTCGAATTTGTTCTTGAGATCTTCGAAAATGATCCGTGATGCTAACTTGCTACTTTTTCATGTAGTACTGGAATAATCATGTATTTGAGAAGTTTAGGCTCATGATAATCTCGAGGGAAAGAGCTTTGTGGTATGATATGTAACATGGAGTGCTCTAATTAGGCGATTGTCGTACAAGCGAGTATAGGGGATAATTAAGGGAGAAGCTTTTTGATTCACTGGCACCTTTCATATTCCTCCAATTACCTCACGACGACGAGAAAGGAGAGTGAAAAAGCTGGTATCGTACTCATTGTGATATGGTGTCCCATTATATGGCAGGATTTATGATGAATAAGGATGAAGGCTTAGTAAGCTACTCGTATAGTAGGATATATATCCTACCCTACTACTACTATATACCTTTAATACTACTATAACAATATCTACTATATTGTTAGCTATACTTTTGTCCTACCTACATTCCCCTTGCTAGAAGGCTCGCCTTATAATTTAGGAGGGTTTTAGACCCTAGTTTTTGTACTTCTTAGCTAGATATTACTCTATACTTTGTGTTTTACTAGATGGAGCCTTCGAGTTAGTCTATAATATAGTTAAAGTCCGAGTACTTAGCGTATACCTTTTTATTAGAACTTTATATTCTTTCTTTTATAGGCTAGGTACTTATTTATAAGCTACGTACTTATTTGTCCTACCTACATTCCCCTCGCTAGAAGGCTCGCCTAAGCGCCTTGCGATTTAGGAGGGTTTTTGGACCCTAGTTCAGTCAAACTGCCCCCGTAAGGGGTACGTGGCCGAGGGTACTTATACTTCGCTTTCTACTTATATATGTAGGCGAATTATAAGCACTTAAAGCTAGCTAGCAATACAAAAGAAAACCAATAATAAGCCTCATTTAATGTGACGTGTACCGACTGACGATTGAACACAAACGATATATCTTTGAATTTCGTGCCAATTGCAAAATAGGGTCACGCTTTAGTTGCGCCAAAGTCATATATTTCAATCATTCCTCATGGACTACATATAGACCAAGTGAGAAAAGACTTGACTTAGACGGCTTAAACGACCGTCAGATACAGGGGAAATGGTTGAGTTACATGAGAAAAGTGCGACTAACGTGACCCTTTGCCAATACAAATCCTAACTGTGTAAACAACTCTCCCTCAATAGTAAAGACATGTCTATTAAATAAGCGGGCACAACAGCAATACCAGTACAATCTCCCACATCCTCAAAAAGAGTTTTCTTCTCAGTCCCATTTAACTTCGCTGAATAGACACCTCCACATAAATCAGTGAAATACATCATCTTTGCCTCCTCGTCAACCGCCAATCCAATGCCCTCATGTAACTTCCTCGTCAGGACCTTCTCCTTGTAGATCCCCTCCCCTTTCCCATTTCTGTCCGCTTCCAAATCCAAAGTGTTGACCGAGTTCCCGCTTGGAGAATCCCCTCTATCCGTCCAATACAGATTCCTCCCCGCATCATCGATGTGCAAATCAATTGGCCCCGGAAGACCATCCAATAGCGTCTCAATATCTGTCCTCTTATCCGGCAACTGACCATCAGGAAATTGTATGGGAGCTCTCAAAATCCGACCTTGGTTCGCCTTCGAACCGCCTTTCTGAGACCAATACATGAATCCCGATTTAGTATGTACCGCAATACCGACACACCAATTCCTCTTATCCTTCCTATCTTCCTCTCCAAAACCAGTTTGTATTAAAGTCTCAATATCCGAGCCATCGAGATTACACCTCATAACCCGCATCCCCTCTTTATCACACCAGTACAACCTCGCGCTTTCGCTTGGGTTATGAGGCCGGACGAGCGTTAGCTGTTTAGGTGTGTGGAGAAGTCCTTCCGGGACGATGGTTGTGATATGGCTACCATCTGAGATGTTGCAGCATTGGATTGAGCCGTCGGTTGGATTGGACATTGAGGCTCCCATGTTTGTCCAGTAGAGATGGTCATTTTGAGGATCGGCTACGATGCCGTCTGGTAGGTGTTTGAGGCCGGATACTAGGGTTGTGAGGTTGGTGCCGTCTGTGTTGCTGGTGAGGATGCGGCCGTTTTGATGGGGGTGTGAGGACAAGTCTAGGTCGATGAAGTAGAGGCGGGCTTGGGTTATGGAACCCATATTCAGGAAAGTGGAAAGTGTCTATTGTTATATGGGAGAGAATTTGAGCTCGATTTTGATAAACTGGTGATAGTATTTGGGCAAATATTAATTGATAGTAAGTAGATAATTTGCGAGATTTCACTGTGTCTGATAATACTCAATAGGGAGATGTCATTTATAATGGGCCATCTTGAGTCAGTTCAAAGTCCATTCAAACTGTTGGACTGGCAAACAGGATATAGGCAACATCGAGATTTACCCGAAGCTTTCATTGTGAAAACTGGAGCTTCAAGAAAATACGAGTCAGGCACTGAGTATCATGGATAGCAAGAAAGAGAAAACGTTCAAAGGCCCGATTAGAATGAAAAGCTGCATAGAGATGTGAAGACAAACTTTTGACCTCGTCCGGGGTTGTCTCGGGATGACATCAGAAAAGACAACTTGAACCTGAAAATGAGAATGTGTGGGTGAATTCCGGACAGGAACATGAAACCTTTTGACAATCTAATCTAATCTCTTGGCTGGGATTTTGATACAGAAAAACATGAACAAGTAATGTTTCCATGGATACTTAAATTATGTGTCTATTATATTTCATGCTTCCGGTTCCTTGACTCCTCGCCTAATTTTTAGTAACTCGATAATATCATCATCTCTCTGTTTTGAAAGCTCGTCAAAACTCCTCCCTGCAACGACCTCCCTCGTCCCTTCCACCCACTTCCTCCTCAATTCCTCATTAACAACCGGATCTTTTTCTGCATACCAAGTCATAGCCGGTTCCAACAAATGATCCGCGAAATGTTCAATTCCACCTTTTCCACCTTTTCCACCCCCGAGATGAAACAGCAAACTCGGTCCCATAATTCCCCATCGAAGGCCAGGTCCATATTGCATCGCATCTTCAATATCAGAAACTGTACACATATCCTCTTAATCAAGTACATCATTTCTCTCATTAGAGCACCCTGGAGTCTGTTCGCAACATGACCCGTCGCTTCTTTCTTCACATGCACAGCTTTCTTCCCTAGATTGGTGTAGAAATCCAACGTGCGTTTAATGGTATTTTCGGATGTTTTCGAGCCCCCAACAACTTCAACCAAAGGTATAAGATGAGGAGGATTGAACGGATGACCAACTACACATCTCTCGGGATGCGAATCCACCCCAAGCCCCTCTTGAATCGAAGAACAACTTAATCCAGAGCTGGAAGTAGCCATAATAACATCTTCTCTGACAACTTTCGCAATTTCAGCAAAGAGATTCTGCTTGAACTCCAGTTTCTCCGGTCCGTTCTCTTGCACGAAATCCGTGTCTTTCAGGGCTTCTTCTAGATTCGTCGTGAATATGATATCTGAAGACTTGGCATTTGGAAATGGACAATTTTCCAGACGCATAAGGACGGGTAAGGCTTGATCGACTAATTCGATGAGGAAGTCTTTGGCTGAAGGGTTGATATCGTAGGTTATTGTTTTGATGCCGTGGGCGAGAAAGAGTGCTGCCCAGGATGCGCCGATGGACCAGCAACCGATGATGGTTGCTTTTTTGATGGAGGATGGTGTCGACATTCTTGCTTGTTTGGAAAGTTTTGCTTGAAAAGATGTGTGGTTTTAAATGAGAGGATTTTTGGACGGATTGTCTACGACTAGAGCTGTTCATATATCGCTTTTGAGCTTAATTCACTTAAGCTTTTTGTTCATGGGAACTGCGTCAGCCAAGGAGTTCCGATTTTATGGAGTCTTCCGACTCAGGTACCTGAAAAGCAGGAAGCGTGACTCGTGTTACTATACAATAATACCGCCTCTTTTCATAAAGTTTTTTCTCTGGTTCGGGTTTGTCCAATGATGACTCCTTCACAATTTACAAAGAACGAGAGGATAGGGAAGGTTGTGATCCATCAGATCATGTCACGTGGCTAAATTAATCCCCTCGTCAAAAACAGTAAACTGGAAACGTTAAACCTCTAGCTCAGATAGCTCACGCTTACTGCAGCAGTTATATTCCGACTTGAGTCTAAAGGAACCTTTATTTGGACTAAAAATAATTGAGAGAGAATTGGTCTGTCAGCAGTATAGTCAGTAACTAGAACTACTAGAGAAAGGTATTTGATTCATCAAGTTCTCCAGCTTGTAGCTCCCAAGATTATTCCATTATAATCTAGTAGTAATTTACCCCAAGGTCTTCCAAACATCAGAAGTTCAGAACTCCTTTTCCAACTGTAATATTTGACACTATTCTCAATGATTTTTTCTCGAACTGATATTAAAAATGTGGCATGAAGACTGTTCAGGAATGGCATAACAGGTTCTGCCACAAATTGAAACCAAAATATGATAATTATCCAATTGCATAGTAAAGAAGATAATATGAAGCAAACGGTTGTTATTGATTATTATACAAGAAATAGCTAGACAAAAACGAAAATGATTGAAGAGTCCAAGTTCAACGAAGGCTAACCAGAAAATCCCCCAAGGCAAACTTGTAATTTCCAGAGCCGAATTTTTATCGCTTCCCCTTGAAAGGTCTATACCATTCCAGAAAACCAAATCATGTGGAAGAAAATCGAATGATGGCAGGTAGTAAAGCAATGCAAAGCAACTTCTCGCGAGGTTCAGGGGCCCTGGCGATGTTGGCAATTGAAAATATGGCAGGAGCCACCCACAACACACAAACGACCACGATGCTCATCAATCGCAGCTTCCTGTAGACAGCAGAAAATAGTGGCCACTAGTATCAACTCTGAGTTATTCCCTGATTCTACCTTCTTCGAGACCCTTCATTCTCCTCAACAAAAACACCCGCGATTCGAGAATACAAAGATGTTCTGGTTGATGATAATGGCAGAAGGGGAGTTGATTGAGCGAGGGATATTGCAACCTAATGCTTGGAAATGAGGTAGTGATAGAAGCCTCCGGTTTTGTGAGGGATGGAATCAATCGTTGGCTCAAACAAGCAGACTGCGTACACCGAGAAATCAATTCATTGGTGCTCTCCAAAAGATTGTCCATGTTGTGATTGAAACCACTTGCAGACGAACAAACAAGAATTGAAACCCAAAAATACAAGTAAGCAAGACGAATCAGGAAAATCAGGAAATATGAGGTAGCATTGCAAAGACGCTACTTTAGGTAGCCAGAGCACCCCGAACTCCCGAAATATTACTCGGGATAGTTCCGCGGGTTCATGGCTCCATAGTGGAAGCTGGCCTTGCCAGAATAACTGGAATGTCTTTCATGAAACTTGCACTACTCAACTTGGAGTAGAAATGCCATCTTCAGTGACTAAATATTTGTAGTCCAATATGACCCAAGAATAGCGAGTCTCAGACCTTGTGTACAGCAAGAGACCAAACTGCTCTTGATTTGTGAAGGAGGCGAGACACTCTGATTTCTAGTTTTTCCGTGTTCGACAAATCGAAGTGTTGAGATGTTGTGGTTGGTTTCTCGCGTGCACGCGTCGAAATCGGGGAGTCTTGCGATAGAGATGTAATGAGGGGGTGTAGCTTGAAGCTTTTGTGGATGGGCTGTGGTGGGAACGTCTTGGTCGATGGGGTTCTGAAGTTTGTGGATGTGTTGGATGTGTTGGATGTGTTTGAATAAGGGTGGTGGTTTAGTATGGTATGGGGGTATAGTTATTTTCTTTTGGAAGAGGTCTTCGTCGCATTGTTTCGGAGGAGGATGTCTCGAGGGGAGGGACGTGATGTGTGGGCTCCGAAGAGATCGTATTGGTGAGGTCGGAGTCGAGGGAAGAGGAATTGACAGGGAACAGGGTTCAGGAGGACCAATTGTCGATGTCGGTATCGCTCGTCAAGAGCGTGAATGTTTTTGGGCGAAGAGTGAATTCATCTTATAGGTATCTTGAAATAATGTGCAGAGAATGCGTGGAATGCTGCGAGGGAAGGAGATTCAAAGATTCACGCTGGCTTGGAGAAAATTGTGTCGCAGTGCTGACGGGACTCTTTAGTTTTGTGACTAGAGAGCTGGGTTCTGTCAAGCGGTGGACTAGAGTCTTAGGGTAAGGGGTGGGCCTTCTTAGCGGCGACTATCTTGTTAGCGAGGGTTCGTCGGATACATCAGGGGTTAGGCGAACGGTAAGCGAAGGATTCGGATTTTCCCCTGTATACTTGCTTATAATGGTTGTAACTTTATAGCACTGGAGGAAAAGGTTTCTGAAAAGGATCTAGATTGTTAAGTAGTATGAATTTTAGTGATACTTGTAAGATTCACTGGCATCGTAAAAATCGCTAGATCTGAAGAGCGTCTGAAGGTTACCGAAAACTAAAATTTGGGCCTGGTGCCGGGTTAATTAAATATACTGAATAATCTAACGGGGGGACCTGCCCCCTTTTTGCATTATTTCTCACAGCGAGAGCCATTACTGAAGGTCTTCTTCCATGTGGACTTTCCTCCCATTTCGGTCACGTGACATGAATCACTCTCTCATGTTGCGATCATGCAAGTCGAGGTTTGAGCTCCCTCAGCTATATCTCCAGCTTAGTAGGATAGGTTATATTTAGAAGATTTGTACCATGAGTGCACCGGGGTTTGTTCTGGGGTCGAGGATACCATTGTGCGGGTTGTACGTCTTGTGTTGGTTGGCTTGTTGGCTTGTCAGTTAATTGCTTAGTTACTTGTCCAGTCCGTACATTGGTTCGAAAATACAAGGAGATATCCACTTTTGTTTACATTCAATTCAAACACCCACGACTAGCAAAGAACCATAGTCCAGAAACCAGCATGCCTTCAATTTGAGGAGTTGACAAAATCCGAACAATCACTCCACGACCTGTCAAAATGCAGGTGTTATGTCTAGGGCTCCCACGCACTGCGACTATGAGTCCGAAAATCCTTGCTCATCCCATCAAAACCCGCCGACTAACTAGCTCTAGCAATGTTCACAGCACTCAACAAGCTCGGTTACAATTGTTATCATGGACTCGTAGCAGCAACAGATCCACGTAGCAGAGCAGACCGACACCTAGCCTGCTGGCACGAGGCCCTCAACTACAAAGTTTACGGAATTGGCAGGGCGTATAGTCCCTTGGATCTCGATAAGATCTTGCAATACTATAGTGTAAGCTCGAACCCTTTGTCTCATGTTTGTTTCTAATTTGGATGGTATTCGTCGCTTAGACTGTCACTGATATGCCATGTATCAATTTCTCCAAAGAACTTATAGAACAGTTCCCCAATGCCAAGGTTATCTTGACGCACCGCGATCCTCAGGCTTGGATTAAGTCTGTAAATAATACTATCCTTCACGTCCTTAGTTGGAGAATCTGGCCCGTCATAAAATATATCGAACCCGTATGCAATTCTAGTACACTTCCATAGGAGACCCCCTAACATCTCCCTCAGAACCACCTTACCCCTTTCCGAGACTGCGTCCAACTCTACATGGAGGATTGGACACTACCTGCGCCATACAATGACCAAGAAGCGCTTCTTAAATACATATCCCAGCATACTGCATTGATAAAGTCACTTGTTCCGGCAGAAAACCTGTTGGAGTTTCAGCCCGGAGATGGGTGGGAGCCATTATGCGAGTTTCTGGGCAAGAAGATGCCGGTCGATGAGCCGTTCCCGTTTGCGAATAAGGGGCTGTCGATTGTGGATATGGTTAGATACGCGATTAGGAGGGAGATGGTGAGGTTTCTCAAGCCGTATCTAGTAGGCCTTGGGACTTTGGCGGGTAGTTGGTTGGTGGGTAGATTTGTGCGGTACTGGAAAGTTGGGTGGAATAAGTCGATGAAAGGAATTTAGTACTGGAATTGGAGAGCGTAGTAAGTCTCTTTACAGGAGTACAAGAGAGATACACAAATTGTAAGGAAATTTTGGAAAATGGCTGGTTTCTCTGTATGATACGTGTGGTAGAAACCTGCGCGGGTTTGCCAGCCATGGTGCGCTTTCTTTCTATATGCGAACCACCTCTCAAATTCACTTTCACTTCAGCTATGAGGGGGATGTTCGTGCGAGGCGCGATGGTAGTTACGTTGAGTTGAAATTTAGCGTGATGAGGATACTTCATATATATGTAGAATACAGTACTAGCGAGACGAGGAAGAGCTCTAGGATCATTGCGATTGGGAAGTGAAGAGGAAATGGACTTTGGTGTCTTGACGATTGAACGAGGGGAAGGGGAGAAATAAATGAATAGCTTCATGAATAAATTAGGAATTAGGAATTAGAACCTAGGTATAAATCCCAGGATATCTGCACTAACCTACTAACCCCAAGTTGGAGACAATAGGGGGGGAGGTAAGAACCTGGACCAGTTCTCCGTATTATACATATACGCGAGCTGCCTTCCAACCACAACTGCAGTACATGCGACAACAACCCGCCCCATCGCATCCCTCGCCTCCTCATCTCTTCAATCAAAGAAAAAAAAGCAAAGGAAAATAGAGTTACACGCTAGACCCCTTCTTCAATAATCCAGCCCGGGATCATATCATTATCTAAGCCTATCATCTATAAATACACATTCCAACGGTATTTCCACGTCTGTGGCATGTAGCCACTTCCCTTTGTCATCATCCAAAAAGTATTCATGAATCCCAGTCGCCATCGCAATGCATATTGCAAATGCTCCCAAAAACAATGCCAGGTTTTCAAGCACACCCTTTTGGCCCAAAAAACATCGTTGATTTCCTGTATCAATCAAGTCCCAAGAACGCCATCGCAAATATGTAGCTTTGCTGTACCGTGCGAACCAGTCAAAGCCAAGTACGAAAAAGAACAGAGAGGCGAGAGGGAGGGTTATTTGAACAACCACATCAACTCCACGACTCTATCATCCCCTACACTCTCTTCAATCTTCTCACCCTTTTTAGGACCTGCTTTGGTCAGTTTTGGCGCTCGTTCAACATATGTCTGTCGCACTCCAACATCTTTAATAATCTCCGAATTTTCCATCCTTATCGTCTTCTTCTCCTCTTTCGTTTTGGCCGGTCGAAGCGGTCCAATGCGTTGGATGAATCTTTCTGGTTCATCCGGCCATGTGAATTCCACCTGGGACAACTCCTTGGCAGTGATGCCATGCGGATACTCGGCAATGGTGAAACCATTATGTAGGACAACATTATCTGCGAATAACCAGCGCATCAAGACTCCTTCATCTCCACAGGCTTTGGAAACGGTTGATACAGCCGGCATATTAATATCGAACCAAGATCTCCAATGATGGATTGTCAACATCCTTCTTCCGCTCTCAAAATAGCCGGATGCTTCGTCAGGACTGCCGTGGAAATCCATTTGGTTAAAGTAAGGATCGAAAGTTGGTCGAACGGCCGAATGTCGAAACACACATTCGGCGACGATTCCATCACCTTGATCGAACCCAATTTCCATACATAAGTTCCAAATTGTCGTTTCCGTGAGCTTAGCAGCCAGAGGAACCGAAATAAATATTCCTCCCCCACCAAATGGAATCAACCCAAAATTCTTGACCTGCTGAATGTTATCCGACAACGCAGCCACGAGCCGCTCCTCCTCGGCATCATAATGTTCATCCAAATGCGCGATGAGCGCGGGTAAGGAAGTTATGAAGGTATCGTCATCCATCAAGACAAGCCACTTCGTCTGTGGCGCTCGCGCCTCGTAAAGTTCTTTAACGAGCGAGAAATATCTCTGGGGGAAGCTAAGGTCAGAAGTTTTGATAGTCGCATTTATTCCCACGTCGCGCATCTGCTGCTGCGACTTTGCAATGTCATCGGATGGGGGTACGAGGATATTAAGAGTACTTTCGGTGTTGGCGAGCCAATGTTGGAATTGGGGAGTGGCACCTGGCAGACGGTCGACGCTGGTCGCAATCCCAAATTTCATACCCGCTGTATTGACTTTTGGTGATTTTGGGACGTCCAAGGTTAGGACTGGTAGATCATTATTGAAGGTGACTCTTTGGAGATCTTCTGGCTTTGCGCTCATCAGCACCGGCTCGCTCGATAGTTTCGTATCATTGAGATTCGTCAATTCGGGCCGGCGACCTTGGAGGGATTTCGTTTTGATTGTCCGTCTGCTGTAGCTGAAGTTCTCGGTCAAATGAAGCTTTTCCAAGTGAGAGAAGCTTTCGAACTCAGAATTGCTCCATGGCGCCGCTACAGGAACAGTCGGCGCGGTGACAGACTCGTAGAGTCCTTTCGCAGGCTTTAATAATCTATCGGAGCTGGTCGCCGAGAGAAACTGGAAGAACCATATGAATCCCAGCATAAATAATGCCACCGGTAGCAAGGCACTTCGTCGCAACCGTCTGATATCCAGACAACTCGAGACGTTCCCCATAATGGTGTTGGTGAGATAGGAAAAGGAATTGGAGGTGGTCCGGAGCGCTGTCTCGACCTCGACCTCGACAACTTCAACATGCGGCACAGGCCAAGGGAGTGTCTTTTTGATCCTTGAGGAGAGTGGGAACATGGTGGGACTCGTGGGAGTGGAGTGATGAGATGAGGTGAGGCCAGATTGGTTGCGGGCGATCACCGAGCGATCCCTCACATTTATTATGGGGAACACCAAAGGCGCGAGAAAGAGGTGCCTGTGCCTGTGCCTGTTCCTGAGCCGGCTGAGGGTATCTCGTTGGTTGATGATGGTGTTGGAAGCGCTGGTGAGGCCGTGGCAGTGCCGCTCGTCGCCTATCGGGATAGGAGCTCATGTAGGAGTACTGTAGTCTTACCTAATTTAATATTCACCCAATTTGAAACTGCTATATGCAGTACATTGTAAATGGCTTTTCTTTCGATCTTTCCATTTCGTAAACAAAAGATTCGATGACGGTGACCGAACCCCTGGGCTGTCGGGGGTTAAAAAGTCTTGTTCAAAAGGTTATTCCATAGCAGCTTGCCAGGCCAGGTTGACAGGTTCGGTAGGAGCCACCAAGAAGCCAACATCTGAGCGGTCGTACGCGTCGATTCCTAGACCAAATTGGAATATAGCAACGCCTCTTGCGACGCAGATACAGGCATTATTGGAAACAATCATCCGTCCTATCAGCCCGTCTCTGACATCGCAGGAGCTCATCTTCATCTGGTTGGTAGGATTCCTTCCCCCTTGAGCTGCGCTCCACCTGTATCCTCACGTAAGAAACCTCATGTCGTCAGACGGCGCAACCAAATCACAACATCAATGAAGCGAAAACACAAGAAAAAAGCCAGTAATATAGAAGAAACTTAGCTGCTCCGGTGATACCAAATGTATGGTATTGAAGGGATGAGGTTGAGAAATTCCCATTTTGCCGCAGACTAATTTTTGGTAGTGCCCCTCGCTTTAATATACACACGTCGAAAATCAATAACCATCCCGGGGATCGGGTATTATTTATACCACGAGTACTGTATGAAACCTAGTCGGCACTTTGCCGATAGTTCATCCCAATAATGGGATTTTGGGTTTATTCTGATCTTTTGAGTTTCTCATTTGCAGGAAGGACCTGGTTGAGACCTTTTTGACGACTTCCGTTGTTTCTTTGCAGTTCTTTTGTATTACTTTATTTTAATGGGGAAGTCAGAGAAAATCCATCGCGTGTTGTTGTTTAGGTAGTTGTTTTTTCTGCTATTATTGTTATTCGATTAGTTTGACTGCTTTGGTCCTCTATATTAGGACCTTTTATACGATTGTGGCATTATAAAATCGATCATGGGACTGAATCCTAGTCAATACTATGCGGTACTTAGCGGCGGGTAATTCCATCCGCTTTTTTCACTTACGCGAGCCATTTATATCTGATCGATGTATTGAATATCGGACTTTGATGATATTTCCATGGGCGACAAACAGTTAATCCTGTTCAAAAACTAATGGACATCACTATGATTATGATTATTTCACATTAAATTCTAAAACTCAAGGGGTCACTTTGTAAGATGTAAATGTTTTTTTGTGTAAGGTGGAGGAAATATCGATGGTCAAATTGTGTTCAAAATAATTGTTAGGATCGTTCGAAATCATATCAAATGATTAAATATCACAATACTCACAGTTATTCTTCCTCCTCCAAGGTCTCATGGCCCTGAAGTACCAAGAGCCAGAACGGAGTCGGCAAATTCTCCTCCTGGATGCAAACACCATCCGGGAACAAGAACTCCTCTCGGTTAAAAGACTCTCGACACAAGGGACACGACGCAGCGGTCTTATTCCTCACCCATCCCACAACACATCCCCGACAGAAGATATGTCCGGAAGGACAAGCGAGACGAACCAAATTCTCAGTGTCGCCACAGACTGGACAGCTAAGAGCGTCAGTTTGCGAAGTTTCTTCTGGGAGAACCTGACTTACTAGTGGTATGAGATGCTCTTGTCTAGCGGCCTGCTGGGTCAACAGTCGGTATTGTGCCTGGGATCGGAATGCAGATTCTACCATACCGTTCAAGAACTCAAGGAGTTGAATCCTGAGATTAGATTCTTGCAAAGCACTTGGTGCAGTACCTTGTGGACCCGCTCCTACCCAGAAATCTTGGAACCTTAAGCTCTGTACAGCATTCTTGCATGCACGCTCCGCGTTGAGCCTGGCAGATTGTAGCCAGGTCAGGACCGCCGTGGAGATCAAAGCCGAACCGTGCGTCAGCCCCGAGAAATTCGGGATCAGAGGCTGGAAGATGTCGAAGAGGCGCTGGGCTTCTTCTGGCATCACTTCTCGTGCGTAGGGTGAGGGTTGGCACATCAGACACGAAAAGTGGACTGGGACTTCGATGTTCTCCATTGAAGAACATGTTCCGTTTTCCTTGTCGTCGCATTCGTATTCATGAGTCTCGCGGTGGCCGCAGTCTCGGATGGTAGTGATGTTAAAACACATGTTTTCCTAGCTTTCTCGTTTGTAACGTAAAATTTGATCGTGGTTTATATGTGTTTACGATGTTAGTGTGGAATGCGGAGTAAGAGTGAGATGGTTCTGGGTTTGCTAGATCCAAGTTTCGCCCAATATACATAGACCATTATTTCTGTTGTTCTCATTAATAAACAATGCTGAGTAAACAAATGCAGAGGAAGCTTTCTTTCAAGTGAAATATGAGATAAAGAAATACTTTGGTGCCATTTTCTTTCTTCTTGTAGGGAGTGAAAGAAAAGGGTGAACAATCTCCTTGTTCTCTTTTCATTAGCTATTCTAGATTGCTGGAAAGGGGGTTCGTGTCACGTGAGTAATAAATTCTTTGAAGAACCTGTAAAATCCAGATTGCAGAACCTTAGAAAATGAATGGGTCATAGAATTTCAACTATTGCAGAACTTTTTAGTGAAATTATTGCCCACGTCTTCCCTTAGCCGAGCCTTGAAGCTTTCTACCCTTAAATACTTCACTCGAGTTGCGTTGGTTGGAATAGCCCTATCAAACTTAACAAAAAGAAATAGTTACTATCAAGATATCCACGGATATAATCTCCAACTTCCCTCTGTAAAAAAAATCTATAAACATCTAGTGTACAAAGATAAAATGTTAGAACAAACTCTGCCAGATCCAGGACTGTAAATCATATCATATTTCATGTCGCCAATAACCACCTTTCATCAAGTTCCATATTGCTTCATGTAATTCCATTTCCTCATCTCCATCCTCCGAATCTTCCGAGACCGATTCATGACTCGAAACCTTAGACACATCCCACCAAGGCTCAAAAGGCAAGAGGTCCGATTTGCAAACCGTGGATGGAGAGGGTAGAGTGGCGTTTTGGAAATAGGATTTTATTGCTTTGGCGGTGCAGCGGGAAGGGCTGGAGAGGGAAGTGTGCTTTTATCATGTTAGTGTTAATTTTGTTTGGTGGAGCGTGATGGTAAGGAAGTGAGAAAAAGATAGAGTGATATTGATTGTAGAGACAAGAAAAACGTACCCCATAAGCATCCTGAACGAGAATTTCTGATCCCGGGAACCCGGCTGCGTTTCTCTGGGCGGACTTCAGTGGCGTTACGTTATCGGCTGTATTTGCTATGAAGAGTATGGGTGTTGAGGTTCCGTTGGGTGCTTCAAATGGTCCTGGAATCAATCGACATTAGCACAAGATGCATTTTCTTTGCCGTAAAATAGATCCACATCGTAATACAGAAAACACGAACCAGTAAACCTCCACTTAGCTTGTGCCCCCCATCCAACACATCCCAACCTCATCTCCGCCATCGTACTCCCAATCATAGGAGCAATTCCCCTCAATTCATCAACATACTCGCCGTAAACATCTACACTCTCACTAACACCCCCATTATCAGAACACATGATCGCAAGTGTTGCGTCCTGACTTCCTTCCATATCCTCCTCCTCTCCTCCCAATGGCCCCGTCGGACATTGAAATGAATCCTGAGAAATAGGTGGGATAAGTTTGAGATATGGTTCCCCATCCCCTTTCTCTAATGCTGACAATATCTTGGCGAGAGTAGGAAAAAGAAGAATAGGTCGGTAGAGAACGCTCGTTATAAGACGCTTGACGGAGGAGTATGTGATGATTGTTGGTGTAAGGGAATTTTCCGTCCCTACAACCACGACTGGGTTCCTTCTTAACCTCTCTAACAGATTCTCTAGTCTCAATTGGATGTTCTCTTCGCTGGACGCGAAAAATTCGCATCCCTCTTCACCAACTAGGAAGCAGTAGTGGAAAAACGCCGTCGTGATTTTTTCGGTATCGGTAATGAAGATTGTGGCTCTAGAAGATGTATATTCTTCCGCCTCAACATTCCCATCTAAGACCATTCTTTCCACCGCCTCTGGGAACAAAGATGCGAATGTGAGACCGAGATACGTCCCGTAGCTAAATCCCCAATATTGGATCTTATCAAGATTTAATTGGGTCATTAGTTCGTGAATATCCCGAGCAGTAGAAGCAGTAGAGACGTAGGATAACGGGTTCAGCTGAGACGTTACATTATGGAATGGTGAGCATGATGGGGATGTGGTTGATGTGAGAAGACATTGTTGCGAGAATGCTTGTGCGTGGGCATAGGCTGAGTGCAAAGCTTCTGGGTAGGCCTTTTCCAGAACGGGCAGGGAGAGAGAATTCCAAAGTAGTGTAGATTGAGGAGTTGAGAAACAGGATATTTGAGGGGTTGAGTGACCAACTGTGCTCTTTGATAAGCCCTCGGAAGTTTGGTGATACAGGGAAACCTACCTCCTCGTGGATCAAAAGATATGATGTCCTGATTCTACATAAGCTCTTGCTAGTTTGGAGGGGGTAAAGACGTTTACAAAGTTCTTTCCTGCAATTGCCTGGTAATATCGTGCTAGATTTTTTACGAACCAAATTCCTGATCCTCCTGGTCCACCTTTTCGTATTCAGTATCAAAATTTGCTGACGGAAATGAGTGTATAATACCTGGGTTTATGAACAAACTCCCCTTATAGTTCTTCTTGCTGGTAGCATTGAAACGAATAACGGCAATACTGGCTCGGTATGCATCAGAAGGATCTAGCCAATCTAGAGGTACCTATTATCTTATTAAAAACTGTCCAAGATATTGATATCAAATATGAAAAGAAGGGTGATAAGAGTGAAAAGAAAACCAACATCGAGCTTTGCACAGTCATAGTTCCCATCGTAACAACTATGCCACCTCAATTTCTTCTCCGCGTGTGCCTTACTCCAATGCCACCTTTCCACATCCTTTCCAATAGAACCTCCCTTAACTCCCTCAAAGATCAGAACAGGATCCCAAAATAATAGCCATGCAACCCCCAAGAAACCCAATCCGAGAAGCAACACAATTATCGTGCGCCTGACCCTAATCTTCTCACCCCATTTACCTCCATCTTTCGATAAGGCTGGCCGAAGTAAAGGTGTCTTCTCGCTGGTTCCCATGGTGCATGTTTCCTAAGGGTCATGAATTGAACGACATAAGGGTTTATCTGTTGTCGGGGCCCTTATCAGTTTTTAAACTTCCGTGGTTAAGAGTACTCCGTAAAAGGGTCTCGTGAGAGTTTGGGATCGTGAGTCCTGAATGGATACGTGGGAGCAAATATGTGGATTTGCGGAGAAACGTCGGGGAAATTGTAAGACTTCTTGACTTCTTTTTCCTCGCATAAGACAGGGGGTAGCGAGGGAGCCTGTAAGACAGCAGTGGACAGGAATGATGTGGCAGGTCAGCTGACTGTACTCACTATGGGGGGTACTATGTAGATCTTAAGCATACAGAAACCGTGAAATTATCGATTCATCTCAATAGGGCTATACTTAAAGCTGTGGCAAAGAAGTCTTCACCTGGAAATGGGTCACGTGGATATATCTCTTGTGTCGAGACCACGGATCTTCATCACTTGGAATCTGAATACGGAGTATATACCACCTTGTTGAAACCATTTTCATCTTCAAAGCGTCTGTTCACCGTTGACTCCATTACCGGCCACAGTAAATCTCATCAATTCTGCTACAGTATTACCCAATATGTATTTCCACTCCTTGGCTAAGTAGAAAAAGAAACTCATCCTGCCCAAGGATGAGTAGGCTTTCAAAAGGTGTCTCACAAAACTCGATTCAATGTTGTCTCATACACGTAGTTGTTCGACTTTACATCCAATCAGCTTACTTTGATGGAGGCGGCGTTATCAACGAGTCATGATATTGATTTTCGGAAAGCGGTTCGTATCGTATATACGCGGCGCAGCGAGAGTTGGGAGAATATAGATCTCGGGGTTTTGGTTTCAAAATCTATTCGCGGCTTTAACTAGATAACAACTATCTAGCCTATACAAAGTTTGCAAACTTGTCGACATTAATCTGCTCCTTTCATTCGGACTCTAGCTACATGCCAGCGTTTAAGCTTGACGAAGAACCACTCATTATGCTCTGGATATATATATATATATACATATCCCAGAACCATGCGAAGCGCAGTGAGAGGATATCCGATTATGATAAGGTTCTTCTGGATTGCGAACAAGAGAAATAGAAGGTTGCGTTGAGAGCTATACAGGATTGTGGTAGGAAGTTGTTACTTAAGAAGAGAAATATAGGTCAAGATGGCGATTTGCTGCAATGGCTGCATCTTTTTACATATGTGCCTGAAGTGACAATCTTTTGATATCTCAATATTAAGTAATAAAAGGGGATCGTGATTTTCTTGATAACAAAGGTGAATTATGAACGACTATTCATGTTCATGGCCATGAGACTCAGCAGTTAAGCTGTGACTGTTTGCAAACGTACTCACTTTAGGGCTCAAGCACTTGACTCCACCCTGTGGTGACTCAGTCTGACTACCTCTCTAAAACCTTCGCATCTAAAAGCAACTACTCTTCAACTTCGACCGCTCACCTTCGATTTCCGCATCAAAACCAGACATACTCAGAGACCAACATGCAGATTTCTTTGGAGTCTCAAATACTCGTCTCTCATCGAAAGAACCCCACAATAACTATGTATCTCATCGTGGAGAACGAATACAACCCTCAACGAGAGCCCCGCCATCCCTGGAATGATTATACTTGGATTGGCCGCATTAAATGGTCTGCATGCTACCCTGCAGCTGAAAATCCATGGGTAAGAGCAATCTTGTAACTCTCCTAGTCAACAATCATTGACTTGCCCGAACAGAATGCCACCTCACCCTTAGCAGGCCCAGGCAAAGACGACAACATACCACCATCCAGCTCACCAGTCCAGTTCAGTCTGTTTCAGAGGCTCCCCTTCGAAATTCGAGAAATGATATGGGGGTTTGCTCTGGCAGCGATTGGGCCAAGGAATGTTTATCTGAAAGAGAAGGCGCAACGACGTCCTAAGTTTCAGGGTTATAGAGTTCGGTCGGACATCGTGACTGGAGAAGATTACCCAGACGAAAGACTGTTCAGAATGGTCATACTCAGTCCTAGTCAGTACGAGCAAGTGAAAAGTGACTTCAGAAAGCTGGGCAAGAACAAGGAATTACCTGAACCAAGTCACCCGTACCCAGTTCAGCACAGCATACCGTTTTATGACACAGTGCCGGGCAGCCCAGGATCCTCATATTATGACACGGACCTGATCGTTCCTGCGTATGATGGCCATTGGATTCGTTATAGAAAAAGGTTTCTTGGTTATGGCTGGGTCCAAATCGAATTCGAGGATCGCTATACGAGGTGCGTGCCAAAACCTATTTGCGGATGGGGAAAGACTTGTGCATTGCCAACTATTATCTTTACTTGCCGAGAAGTATTCGCTGTTGCATCTCGCTCCCGCACGTCTCTTCCCTCTCTTGGATGTTTCGGAAACAACTATCTTGACGTTGACCGTGAAATCTTAGTATTGGATGAGTATTCTTTCAAACACCCTATAGGACTTTCGCATCAAGATAGCTGCTATCCCGAGATAGGACGTACCGACCGGAACGAAAGTCTTCTTAGTCTTTGCTACAAAGAGAGGCACAGGATCCAGAGGCTCGCATTCCAGTTTGAATTTGAATTCACGGCTTGTAACGATTTATCTTTCATATTGTCTCAGTTTGACAACTTAAACGAGCTTATTTTGTTCGTTTACGACCAAGACTTCTGCTACGAAAAGCGCTTCGGTAACGACTCCTACAAGGAGTCTGAGATCGATCTCGAGTTATACGATCCGGTATCTAAGAGTGAGGCGAAATGGTCTGCAGCGCAAAGTGATGAAGTGGTCGCTAAGGTACGAGGTCATCTGGAAAAACGTTCCACATTTTGGGACCAGTGCGTTGAAAGGCAGGGGAGGAGTTTTGATGGCGGGCGTGGGCCTACAACTTGGCCTACAACTCTTGTTGTACCCAAGGTAATGAAGTTTATGCTCGCTACTCGCAAGCCAAAAGGTGCCAACACCCAGGTTATGATGTCCGTAAGACACTATCGGGAACAGGGTTGGGAGAGGGCGGGGATAGGATCGTATTCGAGCTTTTGCGAAGATCTGAATCGTTCGGCAACTCTTTGGTGTAGTAGTTAGTGGTGAGAAATATTAACGCTAGTGGATATCTAGATTCTCAATTGCGGTGTCTTTGAGTCGTCCCCTATATCTAGTCTTCAGATTATGAATACGTTGCCTGTGCCAAGTAACTATACCACATACTCCGTACAATCTTATACTGTGGCCCATTATCATGGCCTTCCTACTCTTTAAGAATGGTGCTCTTTCTTCTTCTTGACCCCAACGGACAAAATTAGAGCAACCGAGGAACGATCAATCCAATAGCAAACTATCCCTACTAGAGTATCGAGAACCAAAAAATACGTGCACAAAAATTAGAGTAAAATTACCCACTTTTATAACATCTCCCTAGTAAAACAAAGTCATTTGACCAACTGGGTAACATTTCTAATTATTTAAGCCTTAATTTGACCCACTTATCGTATATACCTTATCCACTTTCGAGCCCACGGTTTTTAGTTCTCGATACTCTGGAAGGAAAATCTAAGCGTTACAATATCGAATCTCACAAATTGAATGGTACTAATCACACATTTCGGACTTCTTTCGATTTGAGAAAAGATGTTCTGATGAAATTGGTGTAACTTCTTGAGAGGGTACTTTGACTTTGACTGCATTGAATATCAAATCACTAGCAAATCACAAACGCATATCGAGGAGTGAAGGTCTTCATACAGTTCACTGTGTTTGGTGGGTTTCACATGCCCCTTGAATTCATCCTTCGTAATGTGATGCGGCTCTTCAGCTTAAATCAGTTTGTGCAACTATGGCAGTGAATAGAGTAGTCCATGGGATTATTTCCGTTCAGCCCTACCAAGATGTAAACAGATGCTTTCTATTCACTCGCCTAAACAACACGCCATTATCTCATACCTAAGAGAGTCTGGGGTAGCGAGGTGGAGACCGCCTAATCATACCTCCGGACTTTCGTCCTTCCTATCTCCATGAAATTAAACACAGGGTAATGGCCATGTAAACAATGTCACCAAGCCCACGCAACTAGACAAATCTTGGTGTTCTTTAATTTCTATTCAACGAGTGTATTTAGGTAAGATATTACCTATAGCAATCTATCCTGAGAATGCCTATGTAGCGCACGTAGGCGAGCAAGTACCAGCTATGCTGCGTGATACAAAATGCTAAACATATGTCATAACCTCATTAGCAACCCCAAAATGCGTCCGTCAAAATCATCTCCCAAATACAAATACATAACCTTAGATGTCAAAGCCACGAAAATTCCGGAAATGCCACCTGCACACCTTCTCACATGCGTCCGCAAATGTAACACCACCTCGCCAACATCCAACCGCAAAATAAATACCAACAACCTTGCCCTTCAAAACTTACCAACCCCATTCTCTGGCACGTCGTCTTCCCAACTTTCCCTCCCGTCCCCAAACACGTCTCAACTCCCTCTCTCTCTCCTCCCTTCCTTCCTCCCAAAGATATCGCTCCCCTCTTGCGTCTCTCTCCCTCTCAATCTCCTTGTATCGTTCCAAGTCAATATACTTCTCTGTCCTCGGATCAAGAATCTTATCACGCGGCGCATACGCAGAATTTTCGTCGCGGGAAAGATAGATGTATAGTGGGTGCGAATGATGTTTTGAAGACGCGTGGTGCGAGGATGTGGGATAGTAGTGAGCGGATGGGTTAGAGGATGTATGGCGATGGTGATGGTGTGATGAAGGCTGGGGATTGGACATGGTGAAGAGTGAGGTTTTGGGATGGTGGCTGCGGTGGATGGGATAGTAAGATTTTGAGGAGAGGCCGAGACAGGTTGAGGAGACGGGGTCGAGGTGTGTGGTTATTAGGTGTTTTAGTTCTGGGGGGAGGGTGTTGAGGTTTGTGCGTTTGGAGTGGGAATGGGAGTGGGAGGGGGTTGGTGTGTAGGTTTGTGTATGGAGAGTGTAGGGTGTTGAATAAGTTGGTGCTTGGGTATAGTAATCTATTAAATGTCAGTCTTGGTTACTACTTTCAAGTCTCAAACTGTGATGTCTGGTTTTGGTAAACGAACCAGATGGAGTGTAGTCGTAGTTGTAAGATGAGACTGGGATTCCTCTTGTCATGTAGTCTCTTCTCCGACTTGAACCCGAGTGATGATGATGGTGACTTGAATGATGAGAATGCGAAGATCTTCTATGCTTTCTCGGAGAGTGCAAAGAAAACAGATCCCTCAAAGTGAAAGGATTCCTTTTGTAATGAGGATCTGTCCTCCTCATCTTGCCCATTGTAAAGGTGGATCGTCTGACTCTTGCAAGACAAGATGTGTTGTTAGACAATATGTATTGTCTTTGCAGAATACCAAAACAGAAGCAGGGGCCAAGTAAATATATATGGTGGATAATAAATAACGGAATTCACCGCAAACGAGATTCGACAATTTCAAGATTGGTAGATGGGATGGAAACGACAGTTAATTCCGGAAGTCAGATGTGGGAGATGAGGAGAGTTGGGTATTCTCTTCCTTTTGTCGAAGCTCATCAACTCCGTCATGAAAGTGATCAGCCCTACGACCTTCTATGGCCCCTTCAAATCTCAAAATAAGAAACCCAACGCCGACGCCTCGTAAACACGGTCATGACCCCCCATCAGCACCCTCAAGCTGAACTCCAACATCTCAAGCGAGGACTTGACTCCATTTCCAACCCCACCACAGTACTCCTCAGGCGAAAAAGAGATCGAGATTTTGAGCAAAAGATAGCATCAGATGTGAACCACTCCTCAATATGTGGGAACTGTCAACAGAAGTTCGTGTCACATCAAACAAGGATGTTTGATTAAGCGTATCATCACCTTTCTTCGCATGACCCAACCAGTGCTTCTATGACTGCTTTCTTCACGAGGTGTGGGCTCAGCCTCTTTGGGACCCGTGATCTCCGATGTTGGTGTAAGACAATAAAATAAGGTGGGTTGGTTTTCATCAGCTGTTATTTCTCATCACGTGGACGATATAAGCGAATTTCCATCATGGAACTTCCATTACATCAGGGCAGGGAGGTTATTAGAAAACCATTGGTTTATGACATAGAGATGGTCCACTAAAACCTTTCTAGAAGTTACGCAATGTAAGAAAGATAAAGATTCTGACAAACTTCACGATCTCGAAGCGTCCCAAGGATGCACATAAAAGGAAGATGCATGCATTATGACCTCTATACACCCAACCAAATTCCTCAGATTCTCTATAATAAATCTACCCTCTACTAAAACCTGTCCTAAATTCCTCAGATTCTCTATATTAAATCTACCCTCTACTACAACCTGTCCCAAATTCCCTCAAAACAAAATAAAAACAAAATATATCCCTCAGACATCCTGAGAGGAAATTTAAGCCGCAACCAACGAAATATCATCAAAATACCATGCCCGATCCTCAGTCGCAGTACCATAGCAATTAATCCTAACATCAATCGATGCCTTAGTCGCCATAGTTCCCGCTCCTGAAAGATACGTCGCATTACCCTCCAACCACTCCGTCGTCAAATCCTGAGAGGAGTGACCTACGAGACCAGCGAGAACAGTGCCATTACGGTCAGCAACCTGGTAGCGGACCGAGCAGCCCGTTCCTTCTTTTGAGACTTTGGTGAACTGAATTTGTGTTAACAGGATATCTGTGATATGGATCGCAGGAGTTGGAAAGGAGAGACAAACCGATTGGAAGTTGTAGAGCGTCTTCTCACAGAGACTAATATGCTGATTGAACCAAGTCTCATACCCAATTGCGCCTTTCGTGTACATAACCGATGCACATTGTTCACCTGAGTGGGGATCCGTATCATTCGTAGTGGCTCGGAAATTATAAGGTGTCTCTGGGTTTGGGTATTGTCTTCGCCAGCGAGCGGGAGGGGATGTGAGCTCGAATCCTGGGTTGGTAATAGGGGTTGCGCATGCGCCCTAAAGCAAGCAGTTAGGAAAAGGACAAGACATATGTATGTGAGATGGGGAGATGTGAAGATACATACAGTAGGACGACTAGGAGTAACAGAAGTCCTAGTATAATAATCCTCGCTCGTAGACGTAGAAGTAGAGTAATCGTTGCTCGCAGTACTCGTAGAATAGACCCCCGAAGTGGAAGTAGAATACTCAGCACTCGTAGAAGTAACAATCACAACTGTCTCCGTGCTCGAGCTGGCAAGTACCGAGGAGCTGGTGCTTGTAACGCTTCGTGAAGGTCCAGAAGAGGTCCCAGTATACGCAATAGATACTCGTGAAGAGTACCTTCCGGATGAATTTCCAACATAAATCTCCCTCTGATTCTGCGTCTGACTCTGACTATTACGAATCTTGGAAACGGCATTTTGAGACTTAGGAACTCCTGCTGCGACGCCGCAAATCGTAATTGCAAGGCTCAAAGAGTGAGCGAGAGAGAAGCGCATTGTGCGTGAGTAGAGAATGTTTGAAAAGGAAAGTGCTGAAATGGAAAAGAGTGGGAAGAAGAGGAACAGAAAATTAGGACGTCTGAATTCTTTAGTATCTTGACGGCGCGACCACCAAAACGTAGATTGGGCTAGTAGTAATTGAAAATTAACAAGCGTGAGATTTGGAATTTGTTGGGCCATGCTAACGGAGTCCGTCTCGACTGATCATTTTAAAAACATCACTAACATCGCTGGCACCACTGTGTGTCTATCCTATCAAGCACACCCTCAGCTCTTCAGACTCCCTATCGAAATCTTCGTGACCCGATAATTACTCTACAGTGACAAGAAAATCCGTCTGAAAGAACATACTGATAGGGAGGATTGATACGTATACTCTCACAATGTATTATATTTCCAAAACATCCAAAACGCCGCACGCCATGCAATGATCCCAACTATAAACTTGTATCGAACCACCTATTGGTATCATGCCTAAAAATGCCTACTCGACCCTTCCTTCGATCTTTCCGTACACGCTAGGGGTTTCCGGGGGTTCGTCATCGCTCATTAAACCTGCTAGTTCGAATTCTTCTGCATCCCTGATTTGCCTCGAGTCTGAATGCGAATGATTTCCCATTCGAGGCGCACGCGCTGGTGCCTCGCCGTCCTTTGGTGGAACTGCTGGGGCCGAGTTTACCGCGTACAGGTGAAGGAGCATATTCGTGAAGAGGAATATGATGAAAGAGAAACTATACAAGACCAGAACGTAAGAAACGTGGGTTATGCCAGCATCTGAGATGAGTTGCATTTGTTCTTCTGTAGCTCCCATGAAGAGAAATCCAGATGCATATAACAGCTATGTTCGTCAGTACTTGGTCGAATTGATTCTGCGACAGGTTTGGACAGGAAACTTACGAATGCTGGAATATATTGGAAGCTATTAGCTTCCCCATCCTCAGAGATAGTGTGTTGGTCTTTCAAGACAAACGCAATCTCAACAATTCTGGTTAATCCTGCAGCCATCAATGTATACCCAAAAACGGTATGAACCATCGTGCTGAGGGGCAAGTGTTGTGGATGACCCGACATAGCCCAACCAGTCATGAAGATAACAAAACCGGGAATGAAGTTTCTCTTTGGAGATCCATCCCTCTTTCTGCTCAGCCAAACCCCAGCAAGACCCGCGGCCCACCAGATGACTCCCATTGTGGTATGTTGAATATCATTGGCGACCCACGCTCCGCCCCATCTGTGTTCAGTGAAAGTGTTTACGCACCCCCAAGCAGCAATAACCATGGAGTCAAAGAATTCTTGTGACCGTCCCGTTCGCTTCAACCAATGCTGACCAACCAGCATAACCACGGTGAGGAGGATTCCGTATGCGATGAAAGCACTTCCCATGATGAAATGTGCAAGGCATTGTCCCAAGTGATCGTCTCGACAGAATCCCAAGGCCGTGATACCACCAAAGAGCATTTGTGTCCAAGCTACCACTGGCATGGCCTTTCCGACAATTCCGTGGCCATAAACCGCCACCTTCCTGATTTTACCGTGGAACCCCTTTGTGATGTGGAATTTAAGGTAGATGCCAAAAGTGACTTGAACGGCAAGCATGAGCATCAACCAATTGGCGAAATCAGCGTGCACATTCGACGCAAATTCCTTTCCTTTGTGAAGGTGTCCCAAGAAGTATGCCAATATCGCAATGACCGTTCCCGTTACTTGCACTGGTACGTGAAATCGGTTCTTCGTCATCTACTCCTGCAATTAGATGTGTTCTCCTAGCAGTGGCCGAGATGGCTACATACCCCCAGAACCATTCCCGTGGGAAAGATGATGCCAAAACTTAGCATCATCAACAGGATATGTATCCATAATATCGAGTCCTACAATCTGCAGTCAACATCGCCGTCCTACTCGCAATTCCGAAGTATCCCTCTGCCAATATCACATACCATTGGATCTGAACTGGCCGCTTCTCCTTGCACGATCTTTTCCGACATTCCGTGGCCGCCGTGTCCTGTTACATCTCGAGGGAAGGAAAACATGATCGCGGTAATGATGCCAAAGGTCTGAGAGGACATGACACGACTTTTGACAGTCCCTCGAGTCGCCATCTCGCACGGCGGGTGGGGATTCGCCCAGGTTGCAGGGCCCAAGGGGGATCCGAGGTTTCAAGATTATGTGGGTCGGTTGGTATAAAAGGAGGGCAGCGTCTGTGTGGTTGCGTGCCGTATTGGTACAATACCAGGTACTGGATGCGGAGGTAATCCGTTCGTATCCCTAATTCTCAAGAACAGCAAACTTCTCAACCCTCAGGAGAATTCGATCAAGTCACGTCGCTAAGGTAAGTTGCAGGTGGATGCCAATCGCCGTTGCGGCTCATACCAAGTGAAAGCGCAGTCAGCCCTGGATAGCACCACCAGTGGGTGACAGAATTCGTGGGACAGCACAACTTCTAAATTACGTAATCAAAAACACCAAAAATGCTTAGATATCATACCTTAATAATACATACTCTTTAAACCGTTCAAATGGACACTAACACGCCTACTCACAGTAGAGAGGACACGCCAGATCGTCAAATACACCACCGCGAAGCTACTACTACCAAAAAGACCCGGTTTTACGAGGCCTGGGACGCCCGGCACGGCGCAGAAACACATAAGGCTATTGGGGCAGATTTGGGAGTAACCAGGTCTACGGCATCACGATGGCTCAAAGAGCGTACTCAAATAGGGTCTGCAGCATACCGGCGGACGCGGAAGAGGTCAAATATACTTGGGAGGCGTCGTCTTATCTCAAAAGAGAGTTGTTTACTCCTTGTCAACCCAGCCAAAAACCCCGTCCAAAACCAGCACTACGAAGCTCAAATGAAATACCACAAGATCAAGGGTTCCGCCCGCACTCTACAGCGCGCTTTGCTCAGGCATACAAACAAGGCCCGTCGCTATAAGGCTGCGTACGTAAAGAAGAAAACCTCGAATACAAACCGGCAGAAACGGACAGAATACGGGAGGAAGTGGCAGTACAAGACAGTTGAGAACCATTGGCGTAGGGTTCTCTGGACAGACGAGGCACATATTGATCCTACCTCTAACGTTCAAGACTTCTACCTCCGTGAGCAAGGGAAGCGTTATAAGCCCGAATATATACAGGAAAGGGGGGAGAAACGGGGCGTACGGCTACACATCGCAGGGTGGTGTAATTGGCATGCCAAATGCGAGAAACTCCAGTTCTACCACGACGAAGAGGATGAAGTTATTAAAGCTAGGAAGCCTAGGAAGCCTCGCAAAACCAAGTACTGTACAGACGAGGAATATGCAGAGTTGATACTAAAGTGGGAGGCTGAATGCGAGGCACACGATAAAGAGGTTAAGCCAAAGGGGAACTCCATGACCGGCCTCTATTACGTAGAACGCCTTCTTCCTTTTTATATCGATGCAATTCAACACCTAAGGATTACAGAGGAATGTATAAACAGTAGTTGGCTTCTTCAGGAAGATGGGGACAAGTCTCATGGTATACAGAACCCAGATAGCCTTGCATCAGTACTCAAAAGGGCTAATTGGATCACGAACCTTGTCCACCCTCCCCAGTCCCCAGATCTCAACCCTATAGAGGCTCTTTGGAATATCCTTAAGCAAAGAACACGTCGGAGAGTATGGAATACAATTGCGGAGCTTAAGGAGGTGGTTCAGGACGAATGGAGTAAGATTACAATGGAGGAAGTTCGTGCCCGTATAGCGGATATGCCTCGGCGATGTAAATTACTAATTAAAACGAGTGGGAAGCCTATAAAGACTGCGAAGTGGTAATAAAAGTTTGAATAGTAGTAATTTTTAGTGTTCTTGATTACGTAATTTAGAAGTTGTGCTGTCCCACGAATTCTGTCACCCACTGGTGCACTCAGAGTGGAGATTATTCATTCATGCGCCCATTGGATAGAACTTGCTCAATTGGTCAGCCTATAAACACGTGATCTATAAATACCTCACCTTTACTAGTACGGTATATCGGGCTCGTAGGTAGCTTTTTTCAGTACACTTTGGGATGAGACGATTCATGGCCTTTGTCAGAAACCTTTGTCCCTGGATCAAGCCAACCTCATCGAGGTATCCACGGCTCTTTCTAACGGTCACATGACATACCTCCTCAGTCTGGCTGGGCAGTCCTGGAGCTGGAAGTGAGGTCTAATTGATGACCCGACTTCGTGGACTCAAATCATAGCGGGAAAATCATCTTTACGCTTCCATTGGATGTGGCGGATTCTGGATAATGCTGCATTGTCTCTCCTCCCAGAATACAAGCAACGTATCTGCCATCACGCCTACCTATTCGATTATATAAATCAATAATTACCAACAAAGAAGTCCTCGTAATATCACCTCCCGTTAGACAAAAGAAGTAGCAGTGATTATTTCGCTTTCTGTTAGCCTGAGCCAATTCATATTATCTAAGGGTTTCAAGTGTATCGGGGCAATAACTGCTCCAGTATTATAGCTAACTGTTTTGATTTAGCGAAATAATTAGAGCAGTAGAAATGTCTCAATCAAGCTACGCGAGAAAAGGCCACTTGTCTCACATACCCAGAGCATACCTCGCTTCGTTGTCAGTGCGTCTCTTTCTCTGAGCGACACAGACCTACTCTTCAAGGGTATCGAGGTTGCAGGTGTTTCCAAAATGATCACCTGACTTTTTATATACGGAGGTGGAGGAAGCTGATCGACTCCTTCTCTCGGCGCTACAGGTAAACTCAAGATACATCTTAACAAATTCCCAAATTCCAATCAGCTTACGGTACAGATAATAGGAGTCATAAGATTCATAATTACTGAAAATCATGGTTGACCTTTCTTAGGAGGTACGTAACGTCTCGCGCTTACGTGCCAAGATTGGTCTAGCTCATTCCACCCACCAGTACCCCTCGGACACTTATTCTTCCGACTACATCTTTCTGGAAACCTCAAATTCCAACAGTCATCCGTCTTGCTCTGTGCCTCTGGAGGTTGCTTGTGCCCATTTACATCATTTTGTGTTGCCTCTCGGTGTCCTATATCGTTCGGACGACGTATCTTTCCCATTGGGGACCCGTTAGGACCGTTGGAGAGCAATAATTTGGTGTCTTATGTTTCAGGACAACGTTATTCTCTCCCATCACACCATCGGTTAATTGCTTGGAAGGTGTGACCCTACCTGCTGTTTTTGTATGTTTGGATATTGCCTTCAGTTTCATTAACTTCGATGTTATGGGCTATAGCGTTGTCGTTGTTGCTGCTGCGCAACAGTCCTGGCTGACTTGCTTTATTCAAGGTACTCCTAGTGATAGGCTAGCCACGTGCGATACGAAGACCCTCAGGAGTTCATCCTATCCAGGAGTTCAAAATGTCTGATAAAGAGAGCTCGTCTGTAAAAGATGTTGCTCAGATCCGAAGAAAACATCCATGGTATATCATTTTCCCCTTAGGCGTAGCTAACACAGCCCCAGAAGTCCAACACATTGATTGCTAATCAGATTTATACAGCGTACTATGCCAACAACGTAAAGTAAAGTGTGACAGAAACGATCCATGTGCAAATTGCATCAGATCTCGAGTAGAATGTATATCAGCAACCAATCTTCCCCCCAAGAGACGGAAGAAGCGATTTCCCGAGGCCGAACTACTTGCACGATTACGCAAGTACGAAGCTCACTTGAGGAACTACGGTGCTGACCTGGAAGCAATTAACCGAGAGGAAGCCCCACCCTCTTCGAAGGAGCAGTCAAATATTACTGTACAACAACTTGAAGCTGGTTGCCGATCGTTATCGGTTGGAAAATCTTTGACGCATGTTGACAAGTATGTATTCTTACCCCTTCCCGTGATGGACGAAAAAAGCGGTAGTAAAATATACCATTATTATTTCTAGTTTCTAGAGCAACTTTGGGTAACTAAGCTCAACCTTTCGGACTACTGCTTTATTCGTCTTAGAATTTTCGGTTAATCGTTTTGATTACCTAAAGCTCTTGGAATAAACCAAGTTACCCAAGGACATGGCCATTTACTGCCGCTGTTTCCGTTCACCTCGAGCCTCTTTTGGAACGTTTCATGCTGATGCTCTTGATAGTAACTTCTGGGGTAGTAAGAATGACGAGGTTTGTACCAACACATGCACTGGTAGTCTTTCGATAACATAATGACGTTTAACAGTTCCGAGACGCCGAAGAGTTACTTCAAGGCTCATCTGACGATGAAATGTTCAACGATCCCATCACCAAAACATATGACGAGATAGACGTAGAACCAGATGATCTTATCTTTGCGGCGTCTTCAGTTGATGACATAGCATCACTTCACCCTCCACCAGTCAGGATCTTTCGGCTATGGCAAACATTTCTTGACAATGTCAATCCTCTACTCAAGTTATTCCATGCCCCGACAGTTCAACAGCAGATCCTCGATGCAAGCGCAGATCTTTCCAAGATTTCTAAAAGCATGCACGTACTTATGTTCGGTATCTACGCCATGGCAATTTCATCTCTAAACTATGATGAATGCAACGCCATATTCGGCGAAGAAAGGAAACCCCTCTTGAAGCGCTATCAAAACGGTTGCCGACAAGCTCTTATACGAGCCAGTTTTCTCCGAACTTCAGACATGACCATACTCCAAGGTTATGTCCTATACCTCGTAAGTCTCGGATGGGAGCTGTCTCCCATCCATCAACTAGCACTAACACTTTCCAGCACTCGGCTGCTAATTTCACCGTCGACCCTCGCGCCCTTTATTGTCTCACCGGCATAGCAGTCCGCTTAGGTCAACGTATGGGCCTAAACTTTGATGGAACACTTTGCGCCATGCCTCCCTTCGAAACCGAAATGCGTCGCCGTCTCTGGTGGCAAATTGTATTCCTCGACACTCGTATAGGAGAACTATCTGGTAGCGCTACCTCGATGTTTCAACACATCCGTAGTGTCCACCTACCTCTAAACGTAAACGACGCCGACCTCTTTCCAGACATGCGTGAGCCACCTGTCGAACATCCCGGCGCCACAGAAATGCTCTTCGTCCTGCCTCGTTGCGAAGTCATTAAGTTCCTTCTGAAAAATCAGAGCCGGCATCCCCCAGTGGGACCCGGAATATTAGAGATTCCCCAAAAAGAAATGCAAGAATTCGAAGATTACGTGACAGAAAAATACCGCAAGTGCTCCGATCCTCAGATACCTTTGCATAAATCCTCAATTTTGAATACACGATATCATATCCTGCGTGCTAAACTGAGAGGTCGTCCGCCAAGTTCTTACGTGCGGAATCCTAACACTTCGGAGGCGGAAAAGGAGAAGGTTTTTACCCTCTCTCTGGAAATGGTGGAGACTTTCCATCTTATGATTACGTCCCCTAATATCGAAAGGTTTCACTGGATGGTGTTCAAGAATTTTCCTTTTCCCGCACACGTCCACCTGCTCGTCGCTTTACGTACACGTACCACTGGCCCTCTATCGGATCGCGCATGGGATGCACTCATCGAGCACGGAAGGATTCGGAGAAGTCTTAGTTGGGGAAAGTGGAGGGCCGAGGACAGGAGTACCTCTACAGTTCAGTTAGCCATGGCGAATCTTACCATCAAGGCTTGGGAAGCGAGAGAAGCTGCTAGGCTACCTTATGTAGAAAAACGACCGTCTTTGATTGGAGACTTGATGGAGGTGCTTCAAAGAGGACGAGACGAGAGAGGCAGTACGACAGGGAGTTCACCGGGATCGATGGCTCTGGAAGTGATGGGTGCAGGACCTCAGAGTACGGAAGGCTTTTGGGGATCGGGATGGCAGGGGGATCAGAATATGGGTATGGGAATGGGTTTCACTTTTGGGAACGGGAGTGGGATGGGGGGTATAAATGGGATATTGGGGAACGATGGGTTCGGTGACATGGGCATGGGAATGGGAATGGGGATGGGGATGGATATGATGGGTGTTGCTGGGGGGCGGGTGAATGAGAATGCCAATTGGGCGATTTGGGGAGATTTTACGACGGGGTTTGAGGGAACGGGTGGGGTTGGGACGAAGCAGTTTTCTAGTAGGGAGAATGATTGGCAAGTAGGAACTTGATTATGAGAAATGCGCGGGAAACGAAATTCTCTAACATGGGAGGTCAATCTTCTGGGTAAGGGCTTATGCGGTGGGACGGTGTTGGATATACCCCCTCAACTCTGAATATCTGAATAACAGTTTTGACTTCGTAGAAAGATATAAGTCATCCAAACATAAACAAAAGAAGTGGACTCTGTAATCTTACCCAAACGGTAAAGGAAGGCTTGGCCGCAATTCTTTCTCCGACTATTACTACAAATACACAAGCATCTTGATATACCTGAACTTCCACTAAGGATCGTGTCCTGAAATAAACTCAGCACATGCTTTTGGCTGGGCTGATTGAGTATATCTTCGTCGGACCTCAGTAGTATTTTAGACCAAACCGAGAACTGTAAGTTATATGCTATAGTTCTAAATACTCTTTTCCTACTACTGAAAACAGGCCTCTTAAATGCTCAGAGTTTGGAAAAGAACGCTTTAGCAATGCTGGAATCGACCAGGGGAAGCTTGCATATGGGAATGTCTTGCTGTAAAAGGTTCTAAAGCTTGGCATTAAAGAAGACTCAGGTCCCCCCCTTGATTGCAAATCCAAGTAATGAGGAATACCATATAATCTACATCATCAATTTTCAGTCCTCAATAGTCCTCAAAAACATTTCTTTTGTGGTGGAAATAAATCTTGCTGTCAAATCACGCCTTTTTTCACGATCGAATTTCTATTCTGGTCACAAGAGTTTGGCTTTTGGAAGCAAAACTTGTGCAAAAACATTTCTTCTTTGCTACATCTAGAACGTTCTTCGATATTGTGTCATCCATGATCTTTGGTTACTTGGTGACTGCGGCCTTTTTGTGCATGCCTATAACGTAGCTATTTTTAGAGTGTGATCTGGATTTTAAGCGCTCCTCCTATCGCGCGCATTGAGAGTCGTCGCCATATAAAGGGGGGTATGGATCCCTCTATCTACTTGTTGTATGATATTTGAAAGCCGAGTACGCGATTTATATGCTCATGGACTGCAGTAATCATCATAGATTAGCCTTTGCGTCAGGAAATTGATTCTTAATTTAATTTAAAGAAAGTCAGCTCAGAGCGCAAGTTCTGTTTGAGAATCTTTCAACGAGTATCCATACAATTACAATTGTGGTCGCTGCCCATATCATTACGCTTGCACAGGAAAATATTTACAGATAACCTCACAGGAGGAATGGCAGTAGTACTTACTACTCAGGGCGGTCAACATAGCTTACAATTGGATTATGGAGCTTTAAAGCAAGTGATTCACCGACGGAACTTTTACACCAAATCCCCAAGTTTTTTATCAGATATTTGGAAATCTGAGCAAAATGAATTCGCATCCAAGCTGCTGTTGATTGGTTTCTTACTGTCGATTTTTAGAAGCTTGCCATTTCACAAGGATAATAGCAAAAAGACAGGTGAGGTGGGAGCTGACGGAAATAATGAGAATCATGACTCTGATTTACTTACAATCTCAAAAACTCGTTCAACGGCTTCTCCAATCGCTAGGACTAGTTCCCACCTGCAATATCCCCATGAACTCTGCTCCAATTCTTCAATATTCCCATCTTACCTAATAGCTGCGACCTTCTTAGAGACGTCTTATTTTAGTTTCTCTTTCTTATTCTTCGTGTTTTCTATTTTGGTGGGGATTCAGCTCACAAGAGGATGAAATCCTTGGCAACTTCATTTGAATGTGCTGGGAAAATGGCGTCACAAGTAGATCTACTAGCAAAGCCATTGAGCATACTTACTGTTGGTACATTCAAGTCCCAGGAGGGGAAGTCACGTAGTACTGTCTAAGACAGTCTACAACACCACTATATTATTAGCTAGTACCCATACTCTCTTAGAACACCGTACAAATATACGAAGATTATATTCAGTGTCTGGGCCTAAGAAGCCAACCCATCACTTACCATAATCTATGTCTGAGAAAGAGAAGAATGTGGCTGAACCGTTTCTCTTCCAGGAATGTAATCCAGCATGACTGGCACATGCTAGTCAGATTGTTGGTGCTCACACACATGACGGTCCTCGCATCTTCTTCTCAGCTAATTTCAGGGGTAACAACAATGTCTCCTTTAAATATCTTTTACGACACGACAGCTGATTAATTCAATAGAGCTCCACAATGGTCAAACCAGGATTTTTTTTTAAGGCTCCCACGTTAATTTCTTAATAATATTCTTTCCACAACATCGTAAATTACTCTGAACTTAAATGCTTGGCATTTTTGGCAGTACACTTTTTATATTGTGCAACCCAAATCATGCATTTGTCTTCTTTTGGGATATGGGAGTCCACGTTTCTAGTAGAAAAGTCTACACTAATTAACGACAAAATAATGTTCTAGATCATTACGAGAATTTTGTGGGTAGGGTCAACTTCTGCTATAGAGTTCCTTTCAAAGAGTGAGAAATCAATATTTTTATAAGGCTTTAATCCCAAATATAAGCCTTCTAACAATAGTAGGTAGAAGAACTCTGCGTTACAACAACGGAACACATCAGCATCCTGCGTTGCATTAGATTAATGTAAAAAGCAGATTCCAGCTACTTTTCTGTCTTCTCTCTTGATTTCCAAATGAAGGTAATCCTTTTCTTAACACCAGCTTTTGTAAAAGAACAGCTTGATTCAACATTCTTACTGTTAATGGTCAAAACAACGCTGCTTCTCAGGCTTAGGACCATGAAACAAGACTAGTATAAACCAAATCCCCAGGGAGCTTAACAGAACTGTATTCACTTACAATGCGTGTTGATATTCCACAATAGCGTAAGTATCCCGCTAAGAAGGCCATGGAGGAAATCCCACTTCACTGTGGATTTGTGCATCTTCATGTGCGAGAAAATATGGAGCCTAGCCTAGTCTGATTTGCTGTTCAAATGCATGTCGAAGTTAGCTTCCTCCCAAAAGAACAGCTCCTGGTCAGCTCCATCGACAAGCCTACCTACAGAAAGGTTTTCGTGTAGGACTTGCCAGTCTGTGTTGTATGATCTCTAAAATACAATAGCAGAAGCTAGAGACATCATCTCGGATCTCCTTGGGCAACACATTGGTAAGAAATACTCTGGTGGATCATGTGTGAGGGAGGCTAACATGCTATCTTCTGTTCTTAGATGACAAGTTCCTTTGAGATCTTTGTGTTAGTCCAGAAGCGAACCTCAGCGCTTCATCTACTTACCGGAGTAGCCACTGCACCGCTCTTTGCAACCTTGCGAGGCAGATCACCCATTGGAATAATAATACTTACGACTCGGGGGTCTATTCTATATCAAAATAATATAGATTTCCACCAGGTAGGAACTCCATCTCCAATAGCATAAGAAGCATATGACGCTAATGTTACAATGCGTAGATCCATCACGGAACCGTCGAGATGCCTAAATGTACGAGACCGTTCCAGAAACCGCTCGCTACGAGTTTTATCCCGGCTACCTACAACAGATTCGACCCGGAATCTTACAGCAGCCGGCCCAGCTCATCATACTAACCGGCCGAGCCTTTATATCCCGAGCAGGAGAGTATGCAGAAAGAAGAACTTGGAGCTTGGCAACATGGCGTTAACAAGTCTTCGGGAACTTCCTCGGTGAACCATGAAGAACGATCTGTCTCGGAACAGAAGCAGGAAAGCCTCGAGCCGGAATCTGAAGACCATTCTCAAAATCAAGATATCCAGGCCTTGCAAGAAAGTATTCGAAAGCTTCAGTTGAGCCTCGAATCAGAGACGGACCGGAGACAGAGACTGGAACGTGAGAATCAAGAGTTGAAGGAAAAGGAGGCTGAGAGTTTACTGTCAGAAATTATGCAGCTTCGAAGCTCCAACGATGAGCTACGGATGACTCTTACAACCACGGAGATAGAACTCGAAGCCAATAAAAGGGAGCATGAGGAGATGTGCGAAGATTACCAAGAGGAGATGAAGAAGAAAACAGCCAAGATTGAGGAACTCTACTCGGAAGCAAGAGAATTGAAGGCAAAGTTGTGTGAGCTTAATCTTGAAATGGAGGATGAGAAGTTCTCGCAAGGAGAGTTCTTAAACGAAGAACCTTTATCATCCTCGGCTGGATGTATGAAATGCAAGCATCTGCGTCTGCAGCTAAAGGGCTCTAACAAGAAGCTCCAAGACCTAGGGCCATGCACACAAGCTCTTTGTGACATCCGACTCATTTTCTTGATTTCAAAGGATGGAGGAAGGGGCTTGGATCGTGCCATCTGGCAAGGGAATACTGTTGCGCATTGTGGAAACATCCTTGTCGACGTCTTTCTATTTATATCGGGCTACTTCAATCGCGAGGAACATGCTGAAATGTTCTTTCGCTTATACAACCGATCTATCGACATCTTTTTAGATCCGAAGTTCGATTTCGATGCTCTGAGAAAAATGCCAAAGGTCTGCGGTATCATAAACGCCCGGGCAACAATGGCTCACCAAGATTCCTCTACCAAAAACTCTAATAATATTGGCATCGACCGAACCTTTGAGGATTTGGAGAAGGCATTCGACATACTCTGGAACCGCTACATCGGATCTGGTAAAATGGAGCGCTTGGAAAGTCTTCCCGAAATCTCAGACATACACAAAGAGATGGAATGTTTGTCAACTAGTATTGTTAAGTTGGGAACGGCACGTCGTAAGAAGAAAGGAAAAGGTCCAAATAAGTCTCCACTACCATCTTCCGACTCTTCTGGGTATCAAGGAGATGGATCGAGTCGCTAGATTGTCTTTGATGTGTTGGTTGTCTATGTGGCAAATTACTAAAAATATTAGACCTGATTCTCCTTAGCTGAAGTTTGTGAACTATTGTCTGTCAATCCTTTACGGCCTCTTTGTAGTGATAATTATTTCCACTGGCTCGCAAGGAGTATCTAGACTTATAGTGGTAAGCGAGGCCCAAAAAGCATACTACTATATTAGGATACCTGTATACTACTCTGTACAACCTATATAACAAGTTGTTCTACTAAACTTCTAGTATAAGTGAAAAGATCATCTTAGTATACCTACTCTAATTAAAATTAATAATTATAATACATTCTCAATATATCTACGTTAGTTATACGAGGCTTTTAGGCTAATATTTTTAAAGAGGGGCGAATAAGATACCTAGTCATTACTATATATACCATTCGAAATTGTTATACTAAAGGTCTAGTACAAGTAAATTAATTGTCCTATCTTACCTAGGTTAATAAGAAGTAAGAAGTAAGAATTATTCTTCAGTATTCAGATGACTATTTTAGATATACGAGGCTTTTAGAATAACATTGTTTCAATATACGTGTATTCAAAGTAATGACAGTGTCTCTTACTTAGATCAATCCTATCTCCCTTGAAATCATCATCGCAAAGGTAATGAATTTTGCTACCCGTCTAATCGTCACCTCCCACGATCACCTCCAGTTTTTCGACCATAAAAAAGTGTATGAACTGGAAAGGAAGAGGGGGGTTTGGGGGTTCTATAATTTGGGAGAGACAGGGGTCTGGCAATCGTACTTTCCTCCTCTGCTCTTCTCGTGTGGCACGAGCTCAATGTGGCCCATCTCGAAGACGCCACATGTTACAGAGACTTGATCGACAAGCGAGAGTCAAGGTCTACCGACTGAGGTCTCGACTCCCGAATTGAATCACTTCTAGTTGATCCTATCCGAGCCAGAGAGTCCACGTCATTCATTCTTCTCTTAGACCTACACCAGACCGAAATCAAGATTGAGAAAACGTGCGAAGGAGCAACTTGAAGTCGCACTCGCCAGCAAGATTCTAACCAAAGGGGAGGTAGGGGCAATTTCAATTCTCGGGACTGCCTGAGTTCCCATATCTAATGTTCCAATTAGTAGCCGTCTCTCAATGTCTTTAGAATCTTTGCTCATACCTATAGACAAAAACCTGTTTCCCTAAGCTTCAAACATCTCTCGATTATAACTCGAAATCAAACCTACCAACACGACTGGAGCCTTTATTGAACAAAGTATAGATTTGTTGACACCACCATCCTTCTGGACAAAATATAAATCTACCAACAAAAGAATTCATCAAGATGCAAGCATCCCCTCACTTTCTACATTTCGCACGCGTAACGCAAAAGAGACATGACGTTCCCGAACAGTAGTGACTTAAGGCTCCTTGGGTACGGTCCCGCGAACACTAACACCCACGCATCCACATATAACACCCCCTCTACTAACTCATTTCTAGACGACATAATCCAATTTTTCTTTGCTAAGTTGCCAGAACAGGATAAGTTTTTCAAAATGATAAAACTGTAAGAAATACCTAGGTATAATACCAAACATCTCAATAATGGGCGCCTTGAAAATATTCAGTATACCCACCACCTACCCAATCTCAATCCATCCCCCTTTTCTGATACGCTCAATTAACCCCACGTAAAAAAGGGATAGAAAATACCTACGTAGGTAGTATGTGAGGCACACATGGGAGGGAATTGAGATAAACTCAAGTCATGTCAAGCAGCGCTGTAAGATTTCGTTAGCAATCTTACAACCCCTTATATGGATCCTAATATTGTAAAGAATTGTTTATATACTGTATTATAACCAATATCCCTCAAGTAGCCCGTCAAATATGCAACTATGCTTTCACTATATCCCCTTCTCGGTCAGATTCCTCTACCAATACGAGTAACTTCCCGTCAACCCCCCAATCCTCTCCCACAACCAACCCTATCAAATCCATATAAATATCAGCAAGCACCAAGTACCAACACCTCCATCAAAATATGTACCTACCCCTTCACAATAAAGCAACCCCCCCACTCCCTCAACTCAAAAAACCACAAGACACTTCTCACTTCTCACTTCCCCCCTCAAAAAAGCAAGAACAAAAAATCTCATCACAGATAAATATCAAACTTTTCTCTTATTTTTTTATCTTCAAGCTGCCTCTACTCCTCTACACCTCTACTCCTCTACTCCTCTACACCTCTACTCCTCTACTCCTCTACACCTCTACTCCTCTACTCCTCTACACCTCTACTCCTCTACTCCTCTACTCAACCATCTAATGTCTTGGGTATCAATAACCTACCTAGCTAATTCTTCCAATTTCTCTTCATCCCTCCTCCCTTCTCTCTGCACTCCCCACCTCCTTTCTCCGGTGACGGTCCTATCTACGACAACTAAAAAGGAAAAGAGGACAAAAGAAAATACAATGTCCCTATCCAAAAAATGACCACTCTAAAAAGCGACTCATCTAACAATTTGTATCTCCAACTTCCACCCATTAACAAATGGAAAAGAAAACCGTACCCATAAGTACCCCATGCAATCTTTTTTTTTAAAAATAGAAAAAAATCCCTATGCCGCAATATCATGCCGCCATTGTAATGCGATGCGAATATATCCCATGACTCCCAAAAAAACACAAAAGAGAGAGAGAAGATATATACTCGAAGGGTAGGGCGGAACAAAAAAAGGAATCATCCCGCCCAAAAGAAATTCTCGCCACTTCACTCCATCACCCACCACATACACGGCAACGGGGCAGAAGCAGCGAATCAATGAGCATACCCGTTGACCACCGCAAGCGCCCCATCAAGCGCGTCCTCCATACTCCCAACCTGCTCCTTTAACTCCTTATTCTCAGCCCTTAGTAAGCCCACCGTATCCCAAGCCACACTAGCATCCTTGCCACGACAATTACTACACCCCTGCTCACCCATCCCAATACCTTCATACTCCTTATCCTCCTCAATCACCGAGGATGAGATACCCGACATGAGCTTTTGGAAGGCACTCTTTTGCGAGTTGGCAGATTTAGGCCTCGCAGTGGCCGGGTTGGGACTAGGAGGCAACGACTTCCCAAGAGAATCTTGTTGCATATCTGAAGTAGTTTCTCGTGTGGAAACGGAGTTCATGGTAAAGGTTGGGGATAGAGAACGTGAGAATACACTTTCGGCTCCCCCACTCTCTGCATCTGATTCCCCTTCCGCACTGAGGTCCGCAGAACCACGCCACTTTCCGCGAGCGGATGAAGGAGAAGCAGCATCTGAAATACCCAGATCCTCTTCCGTGATTTCGGGGATACTCTGTTGCGAGTTTCGAGCATTGGTTTGCAGAAAAGCCCTGGATTCTTGTTCCTTCTTTCGTGCTGCTTTTTCGCGGGATAATTCCGTGGCTAATTCTGCGATGGCGATGTCTTGTTCTAGGACTCGGGCTGCCATTTCGTCGAGTTGGCATTTCAACATTTGCGCTCGTGTACCTGCTTCGTCTATTTCTTCGGTCAGGGCAGATTTCTCGGCTGTAATTTCGTGGAGGGAAAGGGTTCGGAGTTTATATGCTGTTTGAAGTTTGAGTAGTAGGCCTTCGGCGTTCATGAGGAGGTCGTTGAAGGCTGCTGGTGAGAAGGGGTCGGCTGTGCCATTTGGGAATAATCCTGCGTTGATGTCGAGTGCGAGAAATTCATCGTCCATGACATCTGCTGGCAGGTCTTTTGGCTTTTCTGCGGTTTTCGGGGAGAAGAATCCGAACAGCCCTGACTTTTCTGGTCTAGGAGGCGGCGGCAGTTTTCCTAGTTCTAGCGCCGTTGTCTGCCTCCTTTTTGGTTTTGCCATTACTTCTTCGGATGAGGTGGATCGTGTTGACATTGTGTCTGTCGAGGGAATTTCTATATCTCCTGTTGGTGCTGAGGTTCCAGAAAACCAAGATCCTAATCCTCCCTTCGGTTTTTTGGTGGGTCTTGCAACCCCGTCTTTATCTCCTGTAAGGGTCGCCATGAAACCCGAATCGATCTTCTCCTCTTTCGTGCTCCTCTCAAGCGAAGTTGACTTTAATCTAGAGGGTGATAGTGTGGTGCTTGATCGCTGGTGTCCCCAGATTTGACGTGTCCCTGACTGATGGACTGCTGCGGAGCTGGTGCCCTGTGCTTCAGATAGGACTGCTGATCGTGGGATTGTGTCTGGTTCGAAGTAGAGGAAAGCTTCTTGTATGTGGGCATTATTTTCGGTGTAAAGATCGGAGCATTCTTTCGGTAATGAGGAGTTTCTCGGAGGTATTGGTATTGTCGACTTGAGTGTCGTCTGGGCCCTCTGATGTGTTTCCTTGCGCGAGATGTTTGGTGGAAGGGAGGTGTCAAGGTCGAGCAGAACGGGAGGGTTTTCGCTATGCATTATGCTTATGACAACAATCGGGGTGACACGGGGTTCAATGCATCGACGATTGCATAAATCGTGAACAAGGATTCGCTTCTTCTTTCGGATGGGTTGTGGGTGTTTCGAGCACAGCGGATTGGCCAACGGGGGTTTTAATGGGTACAAATATGATTCATGCGTGCAGAATCCTCTTGACCTCAAGCCTTTGGGACTGCTTGGATACGGAGCTTTGATGGTGTTTCTTCGTAGCAGGTACGTGGAGTGGCTGATGATGATCTGAGGATCAGATTCAGAGCACGGTGGAGAGGTGGATGGGTGATAGTGGTGACCGTGCGACGGCAAGACAGAAACTGTGATTGTGCAAGTGTTTTTATGAAGTACCGAGTATATTCTGATTGAAACTGTTGCTGTAGTTGTTGCCTGTGTTGTTGTTCTGATACTGTAGCTGTACCTGTACTCGTCCTCAATAGTCGAGCCGAACTAAAGTAGTGGTGCAATGGTAGGACAGGTGCGACCAGTAACCTTAGGTTCTTGGATGGAGAATGTCCTCTAGACTAGCTCTAGACTACTTCGTCTGATCCAGGAATGGAAGGTTGAGGATAGATAGCGGGGAAGCTTGGTTAGGAGAAGAGAGGAACTGGTTCAGGCGGTCAGTCCGTCTTATCGATAGCGTACGATTGGCGTTTCGATCCTTCCAGTTGTCGTCGTATCGTGATATGAAGCTCTGCTGCTGCGCTGCGCTGTTTCCTTGTGATTGATAGAATTGTAAATTACTGTACGAGGGGAAGTAACACGCGAGAGAAGAATCTGCTGTCGATGAAAAATATCGAGTCCTGAGTAACAGCAAGTCCAGTCTCGAGTCCTTTACACTTGTAGGGGAGTGGAGAGGTTGGTCATGCTGCATATACTTGTAGGTACTTGGTACATATCTTCTAGTGGCTGGAAATTCAAGGAACCTGGAATTCACATGCAACAGGTTTGCTGGGCATTCTCGCCCGCCTTTTCTCAACAACTTGTGAGAGCATCCGGAGATAACAGACGTCTTGTTTTTTTATATCTACTCGAGTACTCGTATTCTACTCGTACTTCGTAATAAGAAGCTTACTCCATGTTTGAAGGTATGCGCGATGACGATATTCCCGCTTTTTTGTTTTTTTCTAACGGGCCGTACTCGTACGAGTAGCGGAATTGCAAGTCCCCATTACGGAATAACGGCTTACTTCGTATTAGTTCTTACAAGTCAAAGTGCGGTTAGAGAGATTTGAGATGATCATAATACATACACGATACACTCTGTACAGAATGAAATTCATCAAGTTCCACATGCGGAGACAAGTGTTGGTGTCCTGATCGCAATCACACCACACTACCAAAGTGTTTCAAATTGAGATAAATCACGTGATTATAAACATCCCAAGCGGGCCCAGGTCCTTTTTCTTGTCCAAACACCTCAAGTTGATTAAGACAGAATTACTCACAATCAATAGAGAACAACTACTTTAATTGTCCTAGGATTTGCAGTTAGTTTTGATTATTATAAAGGATTAGAATGTTAAAAGTATGAGGTTGAGCTAGTAGGAAAGGATCGAGACCTCGACATATTCCAACAGCTGCTTTCATCCTAAGGATCAGATGATAAAGCAAGACTAGTCTCCCGTGCGTACTGTCGTCGTAAATTTGAGGAGTGCGTCGCATGAATTAACACATTCATACTAATAGAGTTCGTTACAATATACGTTAGAAAAAATTCAAGTAAATGGATATCCGTATATAGATAGGATAAGATAAACACGGGCAGCAATAGTTTTTGAAATTCATCTCGACTAGCTAGATACCCTGAAGTCCTGATGTCAACATCAATCACATCTCCCCCGCTCCAAAGAATGTGGCGTCGGGTCTGATGAGCGCTCCCTTCCTCTCACAAATCCCTTTTATCAAAAGGTCAGGATGGAAATTAAGCAGCACCAACAGCCCTAGCCGACTCCTGGCGCTCTCTTTCGAGGAGTGCCTCCATGATTCCTACAGGAGCCATGTTATCCTTTTTCATCTCCTTAACGACCTTGTCAACGCCAAGTTGCTCGTCAGTCCAGAGAGGTTCGGGATCCTTCACACCAGGCTCACCAACACCGATGAATCCACCTTGGCTGGCCCATTCGCTGGTACGTTTGATTCCCAATTCAGTCCAGACGGATTCGAGAGCGGATACTAGGTGTTCACGGAATTCGCGTGTGTGACCTGGGGTTGGAGTTATACGGAGACGTTCTTGCCCAACAGGAACGGTGGGATAATTGATCGATTGAACATAAATGTCATGTTTATCCAAAAGTAAATCAGATGCCTTCTTGGCAAGTTCGGCGTTGCCTACCAACAAGGGTATAATATGACTTGGATTTGGAATAACGGGGATGTCGCGTTCAGCAAGAGAGTCTTTGACTGCTCGGGTGTGAAGTTGTTGCAATCGTCTGTCGCCTTGGTACTTCATTTGATATTGGATTGCTGTCTCTGCCCCTTTCATGGTGGCAGGTGGGAGAGAAGTTGTGAAAATGAAACCAGGTGCAAGGGAGCGAATGGTATCAACCATTTTCGCGGAACCAGCAATGTAACCTCCCACACAGCCGTACGCTTTACCCAAAGTTCCGGTGATAATATCAACTCGGTCCATGACCGTACCACGGGGACGGCCATTAAGATGCGCTTCATAATCAAGATGTTCTGCTACACCAGCTCCATTTGGTCCGTACATGCCAACAGCATGGACTTCATCGAGAAAGGTGATTGCACCGTATTTCTCGGCTAAATCACATATTCCCTCAATTGGACCAACCGAGCCACACATAGAGTAGACTGACTCCCAAGCGATGATCTTGGGAACATCGGAAGGAATTGATGCAAGTTTGGCCTCGAGATCAGCAAGATCATTGTGTTTGAATACGATTTTCTTCGCACCAGAGTGGCGAATTCCCTGTATCATTGAGGCATGGTTCAAACTGTCCGACAAAATGACACAGTCTGGCAATTTGCTTCCCAATGTGGCAAGAGTAGCATCATTCGCAACATAGCAAGAAGTAAAAACCAATGCCGCGTCCTTGGCATGCAATTTTGCCAACGTATTCTCCAGGCTTACGGCATGTTGGTTGTGACCGGAAATATTCCGCGTACCACCGGCTCCAGCGCCGTACTCATCGAGAGTTTCGTGCATCGACTTCAAAACCTCAGGATTTCTACCCATACCGAGGTAATCATTGGAACACCAAACAGTGACTTTCTCGCTCTTATTGTCTTTATGGGCGCGGGGAAATTCCTTAGCGAGGCGATTGATGTTGTTAAAGTAGCGGTAAGACTTGTCCTTATGCTTCTTGTCCAATTCAGTATTGTAAAAAGCCTCATAACCAAATTTGGGTGCGTTGGGCTGGTGAACCACTGGAGGTTTGATGTGTTGCGGAAGAGGAACTATTCAGGGATTAGCGGGGTAACAATTGGAGTTTTGCCATCAGACTCAACGTACCACGCTCGCGATTATACAATGTATCCTCAATGGCTCTGGCTTCACGAGCACGCGTTGTATGGATTCGCGCCTTGCCAGATCCATTGTTGCCACACTTTCCAGTGAAGGCGCGGATGGCTCCAATGGCCGCCACACCTCCTAATCCCACGTTGCTCACCTTTGCGGTTTGAATGGCGAGGGCCTTTCCCATGACGGGGCAGCGACGGGCAATTGTCTGCAAGTTGGACATGCTGCCGCCGCATGGTGATACCTGGCGAGTTGTGGCAGAAGTTGAGAGGGAACGGAGAGTCGCAGGCGAAGTCTTCTTCAAGAAGGGACACATCGACTTTGATTGACGAAGAGCGGCATCCATGATTGCGGCAAAGCAAGGTAGGTCGGTTATGAAGTTTGAATGGAATTCTTTGGTGATATTTTCGTAGTCGTTTCTCCCGCCGACAGGACACGCGGTGTGAAGTGAGAAGAGAGAACTTGCCTACTCTTTACTAAAGACAGACCCTCTAAAACCGATGGGAGGAGCGGCGGTGCGAGTTGTGGGGAAAGATGTTGGACTGGGTACGAGTCCGATGGAGCCGGGATTGGGTGGTGCCCAGGCTGTCAAAGCAGCAGTCTGGGCTGTGTAAGCTTATTTCAAATGAGTCTGTCTGATTGGTCAATGCTCCACTATTAAATATCGGACTTCCGCTTTGGGTAACTACTCATGACATGGCCTGTATCTTGTGGGTATTACTGTATTTCTCACCTACTTATTCCTGTATGCAACGTAGGTACTTTCGCTTTCTTGAAAGATGGGCCTAGAATACCAATTGAGCTGAAATACTACCTACAACTTGCCATTGAAAGGGCGTCTTACATAAGACATGTTGGTGCCTCAACTTTATCTGAGCTCCCGCTCAATGTCCTCCTTTCATGGGTCAAGCTAACCTTAAGTAAATAACTTACTTGAGTCAGAGTAGCTCTTAACTTAGGTAACGTACTTCATAAGGAGTCCGGATTTATAAGCAGTCCGGATTTTTTACCCCACCATTGACCACCCTACACACTTTCAATCTACATAACTTACCCAATTATTGTTCAAATGTCTCGAAAAGAAGGTCAAATTGCTCTTGCAATCAGTGCATACAATAAGGGTCAATTTACAAGCTTAAAAGCAGCTTGTACAAGGTACGATGCGCCATATTCTACTACTTACGACCGCGTCAAGGGAGCTATTCCACAACGCGATTTCCGACCCCGAAACCAGAAACTCACCGACCTCGAGGAATCAGCACTTATACAATGGATGTTATCAATGGAAGCTAGAGGTCTGCCAGTACGGAAAGATTCGATACGCCAAATGGCCGATTTACTACTGGAAAAGCGAACTGAAGTAGGTCGAATTATTGTCGGAAAATGCTGGGTTGACAACTTTATAAAGCGCCACGACTCTTTACGGACGAAATACACTCGTAAATACGACTATAAGCGCGCAAAATGCGAGGATCCTACGATTATCCGAGATTGGTTTCGATTAGTACATAATATTGTTGCGAAATATGGTATACTAGCGGAGGATATATACAATTTCGACGAGACTGGCTTTCAGATGGGAGTAATTGCGACCGCAAAAGTTATTATAGGGTCAGAATATACAGGACGGGCTATTCATATACAACCAGGGAATCGCGAATGGGTTACAGTTGTCGAATCAATTTGTGCAGATGGATGGGTGTTGCCTCCAATGGTTATATTTGAGGGCAAGGTGCATATATCGACTTGGTATACAGATCAATTACCAGCAGATTGGACAATTGCACTTAGTGATAAAGGGTGGACCAATGATTCCTTAGGTCTTAAGTGGCTTTCAGACGTATTTGAGAAATATACCAAGGACCGTGTAAAAGGAGTATATCGACTTTTAATCCTCGATGGCCATGGTAGTCATTCTACTCCCGAATTCGATCTTTTCTGTTCAGAACATAACATCATAACGCTTTGTATGCCACCGCACTCATCTCATCTTTTACAGCCATTAGATGTTAGTTGCTTTGCAGTTTTAAAGCGACTTTATGGACGAGGAGTCGAGGAGCTAGTACGAGCCGGCACATATCATATCGATAAACCAGACTTCCTTTCAATATATCGTGTAGCCCGTACAAGTACTATGGTCAAAAACACAATCTGTAATGGATTCGCAACTACTGGCCTTGTCCCGTACAACCCAGATCAAGTATTGAGTAAATTACATACTCAATTACATACGCCTACTCCTCCTTTACTTTCTCCAAACCTACTACCTTGGGTCCCTGAGACACCCCATAATACATATGAGGCAGATCAGCAAACCCAGACAATTAAAGCATCTATTAAACGACGTACAAACGTTCTCTCAAGCCCTACTGCTATTGCATTAGATCAATTGGTTAAAGGGTGTAAGATGGCTATGCAATCAGCTACGGTTTTGGCAGAGGAAAATCGACGTTTACGAGCTGAATCTGAACGTCAAAAGAAGAAGAAGACTGTGCGACGTCAATATATTGCTACTGGGGGTGTTCTTACAGGTCAGGAAGGGAGGGAACTTATTCAAAATAGTGATAATATGGTTTTGGATGAAGCTGTGGCCTCGCTAATTGAACCACGAATTCGTGCACCACGATCCTGTATTATATGTAGATCACTAGCGCGTACTGCTCCTAGGTGCCCAGATCGAGAATAAGAAAGATAGTATAGTTTATATAAATAAATATTAAGTGGTTAAAGTTCTATGGTTTTTAAAAGTTGGATGGTGGGGTAAAAAATCCGGACTGCTTATAAATCCGGACTCCTTATGAAGTACGTTATAGAGATTGTGTTAAAATATTCTCGGAAAACAGGGCCTTAGTAGCAGATCGATACGCAGTAATGGCAAACGCGGGTAGTGGTTTCTTGACCGGAAGAAGGATATTAGGTGGAAAAAGAAAGAAAAACTTTTATCGCCTGGATAATGTGCTTGAATGGTATGAAGGATGGATGAAAAAAGAAGGAAGGATCGAGCAGATATTAATACTTGTCCTAGGGCCTGTTTTCCCAGCATCTCGAGCCGCGATGATCGCGGAACCACATTTCATATCCACACTATTCTCAATTGAGCTCGAATCTAGGGACCAAACTCGGAGCTCCATCCATATCGGCTTCACTTGCAAGGCGTCGCTATCGATAATACGAATTGTCGGCTTCAATTGTCTCCAGTCGATCTCGTGAGTCGTTGCGACTTCAATAATGGCCTCTAGCCTTTTTCAGTATCCTGCCACGCCTGCCACTTCTACGAAGCAAAAGGGGTGGACAGCTAAGAGTTACACCATACTAGCTTAATAAGATCGACGCCCCCCTATAGGTCCACTCTTATGCGATATGTCTTAGCTAAAAACATGGGGTTTTAGCTAATACGAAGTAGAACGTGTAATCCAAATGCTTGTTAGCTAAAAACTGCCCAAGAAACAGTACACAAGTTATGAAAAGGACCATTATATAGTAGGTTTTAATATGATCTACGTGACATGGTGTGACGCTTACTTCTACGTCGTACGGAGGCACTTCCTAATTCCTAGCTGTCCAGCCCCTCACACCCTGTTTTACCTCTGGCCGTGGGCAGATGCTTATCTGACAGACTTGCACTTCAACACTACTCTATCTACAGGACTTTCAATTGTTCAAAACTCTAGTACTTACATCTCAACCACCAGGAAAGAAACTGTGAAAGCTAATAAGTAACTTGCTTACCTCTATTTTGCCTAAAATGGAAAAGGTAATGCCCAGAACGAGGTATGGAGGCTCTAATCCAGACGGGTTTGATATCCCCTCCAGAGTTTTATATTCACGCACAAAAAACGACTGTGCACGCTGGAGTGGGTATAGGTGGGTACAAGCGAATGCGAGAACTGGGTCAGATTCGGATTTACTTCGAAGTGAATGCTTAGAATGTGGGCTGGTTAGTCAAATGACTTCGTTATTGGGGACGGTGTTGGAAAGGTGGTCATTTGTACTCCACTTTGAAGTGCACGTTATTTTTTGCATGTAAATAGACTCTGGAGGGATGTATAAGACTGGAGTTTTGGGTAAGGTCTTTTGTATTAAAGATATAGGATAGAGAGTAGAGGGCTCGCTACGTATGAAGATAGGTACTTATACACGTGCTACTCAGGTAATTAGGCGAGCTAGCCGTATAACCATAAGCGCTAGAGGCCAGGTTCGCTATTTATCTCCCGCTTAAAGTCTGTTTTCCATCATAAAAAACAAAACCCCGATAGTACTTCGAAATAAAAGAGAATAACGAACAACTAGGAGACGTGCACTTATAAGTGGATACAAGTGGCTACTACTTCTAACTAGGTTAAATAAAGGGATTACCCCGTAAAGCTTAGAAGCCCCATCCGGTTGGTTAAACGACGTTGTTTTAAGGAGAAGAAGTGAGGAAAGTGGAGAATTTACTCCACTTAGGAACGCACGTTTGTTTTTTCTAGTGAAGAACATAACTCTCATGTAACCTCTCCGTAAACCATCTTTACTAGTAACCCAGAGAAAAGGGATCCAGAGTCGTCGAAAATGGTCTTTGTGAAGGAAAGGAACTAGAATCCTACTAGAATTACTTATAGGTGGGTGTAGTAATGGAAGAAGCGGACCAGTCCAGTTCGTCTTGCAGTAGACTGCTCTCTACGCGTAGCGCTTCTTGGGATCTTGGTGTACCTCCTCCCCGCCCCTGATAATGGTTCTGGGTCGGTCTTGCTCTTGTTAGATCTTTGCCTTTTGTTCGATGGAGGGATGACAGGAGAGTGTACAGAGTGTCCGTGACGTGCCATTTCAGCCTAGGAAGCCAAGTACCTCGGCGTAGAGGTAGGGGCAGAGATGGAAGGCCTGGACCTTGTAATCGAATTATTACTATTCTTCTACTAATATATATATACTCACTTAAATGAATCTAAAGATATCACTATATTCTTTCTAAGGTAATTAATAACGAAATATATTTTCCTATAGAGAACTGATAAAGTTATTTATATTTTCCTTTTTAATTATCTTTATTATTAAAAAGTAATATCAAGGCTAACTAATAATAAAGTAAAAGAGAATAATAATAAATTAAACTAGAAGTAAAACGAGGACTACTTTAGTATTTACTTCTACTTCTAAACGCTTCTACGTTACTTGAATTTACAGAGCCCTTCTCCATATTCAATATTCGAGGTAGTGTAGTAAAGAAACCGATTACGGTGTTTTCGCTTAGGCGCGGGGGGATAAAAGGGGCGATGATCGGCGGGAAGAGGGGGATTTACATAGGACTCTAACTAGCCAAGAGCGAGGGTAGTAACGGAATGGTTAGTTGTAGTGTTTTTCCTGGCGAACTAATGGGAACTTATATAGCCTACTACTGGTTAGTTTGTATGCGTCTAGCTTGAATACGTGTTTTCAAATACATATACGACTAGGAAAGATATAGATAGTATAGATGCGAATAGCGGATACGTACTTCAGGCTTGTACTGATCATCTTATCTTTTGAGCTACTTTGAACCAGATACTAGATAGCACGACAATGTAGGTAACGGAGGGTGATGGTTAGGTGTTGGCTGCAATTGGGAACAGTGGTCCTCTTTGGTGGTTCATGGATTTGTCGCAGTTGAAATAGGCATTCTGGTTAGTAGAATGATCAGTAGAATGATCAGTAGAATTTTCAGCAGAATGTTCGGCAGAATGTGAATCTCGAAAAGTATTGTATACTCCGTAGGTTGACGGACTGTAGTATTCGCTCATACCACACGTTCAAATCAGACGTTCAAATAACCGCACAGTCAGCTCGCACCTTATTAAGCTTAAGATGTAGTCGAGGAAGATCATGATCTCATGTGTTACCACACTACATTCCCATCATACAAATGCTCGAGCCTCGATGCATCGCTGACTGATGTGGATGAAGAAGACGGAATGATTGAAGAAGTTTAGGGTTGTCACCCGTGTGTTAAGGTTCGGCACTTGTTCGGTAGAGACTTTTTCAAACAAGAGCGATGAGCCATTATTGAGCCTCTCCACTACAGCTGTTACGGATTTGCCCTGAGGTGCGTCTGGTCTGCAGTCGTATGGATCGGCTCGTTAGCCCCGCTCAGCCTCAGAAGATTACGCATCTGCATCTGCATCTGCATCACTCCAGCTCTCTCCGCGCGCCAAACACTTCGTAGATTGTTGCTGGCCAACCCTTTCGTTTGCGCTCGAAGGCGTTCTCAGACTAGTCTGGTCCTTGGAAGTGATTTGTTGGTCTGCAAGCCCATCTGGCATCTGGCCCGTCTCTCTTTGAACTTCGACACGTTCTCGAGTAGCTCCTGTATCCAGGCAAGCCTATTTTGGTACCTGCCCTGCCCTTGAGCTGCCCTGGACCGTCCTGACTCCTGCACCGATATTGAAGATTCGGGATTTCAAGGGGTCCTTACCGAAGAGCTCGGGTAGCCCACTCATCCCATCTTTTTGCCGTGGGCTACGTACAGTAGTACTGGTACCCGCAAACTCAGGTAAATCTACTGGTAGGATTGCCGTCAAGTCAAGTGAGGTTCCAACGAAGTTAACCTCTTTCTAGAATTCAGAATATAGACTTGATGTCGGTGTCGAGCGGCCTTGTCGTCATCAAGCCACCGCCAATACGGTACTCAAGTAGTTGAGGCAAAGCGACCCGATCTGAATGGTGGTCGCATGGAGCCTTTCCCAAAGCGGATGGGCAGCGGGACCTTGGCATTCGATCATATCCAATCACACGTGAATGCCAACTCCATAGTCGCGGTGTCCTATGGCTGTGCAAAGTCAAAAGTCTTGGAGATTTCGCGCTGTGCTGGTGCTGCACATTCTGGGGCGAAATGGGAAGATGTGAAGGGCTCGTCACTCTTAGAGTCTTAGCATCCAAGGTGAGCATGAAGCACTAAGCTGGATGGACTAGGACTACGGACTACGTACACAACCACTGACCACTGACCCGACGTCAAACGGTGACTTGCATTCATCTCAGGTACCCATACCCGCTACATCTCACACTCACACCTCCTACAGGTCTTTTGCCCTTTTCAGAAGATTTTCCTTTCTTCTCTTCTTGCTACGACTCTACGAGGACTCCACTACCATTCTTACGGCACTTAAGCCCACGTCTAATACTACTTCGTACCACTCTTCACCGACCTTACTTCGTAATCTCTCTTCGTCAAAGTCGGACTCGCCGTGTCGAAGGGTTGATCCCTTCTGCCGCACATATCTCCACCGGCTCCCTACCCTCTTTCCTCCGTCATCTTCCTCTCCCTCCTCCTCCTCTGCAACTGCCTCCTCGCATTCTGTCATGTTGTATCGATTGCGCGGCCAGTCTGGTCGAATATCACCGACCCTCATCCTCAGTTATGTCTTCGATTGGTTTATAATAGTTGCGGCCGCGGGCATTGGGGCATGGCTGGCAACCATAACGCCAAACATGCGCCCGTTTTCTCTCATCGATCCCAATATCAGTTTCCCTCATGTCAAGCAGGAGAAGATTTCCACCGTGCTCATGGGCATCTGCGGAGCCGCCATTCCCATGGCCATCATCTTCCTAGTCACTTTCCTCCTGGTCCCAGGTCCATCGGTATCGAAAAACACACCACAAAGTTTGATATGGAGACGGAAGTTGTGGGAGTGGCATACTGGATGGTTGGGGCTTGCTTTGTCATTATCATCAGCTTTTCTCATCACTCAAGGCATGAAGAATTTATTTGGAAAACCTCGTCCAGATTTACTCTCTCGTTGTCAACCAGATATAGATAACATTGCCCTATATCTGACGGGTTCATCCGACCATTACAATGTTACCAATCAAGGTCTTCCAATCTTAGTTTCAGCCGCAATATGCATGCAAAAGGATAAGCATATACTGGATGACGGATTCCGAAGTTTTCCATCTGGACATTCCTCTTTCTCTTCCGCCGGTTTAATCTACCTCAGTCTTTATCTTGCCTCCAAATTGGCCATCAGTATCCCTTACCTCTCCCCAAGAGCCTACACCCCCGACGAGTCCCATCTGTCCGCCTTTCCATCTCGGGCTGTGAGATCTCCAGAAGCTGCTTCCCTCACAAGAGGACCTACACCCCTCGAACACGACGAATCAACCGGTCACAACGACCGTATCATTGCAGCACGCAACGAGGCAGCCGCACCGCCAGTATACCTCCTCGCAATTGCCATTATCCCTTGGTTCGCCTCTATTTATATATCTGCTACCAGATGGTCTGATTTTCGACACCACGGATTCGACATCTTATTCGGATACACCATTGGACTCATCACCGCCGTCTTCGCATTCAGATTTTACCACCTTCCAATCAGACAAGGTGCAGGTTGGTCATGGGGACCTCGAAGTACAGAGAGAAGTTTTTGGGCCGGTATTGGAGTTGGGAGCTATGCAGGGACCGGAGACCGTGTCACGGAGGACACGGCCAAGAAGTCAGATATAGAGACGGGCGAAATGAGCCTTCCAAAGCGGAGGGCGACCAACAACGATGTGGGTCTCACCGAGGAATCCAAAATCCGAGATTGATAGCCCTGGGTGCTTTTTGTCGCATGATGTATATTAACACATTTTGATTTTTTTCGGTAGGATGATCATATTGAGTTACTCCCCTTGGGACGAACACAATCGATGGAAGAGCATACCTTGGATCCGAGGAATGAGTTGGTGGGGGATCAGAGGAGTGAAAGTCGGGAGAGGCCGGTACGGTTGTATACAACGTAAAGGGAGATTCTTGATTTTAACGTGGTTTTTGATGTTGGGTTTCTTGGTCTGGGCGTGGGGTTGGGTCTGGGTTTCCAAAAAACATCTGTCTTGTGTGGGATTTTTTTCCTCGTCTTTTTCGTCTCTCTCTCTCCCCCTTCTATTGCGGAAGCATTCGAAGTTACGTTTGATACCAAGGAAGTTTTTGTATGTGTGTGTTTTTTTGTGTGCATTTAAATGGGAATGGCGTCATAGATAAAACAAATTCAGCATAGATGGATGGATTGATGTGATGAGTCTATCTTCTTCTTCTTCTTCTTCTTCTTCTTCTTCTTCTTCTTCTTCTTCTTCTTCTTCTTCTTCTCACTCCTTTCTCCTTCTCTGAACTCTGGTTTTTTACTGTGTGTATAGCGTCGTCATATTGTATATATGATAAGGAGGTTTGTGAGTGAGCTGCTATTTGAGATGAGATAATCTGATCTGATCTGATTTGATTTAACTGTAGATGGGAAATACAAAATTTGAGATGATGTTACCTTACTCGGGTACCACTTTACTATTATAATTTACTTGCTACCCCTTCTATATTCGGACTCTTACTTACAAATCACCATTGCCGAGTACCCGGGTAACCGAGTACCGAATATATTACGACTTTTCCTTTAGTCAACCACTTGGCGATGAATAAGGGTTTTTGTGGCTTTGGGGTGGGCTGGTGTGCGGGTGTGATGGTGTGAGGGGTAGGGGGGACCTTGTGAGTTTGGGTTTGATGGTTTTGTGAGGGGAGGAAGGGGGAGGGGGCAGGGGAGGGGATGGGATAATGGTAGGGAATGGGTGTTTTTTGCTGGTGGCTGGGTTTGGGGTTGTGAAGTTGTATGTTAAGGGAGGGGAGGGGAGGTACTGGTATGGGATTTGGGGCTGTGAGGTTGTAAAGTTCCTGTTCTTGAGGAAGATGAGTGAGTGCGTGGTCAGGTGTAGAGGTGTGGAGGAATGGTGTGGGAATCATCTTGGATGTAAAGGAGCTAGGGGTTAGGGGTAAGGGGTAAGGGGTAAGGTTACTGAATGGTTGGTTTGGGTAGAGGGGAGGTGAGTTGAGGATGTTTGTTATTGTATTGGTTGTATACATATATATGTTGGGGGGAGAAGGTAGAAGGTAGGTAAGGTAGGTCCTGTGGTTGTTCAGCTTGAGAATTGAGCTTGGGACTTGAGATTTTGTTATTTGGGTGTGTGGATGGATGAGTGTAAATTTATGGGTGTGGGGTGGAGGAGAGTGAGTTGTGGTCTTATTGTGGTAGGCAACCTATATTTTGGAGGGTTGTGAATGGGTGACTTTTTGGGTAAGTAGGTGGATGTGTTAGGTAGAGAAGGTAACTAAGGCCCTGTTTAGCAATAGATTATTTAACTAGATTATATGACCTTTAAAAATAATCTATTAAAAAGTACGATTTACTAAACACTTTCAGATTATTTACTTTTTTTTCGATAAAGAATAAGCTGGCTCTACTAAAATAAAATAATCGACTTTTACAAGGTTATTTAATAGATTAATTTACTTTTGTATAGACGGTTTATATCGAGCCCTTTTATACCCTCTGCTAATATTTAACCCTACTTATAACACAACGCCTATAACTATAAATACTACTTCGCTTACTATTATAATAGATCCTAGTTATCTAGATTTCGATTCGGACAACGAATTTAAGGAGGAAAGAGAGCGTATTACTATCGTAGCGGCTATACTTAGAGTATAATATATTAATAGCAAGAAGAGAGAATCGCTATATTCTAACCCCCTTGCCGCTATTGTGATAGCTAGCGGTAGTAGCGACGTAGTATTATTATAATAAAAAGTAGTATATCCTAATAATAGCTCGCATATCCGCTTAGAATAGAGGGATAAATATCCGCCTAGAATAGGGGGGTGAATTACACGCTATCGGAACTCGAGCAAAGTAAATTCCGGTATAAAATCTATATAAATAATCTATAGTTTATTTTTTATACGAAATCCGCGCTTATTTAAATAATCTGTTAAATAATCTGGCCATATAATCTGGGTTACCAAACAGGGTCTAAATATATAGAAGAGAGATGAGGAAAAGTCGAAGTATTTGAGTGGAGGGAATACTTAGATGGGTATTCGGATTCTCATTGGCTTTCACGTTGTCTGTACTGGGAATTAAGGACTTTTTGGGGGGGTGGGGTGCGAGGGAGTGAAGAGAGAGGAAGAGGCGAGAGAGGGAGATTGATTGGAGTGTTGGTGTGTTGAATAAGTAGGTAGGTAGGTGCGTGCGTGTAGCTTTGAAGTCTCTCCTGGCTTTATAATTTCAAAGTAATATTACTGTATGATATTACTGAGATACCAACACAAGAAATGCCCCCGTGGATTTTTGTTAGTGGTTGAGTAATCCTACTCGTCTACGTATATTTTATTCATGCGTTTAAGACTCATGGTTTCTTATCAATTAAGCACTCAATCAATCAGAAAGATCAATAGTCTGAATCTTTTGCCGAAATTATATTCCTAATGTACGACGGAAAGAGATACACGTATATACCTTGAAATGAAGAAACACAAAGTATAAAGGGCTACTAGATTGCCCTGAAATGGAAGATATACGGCGCTGTTGATAGTAGATGTGGAGGCTTTCTTCCCCTCCTTGCTTATAAAGTCAGATTAGTGGGAGGAATTGGTTTATTACTCTGTCCCACCCTCAGCAGGAGCAGCAGTTTCCGCAGCCGTCTCTCCATCACCAGTTTCTGTTGCTCCCTCAGATCCAGAAGTTTCAGTCGTTGACCCATTCGCATTCCCATTCCCAGATCCAGTTCCCTCACCACTCCCACTCCCGCTCCCACCAGCCACCACCTCCAACTCCTTCCCCTTAACCTTCCCACTCTTCACCTCCTTCAAATCCATCTTCAACGCCCTAATCTTCTCCTCAATCTCCTCCTCCTTCTCCCTTCTCGCCTCCTCCTCCGCCTCAATCCTCTTCTCCCTCTCCACCTTCTTCCTCGCTTGCTTCACGAAACTCCGCCATGTCATATCGACACCCGGTGGACCACCCACCACGTAGAAGGGGAACCCGACTTGTTTATCCAATATCTTCTTTCCGCGCGAGGCATCGCCGACGGGGACGTTGATGTTGAATAGTGAGAGGGGGGATTTCTTGCCGCCGCCGCCGCCGCGGAGGGAGAGGGTTGAGGTTGAGGGGGTGGGTGCGGGTGTGGGTGCGGGTAGTGTTGAAGATATGGAAGGGGAAGGGGAAGAGGGAGAAGGTATGTAACCACCGCGTATGTGTAAACGGGGACTTAGACGCGATGTTGGGACGGGCATTTCCATCCATGTTTGAGGTGCGGGGGGAGGCGTCGAGGGAGGTGGGGTGGTGCCGTACCACCATTCTTTGGGAGGGGAACTGTGAGTTGTTGTTATTGAATCTCCTAGTGAGTTGGATGTTGGGATGCGGAAGGGTANGGGGAGGCGTCGAGGGAGGTGGGGTGGTGCCGTACCACCATTCTTTGGGAGGGGAACTGTGAGTTGTTGTTATTGAATCTCCTAGTGAGTTGGATGTTGGGATGCGGAAGGGTACGGGTCTTCGGGAGGGTTCTGGTTGGAGGGGTGTGGAGTTGTTGGTGGTTTCGCTTAGAGGACTTCGTGGGATGAGAGGGTTCGTTGTTGGCTTTTTGTCGAGTAGTGGACTTGAGGATCTTGGAGGTGTATTTTCGTTGGAGTAGTCACGGAGATATGAGAAGCGAGGTAGTGGTTTTGTCGAGAAGTCATTGGGAGATAGATCCTCTCCAAAATCACCATACTTATCTTCAAACTCATCGACCTCCTCGTTTTCCTCAGCAAAACACATCTCCATCTCCAAATCAAACTGCAAATCCCCCACCCTCTCAAACCTCCCCTCAAAAGAACCCGCAACAAACCCACTATCCTCATCATCAGCACCCTCCTCCCAAATCTCCGCCTCTCCATCCACCTCAAACCCCTCCCTAATAGGCGAAGAAACAGGCGCAAGCAAATACCTACCCCCCCCCTCAAAAGCATCATAAACCAACGGCATCTCATCAATCAATGAACTTTCCAATGCTCGCAAATACTTTTCTCCTACCGGAATCGAGACACCGGCAACATCCCATTCTACAGGTGGCTTGTCTAGCGCCCGGAGAATCTCTTCGATTTCGACTTCTTCTTTTTCGGTTGCGGAGAGTTCGTGGGGTGAGTAGGAGTTGAGGATGGTGTCTGTGTGGAAGGTGGTGTTTGGAGGAGATGCAGAGGTGATTATTAGTTCGGGGTTTGGTGGTGGAGTGTTGGGTATTGGGATTGGTTGAGGATTGTCTTCAGGTCTCAAAGACAGTCCCTCCTCGCTAACGTAAGGAGGCCCTGCTCCCGTATCCTTCTGTAAAGAAAGATACCATGGTGTCTTTGGAAGACTGGTTTCCATCGCTTCCTGCATCTCATCACGGATAGCTGTTTCAGCTTGTCGCTCGACTTGGATAGAATTTCTACTATGTACTGGGAATGAATATTTCTCTTGTCTCGCTTGTGGTGAGAGGAGTTTTGCCATGGATTTCGATCGCTCTGCTGTGTGTTTGTGGACTGAGTAGCTTCGTTTTTTGGGACGTGGAGAGATGGTTTTGCGTTGGGGATATGAGCGTTTAAAGGTTCTCTTGTGATCTTTATTGGAGTGTGTAATTGGAAGGAGTGCGGGTTGAGATTCTCCTATTTGGTGATCTGTGTTGGTTGAACTTTTGGTGTTTTGATCGATGTATCTTCGCTTCACGTTCCTTGGATTGACAGTTGTGCTCATGAAGTTTTCTTGTCGATTGTCGAGGTCCGGTTTGTCCGGCGATTTGATTCTGATGAGGAGGAAGTCATCATCACTGTATAAGCAGTCTCATCAGTATCCGCCCGATCAAGGATTCATCCACAGAGCTCCCTCTCAGCTAAATTTCAACATAACAACTTCAAAATCTGAAAATGAAACCCCGTTTGAAAAGGTCAGGGACGAAGGGAGGGAAGGGATGAATGAATGCGAGAAGAAAAATTGAAACATAAATACCACTCATCAACCAAAATCTCACAATCCCCCAATCCCCCCAGTCCCCCATCCTGACTTCCAACCCCACACCTCCTCGAAAAGAAGTTCCAAATACCTCTCCTCTTCCGCTTTCCCTTCCCCTCCTTTGCCATTCCCGAAGAATCAGGAAGATATTCCGTCACAGGAGAAGCACAAACCATATTCCTCGCCTCGGCAAGTTGTCCCTCGTGATCAATGTATGTTGGTCCCTCCAAGAGACCCCTCTCAATTTCTCTCTCCTTCCCCTTATCCTTCTTCTTTTCCTTTTTCTTCTTCCCACTATTCCCTCCATCTTCAAGATCACCAAGATACCCAACATCGTCAAGCGACGACGAAGGAGTCCCGCCTTTCACACCTCTCTCTTTCCCCTTCTCTACCCTGGGGGTGGTAGGAACGATAGGCGAAGAAGTAGGTGAGGAACTAGGCGTACGGAACCAAGATGTTAGTTTCATCTTGAGACTTGGCTCTGGCTCAAGGATTGGATCTGAGCCTGTGATGAAGGCTTTTGTCCCTTCATTGCGATGCTTTCCCTTTCGTTTTGAGAGACGGGATGAGGAGCGAGAGGTTGGTGGTGATGACATTGTTTTTGTTCAGTATGTGATTCTGTTTTGTAGTTAAGATAATCTTGTGGTGGTATTTCGCAGATGCTAGTCTTTCTTGTGATGGGATGAGCAAACCAGCGGGGAGGGGTTGGAAGGAAAGGAGTGGTTTGATATATAAGACCTTTTGCAACGACGTGAATGTGTGCTACTGCTAAATAGGTGGGGGGATGGTATTGTGGTGGTGATTATATACATTATGGGTATTGAAGCAAGATCTGTGGTCATCTGTTAATTGCGTGGGGGATCTCAGTGAGTAACAAATTCTATAGGAGTATAATAATGGGGTGTGGAAGTGGTGAATGGTAGGGTACACATAGATTGATACACTTGTGATAACAATAAAAAAGAGATTGATTGGCAGAAGCTGTGGAGTTGTAGGGAAATATGGTTGAGTGAATCACAGGATTATGCACTACACTATCTAACTCAACAGTCAAAGAAAACAATGCACATGCAGACAACAAACAACTTTGCATACTCATTGATGAGATTTTGTGCCGCAGACATTGACTCACTACTCAATAAAGTAATACACAATGCAAAACTTCCTCAATCTAATCATGCAAAAAGACTACGTCCAGAAAAATAGTAGGGAGAGACTGTGTTTTCACCACTGGCATAGGAAATTCGGCAAAGAAAATCTGACACAGTATTAGGCTTTTGATCACTATTCCCCAATCTCCAATCACTGGGTGTAATTCATACACAATTTCTCAATCCAGTCAAAACTTTTACCAAAAGAGAAGATTTAAGAGAATTAGAAAAGTCGGTTTCCTCATTCCCCCACATGATCATTAAGATCCAAGAAAGGGAACATGTTCACGGAGGAAGTGTGTCAAATACTGTCAGGGTGTGAATCAAATCTGTTACAAATACAACAATTTGCAGAACTCTATCACTTCCCCCACATTCTCACCCAAGAAGATCTACGAAGCAGCTGACGTACATAGGCCCAATTCCATCAATAGAAACACGTGTTTACTACACACAATGATCCACCCAGTCACCCCGCCACAAGCCACTTTTTCCAAAACAGTTATCTGTAGAAGGATGAAGTTACAGTCAAGTGCCCAAGCTACGTGGCAGCAATGCTTTAATTCGAATCCAAAAGATGCGTTTACCAAATACGAAGGACAATAAGATTATATTCGCACTTCTCTTGTTACACCATAGCCTGGGCCCTTGGCTTTACGAGTGCGATGCTTTTACACCATCCTAGGACGAAGAAGGGTAAATAAGCGAGAATCGCCTACATGCTAAAGGAGCCAAGCTGTTAATACAAGTAATATCCAGGTTAGTAATCAACCGTAGTGTGTAATTTAAGAATACACCTAGTATTACTTCGTCATAGGTACGTCGTAGTTGGATAGCAAAAGCCAGAAGCCTTCTTGAGTGAAGGCAGTTTGGCCAAGTACAAAGTCCTGAGTAGTTTTATGACCTAGAGTTCAGTTATGCCGCTCTTTAGAAACCACGCAAAATTCCGATTTTACGCTGCCTTCGTAAAGACACGCATTCCTCCGGACTAAAACATAAATGTAATATGCTTAACACTTGAGAAAAAGTAATCAAAATCAATAAATACCAAGCGACTCACAATTAACACAAAACGTATTGCAGTACTTCGCAGATATTCTTGTTGCACAGTTATTACATAATTCTATGATAATATAATACACATTACGGAAGAGCGCCAGAGCCTACCTTGGGTGGCGGAAATTCGGTCATTCACCCAATCGGCATAGCCAGCTTGCAAGGGTTTGTTTTATAGTCTTTTAATACTTGGAAGTCCTTCGTCCTAGGCGAAACAAACGTTAAAATGTGTGGCTTTACCAGGAGTTCTTCAGCGAAATACAGGGTAAATACGAAATAGAACCAGTGGAGTCCGTATTGACGTGTAACATGCGGGCGGTGGGCCTCCCACTCAGCAGCGTTCGGACCGGCGGGGTAGTGGGTATTTTGGTTACAACAATAGAAATAAATAGAATATTTAAAGCTCGATATGATCGCCTCTTTTCTATCATGAATTTACCTGGACTTTTTATCTATATCACTTTCAATTACCATCCGTTTTACAAAGATTCATCACTCTACCATCCTACCAATCTCACCATGAAGTTTTTCACTGTCTTCGCTTTGGCTCTCGCCTCTGTAGCTATGGCCGCTCCCACCCCTAGCACTTCGACCAAAGAAACGCCCAAAGAATATGGATTACCCGACAACCCAGAATGCCCTAAATCATTATGTAAAGCGACTTGTGGAGATATCGTAAGTACCAGATCTGCCCTATGCCCATACAACACAATAACTAATCATCACCACTATAGCCGATCACTACAGCCCAGTGCGAGGAAGAAAAAGGAAAAATGTCAAGCTGCGTCTGCGGATGGCCTATCAGCAATGGATCTTAATCCGCAAAACTTGTATGATGCTGCGGGCGGCTGAATAAGGGGAGCGGCAGATTTCAGGGTTGGTGTTAGGGGATATGGTAGGAGTTGTTTAGGTCTTTTAGGACAATCGAATATGGACTTTTATGTCCATTCTTTCAAATGCATCAATCGTGGATCTCATATATCAAATGAACCAGTTTGCATGGTATAAGCGTCAAGTTAAAACCACAGTGATTTCTTATTTCACAAGCGAACTATACCTTCGTAACACACCCAAGGTAGTAAGAACACCCAACATGACATGTACGGCACATAGAGGAAGGGTTTCCCTGTATGGGGCTTGGCCTTCTATACTTCGGCTGGCAATAACGCGGGTTGTGTTACGGTTTGATGTTTTTGGGGACTAGGTAAGATTGGCGGGCATTGTTCTGTACACGCTATCGAAATTCATTATACCAAAAGCCTAGTACAAGTAAATAAATTGTCCTATTTTACTAAGATTAATAAGGAGTCAAAAGTAGCAATTATTCCAAATTATTCATAATTGTTTTAGTTGTGTCGGGATTTTAGGAAATATTTTTGTAACCTAGGTGTGTGCAGAGTAGTGCCCGCCTCTCTTACATTGTGTGATGGGAGGGCTTGTCTTGTTGTATGTATTGTTAACTCAAGGGATGAGAAATTAGGGATGTGAAACTATTTGTGAGCACTGAATATAAAAAGCCATTATCATGTTCTCTGCGATGAAAAGAAAATAATGGGTGAAAGAGGAGTATGGTAGTAAGTGTTATTTAAAAATCCGTAAGTAGATTCTTGAACAGTATTCGAAAGAACTATTTAGCTACTTTAGTAGTACTCAAGTTGAGTAGTACAGCTAACTAATTAGGTAGTAATCTTATAAGTTACTATAGCTATACTTAGCTCGTGGCTTAGCCAACGTAAGAAAGAACTAGTTAACTACTTAAGTACTACTCAAGTACTACTTATCTAGTAAATTAACTAAAACGTAAATAAAATACAAAACAATTATTCTTTAATAATAGGTCTCTTATCTCCTATTCCTTATGTTTCTCTATAAAAAAAACCACCTATACTATACTATCGCTTATACCCTATATAAGAGGCCGCTAAGTCCGAGCTGTCGGGCTAGCCGAGGCTCGGCTACTTGAGTAGCACTTAAGTAGTTCTCGAGTACTTGGTAAGTAGAGTAGAGTACGGTGAAAACCCCATTTGAGTTAAGTAGAGTATGTGTAGCTACTCTGCTCTACTTATTTCTTACAATAACCAAAACACAATACACCTTATTATAGTATTACCTAGTATAGCCGACTAAGCGATAACCGAGGTGATTCTTTTTATGTAACGTAGATATTTACAAAATTCGGTATTCTGAATTCCATTCCATTCCATAGAAGGGGGTCTAGGAAATATTGTGTTCTTTGGAATACCTTGTAGAATACTCTATATTCCGTAGTCTAGTAAAGGAAATCTAGAATAGTAATTCTTATATAGCTAGTTTAAATATCATTTCATCTATTTAACTACTAGCCAAGTATACTACCCTAGTACACATTGAGCGTACTACCTTAAACAGATGTATATAAGACACCGATATCATAAACAGAGGGACTAACTAAATCACTATTTTCTTAATTATCTCTCCATCCCATTTCAAATCAAGCTCTCACATTTTCTAAAAAGCAATATACATCCCCCCAAAAATCCATAATTCCACCTCTTTCTTCTCTGAACATCCATGCCATATAATACCGTCTCTACTCCGTGGGACCGTGTCCAGATGTTGATCGCTAGATATTTCCTTCCAAGCTACCTTCTACTTATTCCATTCTGCCATACCATATTAGAAGACCTAGCCGTAGACGTGATTTAAGTACTAAAACAACACCTCCTCCCTCTCAACCTCTACCCCCACCATTTAAACCCCCTAAATCCCCTCAACCCCTTTCTCCAGATACTCCAACACTTCATTTACACCTAATCAGTCCAGATATCCACCCAGAATTCAAATCTATATACACAGAGTTTGTCCCCTCTCCCACCCCTCTGCAAAAGACAGGTTAAATACCTCCCATTTCAATACCATCATCATTTCACAACTCTATGTTAAATCCCCTCCCAATCTCATTCCACCTCTTAACCTCTCACTCCTACAAACTTATAACTAAAACAAACAAATCTCGCCCAATACACGATTACATCTACAGTATCAATCACTCCCTCACATCCCCATCCTCTCCTCATACTTGGCCCCTTTACCATCATCCCCTCTCTCCTTATTTCAAGACAAAGAGCGCAAAACCCACACTTCCTCCCGGATCCTCCTCTTTATAAACCAACCACACCCCAATTTCAGTTCGGCTTCCACACAACCTCTCTCACCAGTCTACCAATTCTGCCGCCACCAGTCCACTAGCCCCAAGCCCCTAGTTCCTTATATATTCCTATACAAGTACCCTAGCATATAAGTATATCCCGAACATCTAGATACACCGCAAGCATATAAAACAGTTGACACCCACTAGTCTTCTACATCACCTCCTCCACAAATCCTACTCCCAAACCTCCATACCAAAAACCCACCTACCTACACGTACTCATTCACACTAAAGAAAGGTAAACGAGCGAGCAAGTGAGGAATAACTACGATCCCCCATTCTCAACCCCCATCCCCATGTACAGCACATTAAATCTCAACATATAACTATCAAAATACCCCCCTTTCCCCCCAAAAAACCAACACTTTATATCCATCCATCCACACCATGCCTAACACACCCTTGCACCCTTTCACCTTCTCACCCTACCTCCACATACAGACTTCGACCTCATCCATACCCTCTAGCACCAAGCCTCCTCCATTCGTGTCCTCCATTTGAAAAGCTACAGTGGTGTTGATAGGATTGATGTAAATCATTACCAACAGTAGACCACCACACCACACCACCCCACTACACCATACCACCACAACCCTACAGCACCACAAACTCTCTCTCTACTCCCTCCCAGGCCCCCAACGCCATCTCCCCTTCCCTTCAGCCCCAAGCGACACACACCTCAAAACACACCTCAAAACATAAACAAAGTTTATGATACTGTACTCACAGCATCACTTTGATTCATCCGATACAGTACCAAGAAGAAAAAGCAATGCAAAAAAAACCAAACCAGACCAAAATACAGAAAGAAAGAGAAGGAGCAGCAAAACAGACATCAAAAAACCCAAGTCAAGTTATGTAACCTCTACGCACAAACCCATAGAGAACTAACTTAACGACCCCGCTCCCACCAAGGAAGCAATAAAAAACCATGATGATACAACATACAAGCCATGCAAGTGCAACTCTCGCTTATTCTCTGAAAGCTCAAGCTAAAACCCATCCCCCATTTCATACCCCCACATCTTATCATCCACTTACTTCGTCTCAAAACTATACCTCAACCACTCACTAAGCGCATTCAAACTCTCCCATCGCACCGCCTCATCCTTCTCCGTCATCAACTCCATAACCCTCGTCTTCAACCCGAGTTTCTCCAACTGGCCCCTCTTCTCCGGGACCTCCTTGACCAGCCATCCCACATCGTTACAAGCGATAGCCAGGACCTGTTTATCATTCTCCCAAGGTTTGCTCATAATTTCCTGCAACTTCTTGCAGAGTTCGCCTTTCTCATGTTCCAGGATTTTCCGTGCGTTCTCTGCCCAGAAGACTGTGTTTCGGTGGGGTGGTGACCAACGGAGGTGTCCTGAGTTGACTTCTGCGGCGTATTCGTCAAAGGTGGTTTGGGTTTTGGTGTGTTCTTCCAACATCTCTGTTAGGGCTGTGAGGTCTTCCTGCAAGTCTTGATCGTTGAGATGTCGACCGTTGATGTTTTGCAATAGCGCGGGAAGTCGAGCGAGGACAGCGGTAGGCAAGAGAGTCTGCTTATTCACAGATAAAATGTTATATAACGAAGAGACCAGAAGTCTGGTAGTTTTCTCCTTGGGAGAAAGGCGCAGGAGTTGGACATATAATGGGATGATATCGTACTCGCTATTTCAAGTTAGCATGTATATATTTGCTTGTGTGAAACGAACTTACTCTTGAAGACCTTCACCAACACTTTCTCCCTCGAAGCTCAGTTGCCAAAGAACAAGAAGAACATGGTATAACAATTGGAGACCAACTCCTCCACCCAAAGAGCCCTCAGGATTACTCCGGACACTAGGAGCACCCGACCAAAGCGTCGCCGAGTCCCCATTCGGAGAAATGCCAGCAGCAGTTCTCAGGATCCCAACAAGAGGCTGAATAGTCTCGCTTCTCTGTTGCCAGAACAGATCTCTCGACTTCTTGCCCCCCAACAAGGTGGAGTACTGCAAGACCGCAATATCCTGTAGTCCCCCATCCGTCGTCTTGGTCAAGGTAGACAGGTACGAGAACAGCTTTGGCATAGCCGCAGCTGCCTTGTCGGATGTATTTGAAACCCCACCCATCATACTAGCAAGCACAGTAGAGGTGAGAAGAGGTATTGGGCTTTCGGGATCATTCGATTGCGCAAGCAGAGGTAAGAAGGGTTTATATGGATCTGGGTGTTCCGAAAGAGCTTTCGACAGAGCAGGAATACCTATTGAAACACCATTAGCCAACTCCCACCATGTATTAGCAGTTGGGCATCCAAACCCTCAAGCAAGTCCCCCAAAAGCACCAAAACATATTGTACCACATGAGCACTCCTCGCAGCCGACTCCAGCACACTAGCGGTGCCCTCTCCACCTACGAACAGCTTTCGATACTCATCCAGATCACCTTCAATGATCTTCTCTCGCTGTTCCTTGCGGACCTTGTCTACAGCTCGGATCTTGCTCAATTGGTCCTCACTAATGGTCCCGGCTCTGACAGCTCCATCCCAAGGAATCGGTCGAGCGCGAATATTGTATTGGAGGGAAGAGAGATAAGTAGGAGGGTCTAAAGACATGATGAAAGGTTTTCCTCGGCTCCAGGTTGTGTGCGCGGAGAGTTGGGAGTGGTGTATTGTATGGGGGGTACTCGTAGGTTGGTAGGTGCAGCTTGCAGCTTAAAGCTTATCTTCGCTTGGCCCCCTGCACCGCCATTGAATCTACTGAAGCTCCCTGTAATCCAGGCACCTCCATCGTCACCACCTTATGGAAGAAGCCCTGTACGGTGATCTTCAACAAAACCGGGGAATTCTCACTTGCTGAACTTGGGAGCAGAAGAGTTTGAGCCTTCTAAAATTCTATAAAATTACCTGAATGGTACAACTCGTCTCCTTGCAAAGACTATCGTTTACATACATTCATTCGGTGGAGTCAAGCTGTCAATCATCATTTGGCCCGCAAAACCATCAAACATCGCATCATCAAATATATCAAGGTCATTTTGGTTGAAAGATATTAGTGATTTTACTACTCTCCTATACGCCGAGAAAGGTATTCGTCCATACAACATGCAAATGGTCCCACGCACTCTTCCAGCCAAAGAGGATTCGTGACACCATTTCATTGTTGAACGAAAATATGTACAGAGTTTCTCCCCGGTTGGTACCATAACACAAACAATCTTGGAAAACCCCCCTTCCTCCAGCACACATAGTAACCCAAGCACTACCCACCAGCACTTTTCGCCATGCATCTGAAATCAGATAGCGCGCCTTGAGAAGAGGGATAAACAGCCAAACTCCGTACTTCCGGGAAAAATCATCAACGCCGGCCAAGAATGAGAGAAAAAGAGAAAAAGTAAAAAGCAACAACGAAAATGTAAAAAGCAACAACACAGTTAACACGGACCAAGAGACAATAACACTCTCTCATGACGTTGGTCCAGCTCAAAACAGGCATGTAGTAGCGAAATGCCTATGAACAGCAAATGGTGTCGGTGAAGAAGTCATCCGTCTATCGTAATTTTCGTTCGTCCCATCCAAATAATGCAGGGTGTATCCAGGAAGCAACTGATGCAAAGTGTATCGGGTATGTGTTGATAACTTGGATTTCTATCGTGCAACGTCAAGTGGCACGGAGATGTCAATATCGAGTTCGACAACATGCTTTTTGGCCCATTGTCTTGTAAGAATTGAAGCTGGAGAGAGTCAGTATGATGATGTGACGAGAGAAGAATGGATATGTTTACCCTTGAGAAACTTCTTGCTTGCGTATTTCTTGAAGAATGCTTCATGGACGACAGGACGAGCCAGGTAGTCAACCATGAGCTTGAAAACAGGTTCAATTGCTTCCTCATCATAACCGGAGTAATGAGTCAAAGTGGCATCCTGGAAATGATTAGCTTGTATTCTGGTGTGTATATATCAAAACTTGACTTACCCATTCTCCGCGCTCCAGAATCAAACGGGCCAAGTACATCGAGGCAGCGGCAACGTGACTTGGAAGGTAATCCATAAAACGGTGGTCAAGTAAGCTGATCTCCATAAGATATTTGCCAATAGTTCTTGTTTGGATATCATAGTTATCAGCCTTAGAGATACGACGGAGGAAATTCATTGGGTTAGGATAGCTCAGGTCGTAGTTCAAAGCTGTGAGGACATATCGCTCAGCACTCAAGATCTCCGACTCCGTGAAGCCATCGTCAGCGACGTGACGGAAGTTGGCAACATGAGGAGAGAGGACTTCTTCGTACTTGGACGCGATGAACATGGCAGTGACACCAACCAGTTGAAGGCGGTCTAGTTGAACAACCTTTGTGGAAAGGAAGCGGTCGATGATATTGACAGCGAGGAAGAGGGTTTCAGGAAGTAAGTGAAAGCGGGTGTGAACTTCAATGAGCCAGTCAACAAGGATGCCTCGCATCTTCCACTCCAAGTCCTCCTGGTGCTCCATATAGTCTGCATTGGGCTTTGTTGCGACTTCAAGCTTCTTCAAGTACTCGAAAATCTCAACGACGTAGTCAGCAACCATCAATGGATCATCACGATCTTCTTCATCGAGGTCTTCAACACCAGGTGCGAATTTAGGTTTGACTGATTCTTCCTCCTTCACTTCGGACTCAACGACCTCCTCAAAAATCTCCTCAGTTTGGACCTGGACCTTTACTTTAGACTCGAGGTGGATCTTCTTTCGTGATGGTTGTTCATCCTCGACAGGAGTCTCTTCCTTGACGGGGGCTGGTGCGGACTTTCTCTTTTGTGTAGGTAGAACACCAGAACCGACGCGCTTCAGTTCAGTAGCCTTCTTGTTGGTATCCTTGGAGCCCAATGCCGGTCTACCAGCTGTACGTGTCTTTGAGATACCGGTTGGTTGTGAAGCTTTGGAAACTAGTCCGACTTTGCCTGTGGCCTTCTTTCCCTCTGCGGCATCGCCCTTGGTAACATTGGTAACATCTCCCATAGCCGCACGCTTGCGAGTTTGTTGTGTATTCACACCGGCTTTCTTGGATGCAAGGGCCTTCTTGACTGGCTGTGCTTCTTCCTCTCCGCTGAACTTCTGTGACTTGGATCTTGTGAGGCGTGTGGTAACGGCAGCACTGTTCTCGTCATTCTCGTTGGTGGGCGCTCGCCGGCTTGCTACTCGACTCTGTACACAGGAGAATTAACATCATTGCCACCGTCAATGAACACCCACTAGCAGATGCCATCGCGTCTTGAATGGATCTACTTACTGGAGGCATGTTTGTGGATTTGGTTGTATGTGGATGGTGTATTAAATGATTATTTCCGGAGAAAGGTAGAAGGGGTTGAGATGCTAAAATGGACCCACGTCAGTACGACGCGATAGAAAGAATTGGGCACGACCGGGTTGCACCACGGCGGTGGTCGCGCACGCGATTAATTACTTGGGCGGAAGGGGACGGATGATGCAACGTACATTGGTCTAAGAAGAAGCTCCAAGATGGCTGACCGAAAGAATTGGCGTGCTGTCAAGTGCGTTGGGTATAGGACATGGGCTTTGTTGATGGTCCGAGTCGAGGATGGAAATGACGATGGCTCCGGGGGGCCCAATGCTTGTTCGAGAACTGAATATGGGGATACCTTTCAAGTTAAAGGCGTAAGAGAGAATGCGGGCCGGTGAGAAGAAGTGGAAGTGTTGTGGTGTTGTTGTGGGATGGGGGGGAGGTATGATTTCGTGACGGGAGACGGAGGAAGAGCTGGGAGGTGTCAAAGTTCGCTTGTTATGGCTGGTGTCTTAGCGCGAGTCCAACCCCTAGGTACCAAGGCAGGCAAGGAACTTGCGCGATTCCTTTCACGGAGGCGAGAAATACTTTAGGTGGGGAAAAAAGTAGTTTTTTTTTGTGGTTTGAATGGTGAGAGTACCTATGTCGATGCAGAACGAAAGAGTTTTGGTCTACTCAAAAATTGGGCAAATCGGGCCTGAGAAAGTTGATGTGTGTTTTTTTGGGGGGGTGGTGGTGGTGGTCTTGGAGGTTTTCTGGCGGATGAAGAACGCAGGTGGGGAGCAGTCGGGATTTTCAAGTGGGGAGTCGTGTTGATGCGCAGGGTCATTGACCAGGCAACGTCACGAAAAGATGGAAGGTGTGCCTGAGTTCTGAGGAGTGCCGCACCTTCCGCGATTTCTGGCGTTCTCGCGCAGGGCAATTAGAGCAGCGTTGGATTCTGGAGCTGGAGCTGTGAGCTACCGGTAAGAATATCTTTTGTTTATGGTGTCAAATATGCTTTTGTTTATGGTTGTCAATTTAGGCTAAAATGAACAAATAGATAACTCAGAAAACATATGGCAATCTTCAAGCTCGATGCTTGTATACCCCTCCAACTCCTCAAGCACTCTTTCCAAATGTCCAAAGTTGACCCAGACACTGTCAACTGCCGCTTCCAATATCCCATGCCGCCTTTCCCCCACCGTCGCGATGCCACTTTCTCCAGCAACGCGTCCGCTCAAACCGCCAAGAGCAGCCTTACAGCCCAGTGAACTCAGTGAAGGCTGAACAGGAGTTTGAAACTGAAAACCCTCTGTCTCTCCTCCGTACACCGCAATTCCTTCCCGCCAGAATGCTGAGAATCACATCACAGGTTATTCTGAGATACCTAAGGGTGGATAACCAGGTTCCTGTCATCCATCTTTGACTTTCGAGGCCATGGCCCATGTGGGAACGAGTAATAGCGAAGAAAGTGCCAAGTGAGATCCATGGCCTGATGGTGGAAATTAGAAGTGCTGCATTCCAATACGAGCGCACATTTCATAAAGATATACCGCCACGTCTCCTATGAATATCTCATTTGGAGATCAATTCCTATCATTCATTCATAGCTCAGTCTTTCTGAGTCCATTGCAGTCCCTTTTTCTTCTCTATCACGCATAACGTTAACCACCCAACCAACAAAACACTACTTTTTTCTATCACAACCTCACAAACGCTCTCCCTCTCCTCCTTTCCTCCTCACTCAACACCCAAACCATCCCCTCATCTCCCTCCTCCATAAGCGCCTCCCACTCATCATCCTCCATATTGATCAACATAGTCAACTGATTGACCCTCTGAAAGCTATCTCTAACACTGTACTGAGCCCCTCTCCCAATTGCCTTAACAATACCTCCAAAATCCCTCTCCATCCTCGTAGCACCCAGTCCATTAGTCTTCCCCGCATGAACCCAGATGCGTTTCTCCAATACCCTCGCAAGATGCGTAGCCGTCTGGCTCAGTAAGAGGGCAAAACAATTCGGCGTCATAAGACGCTGGATTGGTCTAATGAGGGCTTCCCATGCCGTCTCGAAGCGGTGGGATACCTGCTCTGCTAGTACCTCGGGGTCATCATCTGTGTCATTTTGACGGGCGATTTCGATGAGATCTTCATCCGTGAGGGAGTAATCTACATCTCGGAATGTATCCGGGATGATTATTCGTAGGCGTGGTTTGAGGACTCGTTCAAACATTACTTGGAGACCTTCAGATATCAGTTCTGATGTTTTGGATTCGAATGTTGTGTTCAGGTTCTTGAGAGCGTTCGTTACAAAGACGGCGTCGTGATCGAAGGGGAAGAGCTCGGAAAGTGAGTTCCCTGGAGTGGCACCGTTTGACTCTGGTGGTTGAAGGCGTGAGGTGACAATTCGACTGATATAATCATTTGCTACATCAAGCGAGTTGATAAGAACAATAAAGGATACGATCTTGTCCTCGGGAGGAAATCCGCCAGAAACTACTGGTTTTGGATACGATTCATCTCTCATTTTTCGTTGAACCATACCTACGAAATCGGAACCAAGAACCCGACCAACTGTAGGTATGACAGAGGCGATGACATCCCGTTGAGAGGTGGAAAGGGAACGCTGGAGGACTGTATTGACAATGTACATTACATCGTCAACAGGCGTGATGATAAAAGGTGGATTTCCATCTAGCGGTTTCGACATGTTGAGAGATAACCCAACTGGCGCCTCGTCCAACTGAAATGCCTTTTCTACTGAACGTCGAAAGAAGAACGTGGTCATGACATTAAACGGCGTTATCAGCCTCGCTGATATTTTACGGCCAAGGGCCGACTTAATGAGCAGTTCTGGCATTACCAATGGTCCGTCATCTTCATTTGGATCCGGTGATAGTTGTGAGATGGCCTGTTGAAGAACTGGTGGTGGAGCCGTCCTGCATTTGCCAGCCAAAAATCTTGTGTATAATGACCAACGACCCAGCATCATAGCTGTCTCGTTCAATAACCCATCGACCTCTTTCATATCGACTCCCTCATCCTCACTCAACCGCCCATTGGTGCCAGCCCCAACGGCAGGGGAAGCGGTCCTTGATATCCCCAGATTCTTCTGGGGAGGTAGAAAGCTTTGTACCAGAAACGAAAATGGATAACTTTTCACATCCGTCATTCTCCTATCGACATTTCTTTCGTCCCCCCACGTGTCCAATATAATGCCACCCTGTACATCAGCTTCGACCTGCAATCGTTCGATAACCTTGACCATTCTTCCTTGCCCATAATGTCTTTCCACCAGTGTCCCATGATTCTCTACAATCTGGGCAATATGTTCAAAGAGTTTCGTAATGGCATTGGCATAGAAGAACCCCTCTTTTCCCTCTCTGCCTTTCGTCCCCTCCTTCAGATTATTCCTCGCCCTCATAGCAACACCCTGACAAACGTATCTCCCATAGACCTCCAAACCCGTTTCCTCCCTCCCAATCAGCGGAAAAAGCTTAAAAAACCTCGTAATCTTAGGATTATCCCCCTCACCAGCAGCCTTCTCAAACTCCCTCAAGAACAGCCCACAAAGACTCTCCTTAGCATTCTCAATCGTCACCCCCGGCGCATCCGGAACCTCCACACTGGGCACAATCGTAGCCGCAAACCTGCCCTCCACAATATCCTTCGGAATCTTCTTCGCTCGCGCAATATACCCCGCAGCCGCCTCCCAATCCTGCGGCGCCCCCATACTCCCCACAACCCCTTGAACACACGCCTTCAACTCCCCCACCATCTCCACGACCCCCAGCGTCTCCTCAACCCTCTTCTTCTCAAGATCCAGCTGTTTCACCTTGCTACTAAGATGTTCCGCCGTGCTCGCAGCACTGTCCAACATCCCATTACTCACATCCCTCGTGTGCACGACCTGCGTCCCCAGGTGCGCGCGCAGGAGATCGAGCCGTCCGAGTTCGCGCGAGAGGTCCGCTTGCGAGGAGATGAGCGTCTGGAGACGCGAGGTGATGGCCGCATCGCGGGTGTGCAGGGCCGATAACGACGCCCGGATCGAGGCTAAGGTGGAAGATTCCGAGATGTGAGGAGGGGCTGTAGGTGTTCCCGGGGGCTGGGAGGAGGGCTCGATGGTGAGGGTGCCATTTGGAAGGCCGGTAGGAGGCATTGGTTTGGGTTCTGCATGGGTGTGGTTTGGGGAGAGGTGTGTTGAAGTGGGACGGAGCTTTGGCGTACAAGGTGGCATTATTTAGAGTTGTGGGGTTAAGCGAGAACAACTCCGTCACGATAGGACAGGAAGATCCCGAGGTAGGTTGAGATTGTCAAAACTCCATTGGTTCACTGTCTACGAGGATAAGTTATTTTAAGAAGACTAATAAGAAGTCTTGCTAAAAGCTGTACAGAGCATTTATTCTATTATATATATACAGTGTCCTGTATGGGTCAACTCCATTGCCCAGCATGAAGACCGGGCTTTTAAACAACCTGACTATATCCACTCCCAAGTCTCCTCTTCCCCCTATACTTCCAGTATTTCCTCGCCTCATCCGCCCAAAACACACTGCTCGTAAGCATGACCAAGCCCACCAAATCAAACAACCCAAGCGCCTCCGTCTGGAACACCTCTTGTAACCAGGGAAAGTAAATAACCAATATTTGTCCTCCCAAACTCAAAGAAACCGCCCAATTGAACAGGGTATTGCTAAGTAGACCAACCTCCCCTCTTAATACAGATTTGGATTCCGAACGACAATTCAAAGCATTGAACATGTCAAATAGAACAAAACAGGTGAATGTCATGGTGGTATCACGTTTGGTTACTTCACCATCCGTGAGCATTTCGTGGGTGTAAACGGCCATGGTCCCAAGCATAATGATCGTGGCCGAAGTTAAAACTCGGGTGATGAGAGGCCAAGTAAGGACAGGAGCATTTCGCTTTCGTGGTGGTCGTTTCATGACATCGGGATCGACTGGCTCAACGCCTAAAGATTGAGCCGGTGGACCATCCATGATAATATCTAAGTATGTCAGTCTTTTATCCCAAAGCCCCTCTTATCAAACAACTCACTAATCCAGAGAATCTGCATCGCGTTTAAAGGATTTTTGAATCCCAAGCACGTGCAGAGAAAAACCAAACTCAGCGCTGCAGCGCTTGTACTGAGTTGGAAAGTGAGGAAATTTTGGATATTGTTGAAGATTCCTTTGCCTTCTTCGATAGCTTTGAGAATTGTTGAGAAATCATCATCGGTCAGAATCATATCAGCGGCTTCTTTGGCCACGTCTGTCCCTTGCAAACCCATGGAGATACCAATATCGGCCTTTTTCAAAGCTGGAGCATCATTGACTCCGTCACCAGTCATTGCAACGATATCCCCACGAGCCTGTAGCGCTCTGATGATTTTCATCTTGTGGTCTGGGCTTGTTCTTGCAAAGATGGATGTATTGGCAATGGCGACTTCCAATTCCTGGTCTGTCATCTGTTCTATTTCCTCACCTCGCAGAACTGGCTTCACGGCCACAGACCTTGTAGTATGATCGCGCGGTGTTGCTATAGCCATGCCCAACTTTTTGCCGATAGCAACAGCTGTGGTTTCGGCATCACCAGTAATCATGATAACCTTGACACCACCTCTCATGAGACGCCTAATCGACTTTTGTACTCCGGGACGAGGAGGGTCACTCATTCCAACCAGGCCAGCAAATGTAAGTCCCTCATAGACGTCTTCATTGTGAGAAATATGCGGCTCTGGAGAAGTTGTTGTAGGACTTCGACTCATTGGTTGTTTGAGAGACTTTGAATGCTTTGCGACAGGGCCGCTCGCAAATCCGAGCACTCTCAAGCCTTCCTCCGCCATCTTTTCAGCTGCATCCAATACAGACTTCTTTACGGCGTCATCTAATATAACCTCCCGGCCATCTTTGGTCAGATAAGTATCGCATCTTGCCAAAACCCGGTCGACGGCACCTTTAATGTAGGCGACTTCTCGAGAGTGGGAACTTGCCTCACCATCACCAACAGTGACACCCATCCACTTTCTTTCAGAGCTGAATGGTGTTTCGCCAAGTCGATGACCTAGGCCTTCTCGTGCATCATGCTCGTTGAAACGATCAAGCATATCTAGCATTGCAACATCGGTTGGTTGCCCAACCCATCTGCTTCCTAGACCACTAGTAGACCTACTGCCTTGGGTGGATGATAGAATGGCTACAGAAGAGGCAGATTGAGCATGTGTATTTATACGACTTAAACGAGCATTGTTGGCGATGTTGCCAATTCGTAGAATTCGTAGGGTAACAGTATCAGGTTGCACTTCTTCGTCCCCAGAATCAATCGCAATAGGCGCATCGGCATCCACATGCCACATTTTTGTAGTGGCCATATGGTTCATTGTCAACGTTCCTATAATCTCTGTCAATATCTCTATCATTCCATTCAGGTTTAGTTCATACCTGTTTTATCACTGCAAACCACATTTACCGAACCTAGAGTTTCCACACTTGGCATCTTTCGAACAATCGCATGATGCCGTGCCATTCTATGAACTCCTAGCGCCAATGTTACAGTGACAATAATGGGAAGACCTTCGGGAATTGCCGCCACAGCAAGAGAAATGGAAATGGTGAAGATTTCTAGCAGTCCTTTCCCTTGAAGCCATCCCACAAGTGAAATGATTCCGATAATAACAAAAGAAGCCTGACTAAGTTGCGAACCAAGAGCATCCATAGAAAGTTGTAAAGGCGTCCGAGGACTTTCCGTATCCGTAACACTAGCAGCAATTGTACCAAAGTGTGTATTTCCACCCGTTGCGTAAACAATTCCTTGACCGTGTCCAGATCTAACCAAAGTACCCATAAAGGCAATATTTGTGGTACTGTTCAATCGAGTATCGACACCCACAGCGCCCGTCCCAGGAGAAGCATATTCAGGCGGTTCCAAACTGTTTCCATTGGCCCTAGGATAACTTGGGCGTCCTCTGACATCGGCAGTAATTCTAACAGGTTCATTCTCTCCTGTGAGGTTGGATTCGTCAATTGTGAGATCTATAGCTTTTGTCACACGAATATCGGCTGGAATACGATCCCCGGTTGTAAATAGAACCAGATCTCCCGGTACCAGTTGAGCCGCCATAACTTTGCTTGAAGCACTTTCTAACTTTGCTTCCACATCTTCAGTTGAACCAGCCATTAACCCTTCCGTCTCCGCAGATTCGTCTTCAGTCGGCGGCCATGTTGGAGTTCTTATGGATGAATTCCTTCTCTGTCCTCTGATCAAATGCGCATGGTTTGGCACTAGATGGCTCAAAGCTTCTATCGATTTTTCCGACCTGTATTCTTGTATGAAACCCACGGCAACGACAATAGTTACTGCAACGGCAATACTGATTGCATCGTCTTTGTTCCCAACTACGACAGATGCGACTGCTGAACATAGTAATAGCAAGATCAACGGTTCCTTAAACTGCTTCAAGAATCGCAACCATAACGGTTCGGGCTCATCGTGGGGAAGCTCGTTCGGCCCCTGGTCGTGTAATCGTGAGAGAGCCTCGCCAGGTGTAAGCCCATGTGTTAGAGAGGTTTGCAGCCTTTGTGCCGTTTGGGCAGGAGTAAGAGTGGAATATTCATCTGCAATTGACTTTATTTATATTAGCAACGCCCATGCATCACTGAGTGAGTCAAAGCCAACCTTTGCAAAGGACGAAGTGGTTCGCATATGTCCGTTCCTTGACCTTGAAGGGCTCCGTGATCTTGGTCGCGATGGTGGTTCTGAGTGGACGTCGTTTATCGTTGGTAGGTTCGTCATTGGGATTGTCCCGCCTGGACTCGCCGACCGAGATATTCGAGGCCATACCATATTGACTAGCCACTATTTGTCCTCTACTAATCCTCAACCACTTCAGTGCACTACACTGCGCAATACCGAGATCGGCAGGCCGAAGCTGTCGCTCTAGCTGGATTCCTATCGCTGAGGCATGCGAATGCGACTGAATGTACGTCGAAGGTTTCAAGACACGTTGATGGATGTGATGGTGCGGAGAAGTGAGGAGGTCAAAGCTTATAAGGACAGAAGCATTGGTGAATTAAGTTGTGCTGAAGTCTGGAGGGTATTCGCAAAATCACACTGTAGAAGTGTAAATGGTCTTGATACAGCCATACGTGTCCGGGTTTCTAGCTCCGGCGCTGCACTGCACTTTTGAGTTGACGATTCAGTGGATACCCGCAAGGTACGGGTACGGCAGGGCAAGCTTCCAGGGACAGGATTCGTAGTTTGACCCCTGTTGAAGATTTGATACAGGAATTGATATGCCGGAAAGAGTGTGTAGATGTTTATAAGGAATTCAACTTTTGGATAGTTTCACGAGATTTTGGTACGATTTGAGAAATAATGAGGATTCCAATTATCTAAAGCATGTTGCACACGTACAGAGAGTCTGGTACAGTATGGCCGCTTTGTTCCAGCATCAAGGATCTATTCAACGTCTCTTTCGGACAGCTACCTCGTTACTTTCCATTCTTCCCTCGACGGGGAGTGGTAGACTGGCAGAACAAAAAGATTTGATTTCTCCAAGTTTCACTTCAACTTGAAGGAAACCAAACTGTGGTTTGAACTTGTAATTACTTGAATTCAAGAACCCTTTGTAGGACAACCCAGGAAACATTCCCATCCTTCTGGAACTGCCAAGTGGCTGGAGTGCCGATGTCGAAACGACTACAAGTACCTGCGAAGTATGTAGGTACGTACTGATTCAGAAAACATACCACTGTCGGAAATGGGGATTTTTGGGGAGTACATTATACCTAGGTAGGTTTAAAAAATGATTTGTTATCTTCTACTGTCGTTTCTTTGAAAACTTGCTTTGGAATGGTAGTAGTCATGTTTGAGTAGGTGGAAAATAAATGTATAGAGATGCCAAGCCTTCAGTTTCCGCCCCGACGCCAAGGCACGATTGGAGCTTCTCTAGAATTTTGGATAACATCATATCGAACCGCTGAACACCCCAAGCAGCAATTGGGGCCAGTCCATCGCATCACCCCGTCCGAGGTTATTTGCACTGGCGAAGAAACCATCAAACATAAAATTAAAACCTTCGAAATCCTCCTCACTCGCGTGAGGATTGGATACCCACCAAGATGCTACAACCACGGGTACTCCTACGCCAGTCCCAGCAACGAACAACATGTCGCTACCTCACATTACCAATTCGGCAGAATGTCCCTCGAAACTATTCCACTGCTATAGAGGTGGTACGGCCAGCATCACCGGCAGCAGCAGGCTTTGCAGCACCTCCAACAGTTGAGAAGACAAGTGCTGCATTCGCAATGCGAACATATAAACCTCGAACGCCCGGTGTACGACATCTCAAGCGCCCTATAAACGACCATCTATGGAAAGGGAGACCGTTTCTTCCATTGACATTTTCAAAGAAGGGGCATGGAAAGGGTGGAAGAAACAACTCTGGTAGAGTGACCATTAGACATCGTGGTGGTGGACACAAGAGACGTATAAGGACGGTGGACTTTGCAAGAAAAACACCGGGGAAACACACGGTGGAGAGAATCGAGCATGATCCAGGACGAAGTGCACATATTGCTTTACTCAACGAGGAGGCTACTGGAAGAAAGAGCTACATAGTGGCTGCGGATGGGATGAGAGCTGGAGATGTGGTACAGAGCTACAGAGCTGGAATTCCAAAGGACTTATTAGATAGTATGGGAGGAGTTATAGATCCCGGTGTGTTGGCTGCGAAAACTGCATGGCGAGGAAATTGTCTACCACTTCATATGATTCCCATTGGAACCATGGTATACTGCGTTGGGTCTGCCAAGGAGAGAGGAGCCGTCTTTTGTCGAAGTGCTGGTACTCATGCTATCGTCATTGGCAAAGAGTCATCATCCAAGGGTGGCGCCAACAAATGGGTCACCGTCCGTTTACAGAGTGGTGAAATCCGAAGAGTAAGCAAAGATGCATGTGCTACCATCGGAGTAGCCAGCAACCCCAATTTCCAACATCGACAACTTGGAAAAGCAGGACGAAAGAGATGGTTGAATATCCGACCAACAGTCAGAGGTCTTGCCATGAACGCATGCGACCATCCACACGGTGGTGGAAGAGGAAAGTCCAAGGGTAACGTCAACCCCGTCAGTCCTTGGGGTTTACCAGTAAGTTTTACACTGTCACAATATCTCCCAACAAATTCTAATCTGACATGCTCCTTAGGCAAAAGGAGGATACAAAACTCGTAAGAAGAGGAATCCCAACAAATGGGTGGTCACCGCTAGGGAAAGAAATCATGGGAAACGTCGTGTCAATTAGATGCAGCCCTTTGGGAGTATGCATATCATCCTTCCGGCCTTCCTATTTTGATCTTTTCGAGCCATCATCTTTTATACCAAGGCACTCGAGGGCCAACATCATGTATAATATCTCAAATAGGACTACTATCATGAGCAGTTCCAAACAAAAAAAAGTAGGACGTTAAAATGCAAGATACGTATGAAAAATCAATTGAATAGGCGAGTAATTTGAAAACCATCCAGAAGACCAGCTGCAGCTTCCCATAACTCTTTCACCCACCTTTGCATTCACTACTCTACAGTATACCTCACTACCCTTAACCCCAAATTTCCCCACTATAGCGCTATACTACTACATAAAAACTCGCCCAGCGAGCTTTGTTCCTCATCTCACACCATCCTAACCCTCCAAATCCAGTAAAAAATACAATAATCCTTACCTACCTATCCCCACCCCCCTCTATTAATTCCCTGTCCACAGCAACCTTATCCCCCTTCCATCGTCATACAGCATGCAGATATAATAAATTGACTGTACAACCCATCCCATCCCATCCCATCAAGCCATTCCATCCCCCTGGTGCCCCTAAAAACATTCCCTTCATTCACCTCATCCCCCCCCCGNCCCCGCCCCCTTCACACTCACAACCTTGCGTACCTATAACACCCCTCTCACCAAGTCGAGTCATCCAGTACATATCTGCGTAGCTTAATGGCAAGGTAACATTGAGTGAGAGCTTTACAGTACTTGAAGATTGACTAGTCAAACCGCAAAGAGCAAAGAAACCCAGTTCGTCTGGTTTAATGGCTGGGACCGCCTTCTACAGTATGAAGGTGAGGATTTTTTTTTGGATATTTTTTGGGGTGAGAGGGGGCGTTGGGTTTTGCTGGGAGGGGGAGGGAGATAGGGGGTACGCATGAGGTGGGAGTGAGTGAGGAAAGGAAAAATAACAAACCCCAACCTCAACCCCAACCTCAACCCCAACCACCTATTTCGTTTTTTATATAACCTTCACCACAAGATAGATAGCTAAAATCTCAGAATCTTTACGTGATACTAGGTATTACCAAATTATGGTAGATAGCTACCTAGTAACAAACTCTTTGATAGATCCTTACACTTCTACCTTGTAAGTCCCTCCGGGTTACGTCTGTGTCTAGTTGTTAGTTATTACTGTGCACTGTATCTAGCTAACTGCTTCTAATCTCTTTCTCTGTAAATCTAAAGAAATTTCTTCTTCGTCTTCGTATCTAATATATTATCTCACCATATCTTATTTTATACCATGACACACCGGACCTTCACTTGCCTAGGTCTCATCCGCTATGGAATGCCTTAGTAATAACGACACTCTAACTCTCTTGAGAAACTAGTATGAATGCCTACTGTAAATGCTATAATCATTATAACCAGACTTCCTTCTCTCATCTACAGTCTGGACAGATATCTGTCTATATATAAAGAAGTAAAAAAGTACCGTGAATATGTGGAAAGAAGTAAAGTTAAAGAAGTGAAGAAAAATAAGTAAAGTAAAGTAAAGTAAAGTAAACAAGCAAGGTAGAAAAACATCATACACCCTGAACCATAAAACATACACACAATACTACCTACATATTATCGAAGGTGTTTATTTAGTTATATTTTACCCATCCCATCCCATCCCCTCACATCACATCCATACACCTACTAACTCACTCTCATACTGACTCTAATCTATACTTACTGACAACCTTAGATCCCATAATGTAAGATTATATCATACATCGTACAATCTATCTCAAGAAACAATAACACAACCCCCCACTCTCTCCACCCCCAAAAAGGGCCAAAAAAGAAAGGTCAAATAATAATAAAAATTCAAACCCTCAAAACTCTCATCAAAAATTGGTATCATATTCCTATTCCCTACCCTTCTACCCATCATGCCCGTTCGGTATCTGTTATCCCGCCCGTCCACCCACCCAGTCGTACGTCTCTGTCTCTCACACAACTCCCCAAAAACATATATAGAAAAAATAGAGAGTAGAAATATACACCCCCACTTCCCCCCAGAATCCAAAGAAAGGTATCCATCACCATCACCATCGCTCGCTCGCTAACTCGCTATATTCATACAAGATAAGATAAGATAAGACAAGATCCGTAAATCCCTAAACTCCCCAAAAGCCCCCCAAAGAAAGAAAAAAAATAAGGTGATACAAAGAACCCCCACCCAATCCAAAACAAAAAAAAAACTATTAACCTACACCACAACGAATAAACAGATTCCGCAAAGCCCTTACGTATGTAGGTATCATCAAAACCGAAACCCAACCCCTCCATCACAAACCCTCACGACCCACCTTCCCATCCAAGATCCCTATACATCATTAGTCAGTCACACCCTGCACAATCAAAGCCTCTCTTTGAAGAATTTGGAAGGAAAGGAAAGGAAGGAGAAGAGGTACAATACTAACATCTCATCCATCCCCCCAATAGTCCCCATCCCCATCAACTGCCTAAAAACCCCCTCCCCAACGGGCGTCAACCCCTCACTCTGCGCATGAATCCCCCAGCCACCATTAGTAGGAGAGAAACCCTGAGGATCAGGCCCCAAGCCCGTACCATAGAACCCCGCTGTCTCACCGTTAGAAAGCAAGGAGTCATCATGCGAGACCTCCGGACTCGTTTCGTGGGAAGCAGGTCCCGAGGTCACGGATCGGGGTTGGAGGTTGGAGCGTGAGTCAGAGGGGGTGGAGGAGGAGGGAGTGGGTCGGTTGGAGGATGCGCCTGTTGTTCCGGTGTCGGGGGAATTGGCGTTTTTGTTGTTCTCGTTGTTGGGGAAGGTGGTGGGATGTGGGAAGCCGCTATGATCATAGGGAGTTGTCATGTTGAAATCTTGGAGGGTGGTTTCGAGGGGCTCTTGTTCTCGTGTGAAGGAGGTGGTTGAGGGGATGCGGGCTGTTGCCCTGACAGGACTGGTGGTATCTAGATTTAGGTCCTGGCTCAGTTTCATGAGGATACATCCTTCTGTTCGTGTATTACAGAAATCGAAGGCTTTGCCGGTCGCAGCTGGGGCCTGTATCATTGCATGATTAGTGTATGATGAGGTAAATGGAGAGGGGTGAGGATTTACATTGTCATCGGTATAAGTGAACGAGTTCTTAGACTTGATATTCCTCATACCCAACCCCTCTAGATCAACGTCTAACTGCACAAGAAACGATTCCGTCAAAGGATTCTTTCGTTTCAAAGCATTCATAGCGGAAAGCAAAAATCTCAAAGAGTCCCCGGTTTGGCTATCGTTTGGTCGACTTTTGAGGTATTGTACAAACACACGTGCCGCAACGTACAGACAGAAAGATATAAAAGGATTCATCTGAGTTTGATTAGCTTGATATCAACACGATAAATGCAGGGTTGGGAACTCACAGATGATAAATCCATATGCGATACCATCCGCATGATACTCGCAATTTCATTGGCCGCAGAAATACATCGCACCTTACTTTCTTGACTGATAGAAGGAGGCAGGCGATTCTTGTCCGCTTTGTAAATTGCTGCTTGATGCAAACAAATCGTTGAAGTGTGAATGTTCATATTTGTAAACACAATATTAGGATTGGACAAGCCGTTTGGTAATTTCAGATGTGACGGTAAAGAGAGGGTAGTGTTAAGAAGTATGTTATCCATCTGCCTATGCCGTTTCCAAAACTCGCCATTCAAGTCATGATCTCGGTCATCTTCGTCTGGGCGATGTAGATGTATCAGATTCCTACCGAAAAGACAAGCCATAAGGACAACGCCAGCGAATGGTGAAAGCTTGCAAGCTCCGCTAGGATCAAGAGCATCTGCTAAGGATTGTGTTGTTTCTATCTTACTCATCTCGAAAGCCTCCTCGGAAGAAGGAAGGTCGGACAAAATATCTTTTTCGTCAATGGTCATCGGCCATCCCGTACCAATACTTGCATATCGGTCTTCACAGAATGCCATCCAGAACGTCCTCCGTCTTTCTTCGCGCTCGGTAAAGTCACGAGGTGGAGGGAGACATTGTTTGACGTCTAAACCATCACCATCAAGTCTATGTAGACCCATCCTAAAAATGGTAAGAATTGTCCCGCTCAAAGGGTTATTGAGATGGGCATTTACATTTGACACAACCGAATTGCTGTTCCTGTACTAACCCATGCTCGTGGAAAGTACATCATTTTGAACTCATAAGAGGCCAAAAGAACATGTGTCTGGGCATTGGCGATCGAAATCATATGTTCTCCATGACCCTTTAATGAGTCCATCTCCACGTATTTGCGAGCACGTTGGTAGAAGTGATCTTTCAAATCAAAATATTTTTCGACTACCGAGGCAGCAGCTGCCCACATTATATATCGTAAGGCAACGGGTGGTCGTTGATTAGGAGCTCTGATCTTTTTATCAGTAAAAGCCTTTGGCAAAGGGTCGCTAGTACAGTAGTTATAGCAATTTGATATTGTTTGATGGATATGTCAAAGTTCGAAATGAGACTGCATGGCAAGAAATCGATGAGATTGTGGATGGTAGGATCCGAGTATCTGGGATATAAAAAAGGATCGACAGAAGTAGTTTTGGAGCTTACAAGTTCATGGCAGCAAGATATCTGTATTTGTGAATCATCGGTAGCGAAGGGTGAATCTTATCGAAATATATGGTATGCCTAGGTGGTCAGCTCTGTTGTATCAATAGACAAAAGCTTACCAGTACTCACAATTCATCTATTGTATCTTGTGGGGGTAGTGGTTCTTCTAGACCCAGTCCAATCATTTCCCAGGTAAACGTACTGTCGTCAATACCCATTGCCATACTCATATCACCACCGAAATTAAGATCATCCATTGGTGGTGGTTGTACAGGCGAGTCTCCAACAAATCCCCATCGTTCTGTACCAACTCCACCAACAAGGTTTATGGGTCCATTGGCAATACCGAAATCTGGGGCGGAAACGGTACGAGGGGTAGTTCCACTAGCATTGCTTGTCGTGAAGCTTCCCGGCGCAACTTCTTTTGGGGGATTTGCAATGGGTTCCTGGGTTTTCAGTAAAGTTTCAACCTGTTCTGTGGAAAGAAACTGGTGGTCAGCTCTATTTCCAAGCCATATATTTGGTACAGAGCGAATTGATCTGGCTCACTAAGTCTCTCTTCTAACGCCTTTACATATCCCCTTTTTGGTCCTGACTTTTTCCTAACTTCATCATAAGCACAGCTATGTCCCAGTCTTGTACAAGTCGAGCAGCTAGGTCTGGCCCCATCGCATTTCAGCTTCCTCTTTCTGCAGATAATGCAAGCTATTCTCTTCGGTTTTGGCACTTCAGAGTCTCCTCCATTTCCATTTCCAGTCGCGTGTCCATTGCCTGTGCTTCTCCTGTTCTTCTGCTGCCCATTGTTCCCTGTGGGTAGCGAGAGGTCGTTGAAGTAATCTTCAGGTGGGGTATTGGAGGATGATGACATGATCGCGAGTTTGGGTTTGAGTTCGGTGACAGCACGGTATTCTCGTTATGGTCCTGCAATCGAGCCTATCGATTGGGTAAAATTGAAACTTTGTAAGACACCTGCAATTCAGCTTCGCATGTGCCGCCGCCGCCTACTTGTTACAGCGGTCTCGAGGGAGTTAGAATTAGGAGGCACCTCAGGGCTTTTGATGATCGGCTTGCATTATCTTGCGATGATACGAGAGAGTGAGACTTGGTGGTTGGATTAAAGATAGTGCGTATTATTTAGTAATAGGAATATACACTAGAGAATTGGAATTGAAAGGAACATGATAGAGGCCAGAGGGCGCTCGTTGTCAGATGTACTCGTACTCCTGTAGACGGGAGCTCCAGTGGACCTAGTCCAGGGTTGTGGAGGTCGGTCCCTGTACTTTTCAGTACGAGTAAACTCGAGTACAATGCACAGAACCCCTCCTGCTTCCCAAATTAGACGTTCGCGCGGGACGGGAAACGGTTGGATCTGAATAGCTAAGATCAAGCCCAACCCAACGACAAGATAGATCGTTGCATATGGTGGTAACTATATCAAGAGGCAGTGCCAACGGTCCTGATCGAATGAAATCGCGATATTCCTCAACCAATCTCGAAATGATTCATCCCAAAGGGACAGCTGATACGCCAACACCCTCATGATACCATTGACCGCCCCAACCCGCATATCCCAAAGCCCATGACGTGGGAGCATGTAACCTCAATTACAGCACCTGCTTGGGACACTTTGCCGTTTTCTAAGGCACCAGCACGTCCACGCTGTTTGATTCCGTAAGCGTCCCAAAAAGGGCTTTACATGGGTTCTTCAGCCTCGGAATAGGGATCTCACTAAATCCCTCCTGCGAGTCGGAGGGATATTAGGCCGACTACCAGTCAAGGCTGTGCGGCGACAGGTTGCTAGATCAATATGGAAGATAGCAATGCTGGCAGTCGTGCAGCCTCTACCGGAATGGCCGTTCTATGGCTGGTTCCGAGGCTTCATAGGATGACGTTCATACCACGAGGGCGGGATCCTCTGATCTGCTCGTCTAAATGCTTGCTTCTATGGACGCAAACTCGGAGCGTTGATGGAATCCTCGAGGTCTGCCGGATGTCTTCCGGTGTCAGCGCCAACTGGCCTCCCAGCTTTCTCCCCTTGACGGCGGTGAGCTTTGGTGATACACTTGTCAGATATCGTGCCAATGTTGAGTGTATATTCATATAATGGCATTAGATAAAGATTTTAGAGAAATTGAGTTAGTATCAAAAGAGAGATTTCACTTATCATCGTAGTGATATTTTCCGGAAAGTTTTCCAATGATAAAGTAAATGAGAGTATGAGGAAAGATTCGAGCCAGAACTAAAACTAAAAGAACACACATACAACATATATAGGATGAAAATCAAGATACAAGGTAGCAGAAAAGTAGGAACTGGCTGGAAGTAACTTCAATTACTGGTATATTCGAAACGCCCTTTCGCTTTCTTTCTTCAGAAAGCCAGTCAAGCTAACCCCTAAACCCCCATTCTGATGCCCAAATCAGCCTTGTTCACTTCCTCTCCCCATCAAACCCAAGAATTCGCAAAGAACCCATGTCGGTATAAGCCAAACTGTAACGACTGGGATGCCATGCAACAATTGGTGCAGGTCCTGCAGTCTTGATGGAGTGTTGATAGTCTCCTGACTCCGTATGAGCAATCTCCAAACCGGCCCCTTCATCACTACCTCCTACGACGTAACTGCCATCAAAAGTAAAACTCATGCTCCTAACTGGTCCGACCATGTCGATCAATGTCCGCTGGCAATGCCAATCCGTTGTGTCCCAGAGAGCAATTATCGAGTCTGATCCCCCGGTGGCAAGGTATCTTCCACTAGGCTGCATCTCAACAGAAAGACAAGATGAGGTGTGACCGTTTAGCGTAAAGGGTATTGTAGGATCATAGATAGTAGTGAACACCGGATTGAAATCGGGATAGGAAAGGACTTTTACTCGTCCCTCTCCCGTGGTCAAGAATATTTTAGTGCCACTGTTACAAAAACATGTCTGGTTCGTTTGAACATTCTGTTGATGCGAAGCAAGTGGCGTTGTTTGTGTCGGCGACAGAACGAAGATATTGTCGGTCTAAGAGTTGTCAGCGTCTTGTTTTAAATTTTGGCTCTGTATTGTGGTTATCTGGGTGATGAGCACTCACCTTATTTCCCACAACTAGACTTTCTCCATCCGGACTCCATGCCAATGTAAACGCATCTCCTAAACCTTTGACTTCATTGATGACAGCCTTGGTCCTTACATCCCAAAATCTGACAATACCGTCACTTGATACACTACAAAGTTCGGCTTCCTTTACTGGATTGAAAGCCACCTTTTCGATTCCGGCAGTATGACCCTTGAGCTCCGTCGAGTAACGAACATCTCTTTTCTCGGGGTTCCAGCTGTGGATTGAGATCAGTAAAGATTACTTATAATGAGGCGTATGCAACAAAACTTACACTCGTAGTGTTCTATCGGCAGCCCCAGTTGCTATCAAAGTGCCTTGTGGGTTCCACGCGATGGACTTTATCCTTGAATTCTAATTAGCTATAGACTTTAACAATCATGGACTCGAGACTCGCATGCCATTCCTCGTTCATAAGCGATGTTGATATGAATCAGAACCCCATAAATAATGGAAATGAAGGAGCCAGTCATAAAACATCTCAACTTCCACGGAAACTTCCATGGAAGGGTAGCCTGCGAGCTCACAATCAAAACATAAAGGAGAAATAATTACATACCCATGAGAGCTTGCCCCACGAAGCAAAGGATCGGTGTAAGTCTGGGTCCGTAGAGAGCCCAGATAGCTTGAAAGGCGATCTTTGGGAATACTCTGACGCTGTCGTGAAGGCGCCATAATGAGTGAGTGGTTATCAATAACCAGCAGACCAAGCGTATTAGATTTTCACAGGCAGACAATGATGGTTGGCGGTCTTGGTGTGCGGAAGGGGTTTTAGTGAGCCAAAATATGACAGGAAGAGATTGAGAGAGTGAATGTTGAGTTTCTTGCACAGAATTGGTGAAGGGACAGCTACTATTGTTTGGGAATGCCTATTGTGGTGTATTTGTTCATGGGATTTCATTGGAGTTGTCTTGAGCAGGGGTTGAGGGTCCAGTACTCCACGATGATCAAGGGACAGCTTCGCTTCTGTCATTGGTGGCTTGAAACAGCCAAATCGTGGACCTCCCCAAATCAGACCACAATAGGAACCATTACTCTTCACCACAAGGCAATTGGCCTCCCTCCTCAACACTTTCCAATGGCAAACGGTCCTCAATCACTACGGCAATAAAAGTGCCGATTCGCGGGCATGCGACCATGCGAATGAGGCCTTTGGAAGCATTGCGCAGCCATGTACTGGCCTATTGGAGCCCCACGCATCTATGCTGCGAGTAATACCAAAGCAGAACCAGAGCGCACCTTCGAAGTGGACGACGATGCCGAATCTCGAGAAACCACAGAGGGTAGCGGATCACTGATCAATGCTGGAAGCCTCGAGTCGGAGGAGAAACTGGACGACGCCATTGATTTCCCCCAAACGCCAGTGACCCCAAAAACCCCAGCCATACAACCCGTCGAACACGATTCGTCAAATGATTTCCCTCCGCATACAGAGCATGGGAACTCGCCGTTCAAGTCTGCGGATCGAGAGCCTTTATTGGCTTTGCGAATTTCCCGGACAGGACATCTGTTTGCCGTGATCACATCAACCTCCTTGACAGTATGGCAGACAAAGGTACGTCATTTGGTAAATAGGAGAGTATATATGGCTAATTGATGTCCCAAGCCGACTGCCATTCTTGCGGTCGTTGTGCGTTCTAAGAAATCACTGAGCACATATGGTTCGAATGTTTCCCTCCTAGTTCGCCCGGACTCTGCTATTTTCGTTGTTCAAACTACCCACGGGTACCTTATAACATACACGCTGGCAACCGACCCTGAAGCTCGAGTCTTCAGACCCCATTTCTCCAGTCACACAAGTGGGCAGACACGAAGGCAAAGCAATTTCAGTGGAGCTAGAGGGCAAGGAGGAGATAGAATTCTATGGGGACCTGGAGAAGGAGGAGGTGTACGAGAAGTGAGTGTTCGTTTTCGAATGGTCATTAAGGTGGATGCCGGTATTGGGCAAGCTTTAGCCCTGGATGATGAATTGGTAGTTGCGACCAAAAAGCCAGCAGCAGTGCAATGTATCAGATGGACCCCGGATACGGCTGGCAACCAGACTAGCACAGAACTATTTAGTCGTATGGACTGGTTGCCAAAAAAAGTGAACGTGATAGAAATGATTCACGATAGACCAATGAACTTGTCTTGTTGGGTCACAAATGATGGAAGAGCATATGCTGTCCAAAGGGGTTCCAAATCAAGGTCCACTGAAGAACGACAAAAATTGTTCCGAGGATATTGTTTTCATACACCCAATTCTCCTGAAATGTACGGCCAAAAGGCAGCAATAAACGCCAGGTTTTCGCTGGTAGCCGTCGGATGCTCTGATGGAAGTATTCAAGTCTATACAGCGAGGGATTATGTTGGTAACATTCCTCCATCGCATGTTCATAAGGTTTCTGTGTCCCGGCAGTATTCGGGTGCGTTAACTTGTTTGACCTACTCCCCTGATGGCTACTGTCTTTTTGCTGGCTATGAAAATGGCTGGGTGACCTGGAGTGTGTTTGGGAAATCAAGTGCTACCAGTTTCGGATCCGACCAAAGAATAACTCAAGATCACGAAGAAGGATGGCTCGATGGAGTAAAGGATGCAACCTGGTTTGGGGGAGGGTCGGAAATCTTGCTCATTGGCAAGCAGGACGATCGCCTCTGGACGTTAGAAATGGCTCGAAGTGCAATCACCGGATGCTACACATCAGCCAACATATCTCGAACACTACTCCAAACTACTTCAAGCATAATGGTGTATCGCGGTTACGATTTACCAGATTTGACTTCAATATCAGCAGAATCCTCTTTGTGGCATACAGCAGAAGTACCTTCCAGTTATTTGGTAGACCAATGGCCTATACGCTGTGCCGTTATATCTGCTGATGGAAGATATGTAGCTGTTGCTGGCCGCCGAGGGCTGGCTCACTATAGTGTCAACAGTGGCAGATGGAAGTCATTTGTGGATGAGAACATGGAAAATGAATTCCAAGTTCGCGGAGGAATGTGTTGGTATCAGCATATTTTGATTGCAGCTATCGAGGCTGGCGAGTCGTTTGAGCTGCGCCTATACTCGCGAGAAGCAGCTCTGGATAGCTCGCTTGTCCTGCATGTTCAAGCGCTGCCATCGCCTATCGTACTCATTGCTCTTTCCGGAGAGGATTCATTACTCGTCTACACGTATGACAATCTTCTCTATCATTACATTATCACATCGACAGCCAATTCAGTACAACTAATACAGGTTGGGCAAATCGCATTTCATGGCATCGTGAGGTCACCTGCTCGAGTCAGAGGACTTAGCTGGATATTACCCGATGAGCAGCTTCTCGAAGGAGATCCATCACAAGATGTCGCAGTAGCCACGGTCTTGTTTCTTGTTGATGGAAAACTTGTTCTTCTGCAGCCGTCACTAAACGACGAAGGTAAACTCAAATACGACATGCGTGTCATTATGCAAAACGTGGAATATTACGCCTTGATGAGAGACTTGCCATTTGCAAGCCCGCCCCGTAGTCTAGAACCGCCTTCTGACGGCTATAACGAAAATGGGATCAATCTTGTCGAAGGATCGGGCCTCCGCGACTCTTTGTGGGTCTTTGAAGGCAATGAAATGAAAGTCTGGACTGATGTGAATGATGTTCTCCAATCAGCTCCACCTGAGTTGGGGAGAGAATTGCCCCCTATGGTTTCAATACCTGTGGACTTTTATCCCTTGTCAGTCTTACTTGGAAAAGGAATTCTTCTTGGGCTTGAACCGGACCTGGTACAACGTCGTGACGTGAGCTTTGCCTTTTTCAAATTCACGATACGGGTATGTAACTTTTCGAAAATGCAAAAATCAATACTAATGTACAACTAGACTCACCTATTTATTCCTCAAGTTCTCCGATTTCACCTCTCGCGGTTCGACTCATCTGCGGCTTTACATCTCGCTCACCAGTATCGACAACTGGAATACTTTGCCCATTCGCTTGAAATATTGCTTCATAATGTTTTAGATGAGGAAGTTGACAGCTCTCCTTCCCCAGAGACTGCTTTGCTACCAGGAGTGCTTTCATTCTTGTCTTCTTTCCCGCAATATCTCGATATTGTGGTTCAATGTACTCGGAAAACAGAAGTTCGATCATGGCGGACACTTTTTGCATACCTACCCCCTCCACAGGAACTGTTCGAAGAGTCTTTGCAAAGAGGTTCTTTGAAAACAGCCGGCGGGTATCTACTTATTCTGCATACATTTGAAGAGCTAAGTTCAAGCTCGGAGCAGTTGGTACGATTACTTTCGAGAGCCAAAGATGAAGGCGATTGGGAATTATGCAAGGAATTGGCACGGTTCTTGACTGCATTGGATGAGAGCGGTGCAACTTTAGTAGAGGCATTGGAAATGGTCAACCTTCGAAGCCCACAGGACGTGCGGGAGACGTCGAGTTTTATGTTTGGGGGATCGAGATTGAAAGTCCCAGATCCAAAAAAGAGGATTTTACCGAAAGTAAACGGAGGATCAAATGGGAGTGCTGGAAGTGGGAGTGGGACTGATGATAGTGGCAGCCATAGCCCTAAATCCAGAGAGGGGGACATAGGGTATTTCTCATCTCAGAACAATAGCTGAGATGGATGTTTGGAGTAGGGAGTTGAGTGATCTTATCTGGTTACGCGAAGGGTTGGATACAAACCTCTTTCAAGTTTTTTTGGAGGATGGCGTCGCCAAGTAATTACAAAGAGGTGTTGGTATATTTGCGTCGAACCCAAAGAGGCTGTGGAGGTCAATAAGACCTTCTCTGGGACAGAAGTAATGAGAAATCAACAGATGTTTTATTTTGTAGAGGTGCATGTTTCCTAATCGTAGGTTGCTAAGCTGGTGATGGTGACTTTGCGTCTCCCTCAGGTATTGCAATTTAGACTCAGCTTTCAATAAAACAGAACTTTAGTAAACACTTCTCAACAAATTTAAAGTTAGGAGGATTTAGTACGTTATATCAAAACAGTACAAAATGCATAATAGAAGAAATACAAATTAGTGAAGACTCTTCTGGTGGTTACAGCAAACGTAAAGAATGCCCAACGCGGCCTCAGTGCTCAGGCACAAGCATTTTTCGGCATTACCCCTCCTCAGCCCTTCTTTCCAAAGCCTCACGACATCTCAACGCCAGCCTCGGGACCCACGATTCCAGCAACACACAACGTTGCCGATAGACTGGCGGGTGCTACATGAGGCACTTGCTACAGGGTAGCGCGCATCATGGACGACTTCAACAGCGAGACTGATAGTGACTACACAAGTTACTGGAGAGACTGGGTGAGTTGAACTTTTTCATACCGTATAAACTTTGTGCGCCGCATCGTGCCTGCTCATGAAAGTGATCTGGCGCAACCTGAGGGGGACCGGAGGACGAGTGCGACCCAAGCAGGAGCGTTCCTGAGCTATCACGAGATGTATCGACCTTGCCTGCCCTGCAGATCTTGCAGGGCGCCGACACGATGCTCCCCATCTCATTACTCCTTGAACAGACGAAGTCGAAGGAATACCGAATTAGTTACCTTTGGAGGGCGTGGTTATATAGACGGGTCAATATAAGATACGTCGCGAAGTGCCTCAGAAATAGCAGGCACGCCTACACCCTCTTCGGCAGAGTCTACACCGGCGTCTCACAAGTTGTCAGGGTGCCCAACCTCCAGGGCATGCTTCGGTACCTTCCAAAACCCCTCACCCAGTCGGCTCTTTTGCTCACGAGGGGTTATATGGGGTAGTGTCTGCAGTTGAATCCTCAGATGACCTGGATGACTTGGTGGATCCTCTGAATGCCGGCTTTCTAGAAGTTGCTTTCAATATGATCGCCATACCCTATCTTCGACAAGCGGGAACCCGTGAAGCAGTCGCTACTTTCTCACCCAAAGCTAAAAAGATTCTCCCCATGGGCTTTGCTTGGGCATCGGACTTTGGGACTCGCGTATTCTTTTCTTTCTCTCGGTTATTGGAGACAAGAGACGTGCTAACGATTCATTCTTCAGTTCATTTCCTCGCGAGGCAACGAATACTTTTGCGAGATCGACGAGGACTATCTCACTGATCGATTCAACCTTACTGGTCTTAATACGGAGGTTCAATACTATCAATATGCGTTGGACCTGGTAACGGACGTCTTCGATTTGGACTGTGATGATGATATGCGAGAGACAATCGAGAAGTCAGCACGACATCTATACGGACTTGTTCATGCCAGATATATTGTGACAACAAGAGGGTTGGCAAAGATGGTATGTTGATTACTTGGTCCCAAACTTGGAACTGGACTAAAGAGATACGACAGCTTGAGAAGTACAAAAAGGCAGATTTTGGCAAATGTCCTCGAGTCATGTGCAAATCCCACCCCTTATTGCCCATGGGACAATCCGACAATCCAAACGTGAAAGCAGTAAAACTATACTGTGCCCGATGCGAAGATATCTACAATCCCAAGTCGTCGCGTCATTCCGCCATCGATGGTGCATACTTTGGGACTTCCTTCCACAATATCATCTTTCAAGTGTACCCGGCTCTTATCCCTGCGAAAAGCTACGAGAGATATTCTCCAAGGATATATGGATTCAAAGTCCATGCTCCTGCGACTTTAATACGTTGGCAGCATTCGGAACGGGACGAGATGCGGAAACGACTGAGGAAACTGGAGATCGAGAGTGGGTTCAAGGACGACGAAGAAGATGTAGCGGAAGATTCGGAGGAAGAAGAAGAGGAGACTGATATGGTTCTTGAGAATGGAACGGTGGAAGTTGGTGGTGCTAATCAACTATGATTGTGAGAACCGAGTAGATAATTCTTCTTTGGAGCGTGAACGGGGCTTCTTTTCTTGAGCGTGTACAAGGGGATGAATGTGGTTGTGAGTTAGATGGATTGATGGATGGTTGAATGGTATTATGCACTGCTTTGGCGTTGGGAAATGGATTATCTGGCTCAAGCTTTTTTTTCCTCTTTCTTCTTGTGTGGCTGGATTGGGGGTTGGTTGGTTGGTTGATTGGTTGGTTGGTTGATTGGTTGGTTGGTTGATTGGTTGGTTGGTACTAGCATAGAAAGAGAGAAAGTATTATTTTTTGATCCTGGTTTTTGATACTTGGTTGTATTTTTGTTGGTATCCGGTTGTAGATGTTGTAGATTGATTTCTCTCGACTGTTGTATGTGTTGTCCCCTTGGATGGTTGGGAAGAAAGAAGAGCGGAGGGTCTTAAGAGGAGGATGTGAGGTGGATGTGAGGAGTATTGATAAGTAAGTAAGTGTAAGTTATATTTCCTCTGGTTTTTCATCTTAATTTTGAGTTGAGTATCTTGGCCATTTTGACCAGCTTGACTATCTCAAGATGGTCGGATCTAAGATGCTTATCATTATAAAATAGTTGATTAAAGGGTGTATCTGATTTTCTTTACGAGAAGACTCGAGGGAGAGGTGGTTATTGGGTAGTTTAGCTTGGGTTAGCTTAAGCTGATTGTTTTGGTTTGGCTTGGTTTGATTGAGTGGTTTTGGAGAGGTTGATGAGGAAAGAGTTTAGAGTCTGGAGTTCTGTGGATATTATGGGATGGGGTTTAAGATGTTCTACTACTTGCTACTACTGTACGTACGATGTATTCCAAAGATTCAACTTTCAAGGAGCTTATGGAATAGCCATCTTAGATGGTATATCTGAATTACCTATTTAATTGAGGAGAGGGGGGTATTACGTTATGTACTGTTATTAACTAGCTTAGTTTAGTTAAACTTAGCTTAGGTAACTAAAAACTATATAATAAGTCTTACCACTACTATCCAAGTATCTTACTACCAACCTACCAACCTACCTACCTCCTAGTCCGTCATATCTTAAACTCAAATTCTTTTTTTTTAAACTAAAAATACCATCCATCCATCCATCCATCAACTCCGTTCACTCCCGTAAAGCAGTCACAAGTTCACAACATTTTCCCTTCCCATTTTCATTGCCCATCTTCCTTCCCATCTTCCTACCCTTCCCATCTTCCATCCCATTTCCTTCCCATCAGGCTTTAAAGAAATATTTTTATTCTTATTCTTATACCTGAACCTTATACCCTTTTCTCTTTCCTTCTTTCTCTCTTTCTCTCGATCTCTTAAAAGAAATCAAGGATTCGAGGGGTAAATTCGTAATTTATAATTTCCGATATAACTTATGGGTATGGGTAGGAGTATTATATATGGGTAGAACTTAAAGTAGGTATTCATTTGTTTGATTATTTATTTATCATTGAACCCCAAGATCCTAGCTACTTAAGAGCTTAAGAGCCAAGAGCCGAGAGGTGTTTTCCAGATATCGATAGATAGATGGGGTATTAGGGGATAGTACGAGTAGATAGTATATACTCGTAACTCGTTTACTATAGTTTACCTTACTTTACAGTGTTGACTTTCAAGCAGCATAGTAAGTAATAATAAGTAGCAAGGAAAAACTTGAAAAGTCTAGAGATCTAGAAATCTGAAGTCTGAAGAGATGGAATAGATGGAACGGATGGAACAGATGGGAGGGGACTCGAGGGGTGTTGTAAGATGCATACATGTATATTTCTTGTTACAGTAATTAACATCTTATCAAGTGGTTAGTTGGTTGGTATGAAAAAAAAGACCTCTGAATGAATACTGTATTGTATGCAAGAGGTCTATATTATTTATGTACAAGAACCCCCGCCTCTCCCTCTCCCCCAAGAACTTAACTTTTCCCATGCATCAATCAGTAAGTAGTACAAATCCCCCATCCAGTTTAGTTAAGTGCAATTCGACCCATTCCCTAGTTAGGAAAGTAAAAGTAACACCACAGGACAGGTCTCAACTCAACTCGATTCTTTCTTGAGAAAACACCATTACTGTACAGTACACCCTGACTAGCTAGCCCTGCGTTTCGCGCCTCCTAAAATTCGAAATCAACATCCTGGACGACCGCCTCGACCACTCCTCTCCTTCCTCGAAGACGTCCGGCTCCCAGGCACCAGAAGGGATAGGTATACAAGATCATCGTCGATTCCGAAACAACCCATCAATCACCATCAGGTTCACCCTGAACCCCCCCAAGGAAAAAAAACACCATCCATCCCCCCTCTATCAAAACACAACCAAACTCCGGTTCTATGATATACCACGATGTATACATCCCATTCATCGATGACTTTTCACCCACGCGTAAAGCATTCCCCTGTATTGTAAGACAAACCTCCCCACCAATAAACTCCTCGCTATGATGCGAAAATAAAAAATGGAGACAAAACAAAGCATCCCCTATATTCCAACCTAAGAAAGTAAATTCGCCATCCCGTTAGGCAGTCTTCCCTTAGGTGATACAGTCTCATGACGATCATACGTAACCGATATCTCAACGGCGACCTGCGATGATCTCGCAAATGTATCACTGTTCGTTCGGGGGTCGCTGGGTGAGACAGGTTGCATTGGTGTACTCGGAGGGGCACCAAATTCCGATTTTGGTAGTTTGCCAATTGATAATTCGGTCTTGGTCGCTGTGAAAGCAGATGTGAGTGCGTTCTTGCGTGGTTTCGTACCTGGTAGAGCTTTTCTGACCGCTCCGGTTTTGGGTTTGCGTGCTGGTTTTGATACAGACTTCGAAGCTTTCAAGCCGGGCTTTGGACCGGGCTTCTCTTTTGGTTTTCCGGCCTTGGTGAGTTTAACAGGGTTTGCGGGAGTGACAGAAGCGGCAGCAAATGATAATTGAGGCTGTTTCAGCTTTGGCATGTCCTTGTATGGTGTTGGACTCTGGTGTCGAGGACTGTCAGATGGTGTCAAGATACCTCGGTTTTTGACAATGGTTGCAGGTTTCGACTCAAGAACCACACTAACACCACCAGCATGAACCATTCCTCCTTCAGGAATCTTGTAATCTCCACAGTTCTTGTCGTTCCAGTGTGGAAGTCCAACGTATTGTGCAACATCATCACATCTTGCTCGAACAACCATGTCCCAGCAATCCTTCATATCATTACCCATAGGTTCTGGGTCAACATTAATCCATGCAGTAAAACCGCCTCGTCGGTCTCTGGTTGTATTACACAATTCACGTGCCAATCGTCGGATTCCTGGTACCTTCAGACTTGTACCAACCACAAGTACAGCATCGGGACGAGTTTTGATATCTGCGTGGCTGACGGCACCAATTGCCTCCTCGTCTGGATTGAACTCGTTATAAAGAACCATTCTTGGTCGTAACCGGCCAATTCCGTGACTTCTCAGTCCCCCGGCCATCCTAATAGCATCTGTCTCTTCACATTCCTTACAGCTCGGCGTTTCGGGACCCTCGAAAAGCGCACCATCAAAGTCCGATAATTTGCCGCACTTGGTGCACACCATTTTCTCCAAGCCCCCATGGAGTTGGACAGTTTTTGGCCAAGGGCCTTTGGAATTGAGAGGAACGTTTGTTGCGAGAGGCTCAAGGGCTGTATCTATACCATCTACATTTTGGGTGTACAGTCGCATGAGACGACCTTCCTCGGCAAGGGTCGCAAGCAGATGATGAAATGGGGTGGGTGAAGCATTCTTGGTTAAATGAGACAGCTCCCGAACCATGTCGTGAAAGGAGCTGGTGGACGAGTCATCTCGGTATACAGAAGCGTCGAATAGATGTTTTCCGGAAGACTTTAATTTATGTTGGCTGCGAAGCGTGGTAAAGAGACCTGTTGAGGAACGGAAGTCGGGGACTAGGAAAGGTTAGCTGAGTGAATGCAAAAATCGGGTCCAAAATACGCACTTCCAGCAGAGACGGAGATGCCAGCACCTGCAATCACAACAATCTTCCGCTTGGTGCGCAACACCTGCATGAGCTTCTCTAGTTTCGCATCCTGGGACTTGTGGTGTGAATCGTCGTCGCTGTCTCCCAAATCAATCAAATCCAAGTATTGTGTTTTTTCATCCTTTGGTAGCGTAGCAATCTTCCTCCTTTTTGCTGGAGGCGGTCCTTCGCGTTCGGGCGCGTTGTCAGAGTCGCGCGCGGGCGACATTACAGAGTCCTCGTTACTAAGTGGCGGCGAGGGATAATCGACAGGAGGTGTAGGAGATCTCGAGGCCATGCTGGAGAGAGGAGAAGAGAGCTCGGAAGAGCGGACGGAGGAAAGAGGAGAGGAAAAGGTCGACATTTCGCCGGTCGCGCCTTCCATTGTGAAGGGAAAGGAACAAGGAAAGGCCACAGGGGGAAATTGATAAAAGCAAAAGTTTTATTCGTAGGCGTGAGTGATGACTCCGTTGGTCATGTTCGATTTGCGTGAGTGGCCGGGTCGTGATTGCTGTGGGTGGTGGGTTAGTTGGCGATGATGTTGAAAGAGAGTGGTCGTGGTGGTCATTGGAAATGATGCGGTAAGGTGACGGGGGGACGGGGGGATGGGGGGATGGGATGGGGTACAGGAAGTACAAGTAGCCTCTGCCGGGCCTATTTCCGCAGAAAGAAACGGGGCGGGGGGGCCTTCCAGTTAAAACGATAAGCGAGACAAGCGTGGAATCTTCTTATTGTGGCAGCAATTTATTGAAGAATGTACCGAGTATTCAAACAACAAGAATCAAGTGAACAATCTCTTTGACGAACAATCACGAGTTCAAAAAGATATGTTATTGTCGATTGTCACTCAAGCGAAGACTATGGTATTGTAGTGATTGTTGGCGGTGCTCGGGCGCCTCGAGGAGCTGCCTTCAAACATGCAATCTGACGTTAGCGGCCAGACCCGAGAGTAGTGGTGCTCGAAGCTTTAGCCTGGGCATTGCCTACTGGCGAGGCGGCGTCGGGTAATATCCCGTTGGTAGGTTCTTAGGTAGGTTCTTAGGCTCTGCGTATGTATGTTGAGAGGTAGCGTCACACCCAAAATACTGATACAAAGTTGATCCCGCCAAGACAGCAAGAAAGTTGGAGTGCTGTGCTGCAAACTACAGAAGAATCTGCGAGGCCTTCCCCTCCCCCAATTCCAGGCAGCATTTCTTGTATTGATTGCTCTCCATCTTTGTTTTCTCCTGTTGCTGTGCCAAAATCCGAGCTCTCTGAGACAGTGGAGACACTATGCACAATTGAGTTAGCCCTCCCGCACACCCATGTGAATATTCAAGGGCTACTGATTCGCCAGTCCACCTGCACATCGTCGCTTTCTGGTGCAGATGCACAAGGCTGATGTTGGCTGGTGTTTGTTCCTCAGCTCCCACACCTCTCTCCCCCTCTCATCAGTCCTAACTGAAGGGGTACCCAACCTCATTCAGGGGGGATTTATCTAAACCACATTCACTTATCCTCTTATCTGCTTGCAGCTAATTCATCCACCCCCAAAAATTTGTGCGGTGCTCTCTCTGTCTACCTGCACCTACAACTTCATGTTCTTGATGCGCTAGCCTCATCTGAGTGATGCCATTGATGATGGACGAAGAAATGGATATGGATGATTTATTTGGCGATAGTGCAGGCCTTTCTATTCCCTCGCGCCCTCCATCGAAAGAACTCTACCAAAGAGTCGATGATTTACGACGAAGCGGATGTTGCCAGTAAGATATTTGTACAATGATTATATTTCTCAATTGTAACGCTGCATAGGGCAATCGCTTGGTCAAATTGGGGTTGTATAGCCACCATCACCGCCAATGGAACCAGCGTAGAGTTGCGAAACTTGCGTTGTCATCCAGAGAATGGCAGCTGGGGTCTGAGTGAACCCACTCTCATACCTCCCCCCATGGCAAAAACTCTCGAGGGGAGTCCATTGAAGCATCTGGCATGGAGTCCAACTGGCTCCGAATTAGCCGTGATAGATGTCGCTGGACGAGTAACCATACTGTCAATCTTCGCTTCATTGAATAAGCCTATGTTGCATAGAAATTGCCAGATGGACCCAACCGACGATCTCTCCAGTGTGGTTGGTTGTTTCTGGCTCAACTTGGCCACCTATCCTGCGAACCGTTCAGGAAGTAGCCAGATACATGGTGCGTCTTACATCTTGGACTTGGATGGAGAATGATACTAATTAAATCAGCCACCAAAGAAGCAAGCACTTACAAGTACGAGCCTGCACATGCACCTTCCTTTGGCCCATTCCACCCGATGAATGGAAAATCCGCATTGGTTTGCGTGACAACCAATGGACTCCTCCGAATCATATTTCCACAATCTACCAACAAATATTCCGAAGCCCATACGGAACTAGAGAGTATCGTCTCATCCGATGACCTAATTACTCATGCGTCTATCTGTCCAGATAAGAGTAAGTATTCGTGGTCGTTGTTTGTTGCATTTAGTGTACTGATACCTGTGATAGACAGCACACTCCTGATTACCTTTGCCACAGCATCCAAACAACTACGAGTTGTGCGTGCTTTAGTAGACTGGGGCCTTGGGAAGCAAGCGGGAGAAAGAGCGGGAGAAAGAGCTCCACAAATGCCACAACAACTAAACCCCAGCTTGAAGACTCGTCATACTGTTGCAACGAGTTGGATACATGATGTTTCCAAAGATACTTTGAATGCATCAAACCTGGAATCTTCCATGACACAGCTCTCTCACCTCGAGTTCTTTCCAGCTACCGTCGATTCTACGGGGCGGATGGGACATGCTACAATAGTTAGTGCTCGAACTCATCTACCGTCCTCAATGGCACATTACAACCAAGATGTTCAAACAGTAGTGGATCGATGGGAACTTCGCGATAAAATGCAGACCATACATCCTGCCTTTGAGGCGTTGAGTTCACGTAGGAATAGTGTAGGATCACCTCCGGGGGTAAGTTCCGATCGCTCAAACGCTTTTATATCTGCTAACGAATTCAGCCTACTGGTTTTCTGAAAAAGCTGGAAGGTTTCAACGTAAATAAGGTCCTTCTCACCATGCAATCTATGAATGTTGGAAGGGTCATATTTTTCGCCTATAGTGATGGCTCAGTAGAATATCGTGATCGAGCGACGATGGCAGAGATATTTATTAACCATGATATTGAACACATATGGCATCTATCTCAAATCGGATTCTCCTATACCGAGGACCAACCTTGTAAGTTTTGTGCTCTTCCATTTGCAGAGGTAATGAATGTTGACCTTCAACAGGTTTGCAAGTAGCTTTATCACCTACGTACTGCTCTTTGGTTCAAATTCGAAACGACGGCAAGGTCAAGTGGATGCAGATGGAGTATTTGGGAAATATAGGAACAAGTCAAGATGATCGTAAGAATTTCTTCCGGTGTTGAGACAAACGCTAATATTAATATTTGATAGCTCAATATGCTGCGACAGTTGCTGCACTTGCACTTTCTTGCGCAACTGCTGTCATTAGAGTTGGAGCTGTCAATTATGATGACTTACTAGCTACTGCTCACAAGTACTCGAACCCAAGTAAGCGTTGATTCTATAACCTCAGACGTATAATTCTAACTCTCCTAGACTTTTCTTTCGATTGGCTTATCGAGATATCTCGCATCCTGAAAATCACCTGTGATTATTCCGAAGAGCAGCATTATGATGTCTTGATCAGAAATACGAGCATTCAATTGATTCTATGTGTTCAGAATTCTCTCGGATTTCGGGGAGAGTTCAACCCTAGAACATTTCCTGGTAAATTCTCATGGCTGGTTCTTCAATTGCGCAATATCGTCGTTCTCGTTTCGATGGCCTCGAATTTGAGCGTACCAGCATCGCCACTTGAAGACCCAGGTTTGTACTCTTCGCAGCAAATCCGTCAGACAATTTGCTAATCCAAAACAGAGGTGATAAATGCCTTAGGTGGTTCCTTTCGCTGGGTCCTCGACTTCATGGCATGGCTAATCGACACTCTTCTCAACCTCCCCACAACCCTTCCACCCAATATGGATCTCAAAGATGTCGATAGCTTCAACCTCTCCGAACTCCACGCCCACCTTCGCTCCACCAATACCGTTTCCCTCCACCTCCTCCTCTGCTCCGCCACCCGCGGTTTCCTCACCGCAATGTGTCGTCGAATCACACATCTGGACTACATAGCCCGCCGCGCCATCCAGACCCCAGGCACCAACGGGAATTCCCAAAATTCCAACCCCCCGCCCATCAGTTCCCAGCTCCGACACGCATATCTCCACATCGCCACCCTCACCACCAAAACCATCATCCGCATCAAGACGGTCGAAACGCTCCTCTCCTCTCTCACCTCCTCGATCAAAGAGGTCTACCGGGCGAATTTCCCGTCGGGACAAAGTGATGGGCGACGCAATGCCTTCGAGACGAAGATGCTCTTCGGTGGCCAGTTCCCGGAGTGTTTCAAATCCGTCATCGTGGAGCTCTTCAAGAAAGAGGGCTTACTGGAAGCGGTGCGGGATGAAATCGAGCCGGCCAAGTTGTTCTTCGCGGATTTTGGATTGCTGGAGGTTGGGGAGGATGAGGCTAGTATAAGACGACGGAGATCGGTGGGGAAGACGATGGATTCGTTTAGGAAGGTGTGGTTGAATAATCCTGTTAAGAGGGTGAAGGGTGGTTTGGATGGGGCGGATGTTGGGGTAGGGAATGGTGGAGGGGGAGGG